ATTGTAAGATGTACAAAGAGGGAGGCCGCGAGGTGGAGAAGAAGTCAGCGGTCTACACAGACTACACTGAGACATGTGTTGTCCAGTGATCGTTGTCCAGTGATCGTTGTCCAGTGATCGTTGTCCAGTGATCGTTGTCCAGTGATCGTTGTCCTGTGATCGTTGCTCGATAAGTAAATTAGGTGCATGATGATACTGGTTTAGTGTAAAATTGTTTTGCCTGCAATATTCCCCAGTTGAAAGTGTTGGAAGCAGTGACTGCATGTACATTCACAAACAGAAGCCAGACCTATGCATACAGAAGCCAGACCTATGCATACAGAAGCCAGACCTATGCATACAGAAGCCAGACCTATGCATACAGAAGCCAGACCTATGCATACAGAAGCCAGACCTATGCATACAGAAGCCAGACCTATGCATACAGAAGCCAGACCTATGCATACAGAAGCCAGACCTATGCATACAGAAGCCAGACCTATGCATACAGAAGCCAGACCTATGCATACAGAAGCCAGACCTATGCATACAGAAGGAATCAGTCACTATGCTCACACTTTCCCCCCTTGTGTTTGTTTTAACCAATGTCTCTGTCTGTCACTTGGTCACTGTTGGTGTTATAATTTCCTACACACCTCACAACATATTGTATACTTTTTCACTTCCCTTTAGCTTTCGTTCTGGTTGTATGGCTAGCACCTGATGGTAATATAATCCTATGTTATTTTATGTTACTGATCAGTGACGTTATTCCACTGAAGAATGTCACAAGAAAACGTTCTAGATACGAACCTCACTACGTTGCCGTGTGTGTGCATGTGCGTATATGTGTGTGTGTGTGTGTGTGTGTGTGTGTGTGTGTGTGTGTGTTCACTGTTGAATGGTGTAATCCCAGCACAAGTTGCTATGTCTAACCGGCATTGTTCGGCTGTTCGCTATCATCGCTTCCGCGATGGGCAGGTCTGAGGTACGAGGTGTGTGTGTGTGTGTGACAGTGTGTGTGTGTGTGTGTGTGTGTGTGTGTGACAGTGTGTGTGTGTGTGTGTGTGTGTGTGTGTGTGTGTGTGTGTGTGTGTTGTGACAACCTTTGACAACACGGCGTCCGAATTTGGCCTCGCGGTTAGTGCCACAAAGACCAAGTTTTTGGTTGCTGGTGCTGATGTGTCTGCTGCTGACCGCGTACCCCTCAGTCTAGCTGGTGTCGACATTGCCTGTGTCACCGAATTTAAGTATCTGGGTTCGGTAATTCACAGCGACGGCCGTTCATCCTGCGATGTTGACTCCCGCATTGCCTCCCGAGCGTGTGGCGCTTTGCAAAAGTCCATCTTTGGCAACAAGCACCTGGACCTCCACATCAAGAGGTGTGTGTTCAACGCCTGTGTCTTGTCGCTCTTGCTGTACGGTTCGGAGTGTTGGACGCCTCTTCAACGGGATTTGCAGCGGCTCTCTGTCTTCCACCACCGATGCATCCGCTCAATCATGGGAGTGTCTCGCCAAGAATGCTGGGATGACCACATCACCAATCACCAACTACGTGTGAGGTGGGGTGATCCCGACACCATCCGCACGAAGGTGGAGCACCGCCGCCTTGAATGGCTCGGGCATGTTGCTCGGATGGAGGACCACCGGCTGCCGAAGCAAGTTCTCTTTGGCAAGCTTCCGTCGCGTCGCCCAGCTCATGGCCCTCGTCGGCGCTGGAAGGATTGTATCATGTCTGACCTTCGTTCTCGCGGCCTCGAGGGGGAATGGCGAGCTGAATGCGAGTCGCGTTCCACCTGGCGCTCGGCGTACTCAGCACCGGTAGATGCCCAGCATACCCCTCCCGTCACCTGCTACACCTGCGACCGACAGTTTACACGCCCCAGTGATCGCGCACGCCACAAGTGTAAGGCTGAGCGTGCGAAGCCGGTTGCGGAGCAGAAAGGTGCATGCCAGTGTGGAGAGTGTGGCCGTTGGCTGAAGTCCCGTGGAGGTCTGGCAAGGCACAAGTGTACTTACCCCCAGTCAGCAGTCGGTGCGCCCCTGCCGCTGCCTGCTTCCCCGCTGTGCTGCGTCGCTCACTGCCAGGCTTGTGACCGCTGCTTTGCGTCTACACGTGGCCGTGCCCGTCATCGCTGCTCGCGGTCTTGTAGTCGTCCGACCGTTCAGGACCGTCAGGGTTTCACGTGTGTTTGCGCCTGCTCCCGCCGATTTCGCTTACCGCATCACCTGGATCGTCACAGGGCTGTGTGCTCCTCCTCTCTCTCAGCTGCCCCTCCGGGGCCCACGTAACCTTCATGGCAGTGGCTCAACAGGACAGGACAGGTGTGTGTGTGTGTGTGTGCGTGTGCGTGTGTGTGTGCGTGTACATGACGGCACATTTATTTCTTTTTATCGCATTACACGACTGGATTTCACCATCAATTGTGTAATTTTGTTACTTGTATCTGTCCCTGCATTCTATATTGCTGAGCATTCACAGCTCTGGCAATGCTTTTGATTGACACAGCCAAGCTGACATGCTGCTACTGAGTATAGTAAGTGCTGTGCTATCTGCTTACATATTCCCTGTTCCCTGTTATTGACGTGTGCTAAGATTAAGAACAAAGTGCACACGCCAGTCACTCAATTACAGTCAGTATCGCCTATAGCGTTGGTGTTTGATTTTGAGCATTTTATCACAATAAGCGATATATTACTATGACCGATACTGCATGCAATGTATGCGAGTGGGGTGTCAAACGACTCAGCGCGCCGTGCACATACGCACTACATACATGTACAATGTCATGTAGCTGGCTGTAGCTCCTGACACACAAAATCAGCATTTCCTCATGATGGAGGCATATTTTGGCAACTTGTACAAGCAAAACTCACCAAACAACACTCACTGGACAAGTTCTTCATGAAGAAGTAACACCCTGTTCTCCTCTGACATCGCTTGATTTTACATCAGTCACTATAACCGATGCAAAAATAGTGTAATAAACGTCTTTTGAAATATGAATTTGATCACTATAGGCGATATAATGCTATAGACGATTATTACTATACGCGATAACTGTGTATACTTAGTTATGGCAAATGAAAATGAATTTGAGAAATTGATCACTATATCCGGTATATTACTATAGCCGCCAACCTTATAGGCGATACCGACTGTATGCTTCTACTGCGGAACTACTCTGCATCAGTGGCCATATGGCATGAAAGTGTAGACGCTACCGGATGCGAAGTTATCCAGGGGGAGGTGACAGTCCTATGTCCCTTCTGCTCTCACATTCTCTGTCTCTCTCTCTCTTTTCATCTGAAGACCTTCACGCTTTTAGCATGGTTGAGCCAATAGGTAGAATTTTCCTTGGAATGGCAATGCTAATTGTGTAAGTGGAGTGGGTCAGCTGAGAGCACAGTGTAGAGCGGCTGGGACGAGAGTGTAGTTCTGAGCGGGTGGGAAGAGAGCACAATGTCGAGTGGTGGAGTTCTCTACTGATTCGTAGGATGTGTATACACTATGTGAACTGAGCAAGTACGGCCTCAGTACTCAGTACTCAGTATAGTGCCTTGCATTCAAGCATCCAGACCTAATAGGGAGTTTTCTACGCACATCATGCATCCAGACCTAATAGGGAGTTTTCTACGCACATCAAGCATCCAGACCTAATAGGGAGTTTTCTACGCACATCATGCATCCAGACCTAATAGGGAGTTTTCCATGCACACTCATGCACCGGAAAAGAAGTCAGGTGCATTGGCACGTGACCCGGGGGGGGGGGGGGGGGGGGGTAAGTAACATCTGCTCTTGCAATGTGGGCGCGTGTGAGTGCGTGTGGGCGTGAAGCCTGCTCCAAAGAGAATAGCCTACTGCTTTACCTGGACTGTGTGCGCTTGGAAATGTTCAGAAACGGGATCCTGCGACAGTAGTAAGTGTCGAACTGGTTCTGAGGTAGGCACATGTCCCTGCCCCAAAAAAAGGGACGATCCTTGCCTGGCACGGGTAGATCAGTGTGGGACAACCAATAATACCCCTTTTTGGCAGGGCCATTTGCCTACCACAGAACCGGCTCGACACATGCTACTTTTGTCAGTTGGTATGTATGGCACCCGGCATGCTTTGATTCTTGCGAGAACGAAGGAAATCAGATCTGTTGAAGAACTGGGCATTCTCCCCACTTATGGGTTTTCTCAAAGTGTTTTTTGCAACTGGACACAGCAAAGGGTACACAGGGTCATCGGACACGCAACGGTCACTACGGTATTGACCGTACCACTTGTTGCCCCCGGGTACCCCGTGAATCAATCAAAAGCACTGATTTGGACTCGAAATTTAGAAAACTTTCAGCGGAGCCTCCCCTCCCAAAAAGGAAACTATACCTCAGATGGCTGACATCGTACCACCCTAACTTACCTTCTGACATCCCTGCTACACATCCCTGCTACACATCCCTGCTACACATCCCTGCTACACATCCCTGCTACACATGGGCACTTAAGACAGAGACATCCCTGCTACACATGGGCACTTAAGACAGAGACACCGAACAAGAGTTATGCACCTCATACATACTTTCCTGGTGTTTATTACTTCACCTCAGCACATACGAAGCCTGTTAAAAAAGACTTCCATCCAAAAAAATTAGGTCTCTGAACTGCAATTGAATAGCATAAAGGCTTTCGGACATGAGTATTCTTCAAACATAAATTGGTTGCAGTGGAGTCTGCACATCCCGAACCTTTGTTATCATTTTCCAAACCATATTCACTGTATTTCATATTCACTGTATTTCATATTCACTGTATTTCATATTCACTGTATTTCATATCCACTGTATTTCTTTAACCTTAATGAGTAAGTCCATCTCGCTCCCTCCAACTCACCTTCTTTACGAGTTGACGGACAAGCTATGCTGCCACACTTGCGCTGTTGCCTGCTCTCTCCCACACACAGACTGCTGTCATCGTTTCCGCATTCTCGACTTCTTCTCTGTATCCCGCCGCCACAGCTGGAACTGCACTGCGACCAGCTACTCCATACATCCCAGCCACGAACTAAACACATCCAACAACGCACAGACGCACATGAAAACACGACACACCAAACACCAACATCCTCCGTGCATACTAGCTGCCTGTTGGCTTCTTCATACAGAACTGAACTGTTAGCATGTACAGTACACGCGGCAAGTACAGTACCTTTTCAATTCAACAAAACATATTACATGTATAGCAGTCTGAGTCATGCAAGACTGTTCTCGCTGACCATGCTCTTGCTCACCTGGGCACACAAATTGCTCCAGTTTCTTCAGCACAGTCTCCTCCAATGCATCAAAACTCTGCACCGATAACACGTGCTTAGGATATGGCAGGCTTGCGATGCTTTCCAACTCTGACCGGTCTATTCCGTTACCGATGCCCACTGCAAACACCTCGATGTGGTTAGCACGCAGCTCAGAAGCGCAGGCCGAAGGATTGCCACCAACATTGGAGTTTCCGTCACTCAACAGTACAATAACTTCTCGTCTTCTGCCACCGCTTGAGCTGCTCCTTCTTCCTCGTCCTCGTCCTCGATAACCAGAAGATGACGACCCTGAGCTGCTGCTGCTGCTGCTACCACGGCTGCTGCTGCTGCTGCCACGGCCGCTACTGCTGCTGCTGCTGCTGCTGCTGCTGCTGCCACTGCTGCTTCCGCCGCTTCCTCTGCCATTCTGACTACTACTTCCACCTCCACTGCCACGGCTGCTGCTTCCGCTGCTGCCGGATGCACTCCCGCAATAAGACCTGCACGAAGAATTGCGGTGACAACCCAGAGATGTGCAGCTCATTGACAAGCCAAACAAGTCAATTCCTGCTACTTCCAGAGCACCACTTGTGTTGGTACAGCCTTTTGTAACCTTGGCCATCCCATCCATAGCTGACAGCACTGAACTTAGATTCAAGTACATATCAAAGCCGAACACAACATTCGCACTATTGTTGTAGCGAAGTACTCCAAATCGGCTTTGACTCCGACCCACAGCGCCAGTCCCAGAGCTGTCGTTTCTCCAATTGTTACTGCTGCTGCCGCCGCCTCCGCCGCTGTCACTGCTGCCACTGCTGCTTATGTTGCTCAGCTGCTGTCGCCTCCATGCAGACCGCCCATCTTCTCCACGATTTTTTGCCACCGAAAATCGATCCATCATCTTCTTTGTGAAGCTCACCATCTTAGCAAAATTGCCATCACCAACGCTACCTGAAGCATCCAGTATGAATGCTACGTCCAACACACCACCTCTTTCTACACAGCCTCCTGCATACAAAGACAATGCACGAAATACACACACAAACACAGAAACAACATCATGTTATAATATTAACGCTCTTTCTGACTGTTTATCATCTTCTTACAGTCGTGCATAGTTGCTGCATAACTCGTTCCCATGTGTGTTCTTCTCTTTTTTAACATCATAATTATTGGAGAAATTATTGTATCCATAATTATGTCCTTTTCCTTTCTACATTTATTTATGGCTCAACATGCGAGTTTCAAATCATTATTATTAGTATTCTTTCTTTTTTCAGTCCACGTCTACTGTCATACAGAGAGACATAAAAAACAAGGACAACTGGACACAGATTGAGGGGTAGGTGGTCGCAGCCTGATCGATAAGAGTGTCTCATATGATCAACGATGTTCACACGGATCCAGAAATAAGCCATGATCACTGAACAACCATTTAGGACCGTCAGATTAATTTACATGGACCGAGCCAGTCGGGAAAGAACCCTCGCACCGACGGACGCAGCAGTGAGGGAAATAACCCGGTGTATGATGCCAGTGACGATATGACATCATGCAAGCATTTCAAAACACATCAAAGCAAACTTGCTTTTAAAAACAAATTTGGGGTGCACAGAACTGAAGCGTGGGAGCACACAGACACTGGTGAGACTCAAGAACTGACTGAAGAACCAGGAAAAGAAGCAATAATAAAGAAAAGCATTGATGCCATATTTGAAGCAGAAAAACAGAAAAAGAGTGTTGCGCAAGATTTCATTTCTTGTCTATCTCCCCTGCGTCCGGCCGCCGAGAAATAAAACTTCTACTTCTCCCTCGATCTCTCGTTTTATCAAGTTCTCTCTCTCTCTCTCTCATTCTCTCTCTGTCTGTCTCTGTCTCTGTGTCAAACTCACCTTCCTTACGAGTTGATGGGCAAGCTACGCTGCCGCACTTGCGCTGTTGCCTGCTCTCTCCCACACACAGACTGCTCTCATTGCTTCCGCATTCTCGACTTCTTCTCTGTATCCCGCTGCCACAGCTGGAACTGCACTGCGACCAGCTACTCCATACATCCCAGCCACGAACTAAACACATCCAACAACGCACAGACGCACATGAAAACACGACACACCAAACACCAACATCCTCCGTGCATACTAGCTGCCTGTTGGCTTCTTCATACAGAACTGAACCGTTATGATCTACAGTACACGCGGCAAGTACAGTACCTTTTCAATTCAACAAAACATACTACATGTATAGCAGTCTGAGTCATGCAAGACTGTTCTCGCTGCCCATGCTCTTGCTCACCTGGGCACACAAATTGCTCCAGTTTCTTCAGCACAGTCTCCTCCAATGCATCAAAACTCTGCACCGATAACACGTGCTTAGGATATGGCAGGCTTGCGATGCTTTCCAACTCTGACCGGTCTATTCCGTTACCGATGCCCACTGCAAACACCTCGATGTGGTTAGCACGCAGCTCAGAAGCGCAGGCCGAAGGATTGCCACCAACATTGGAGTTTCCGTCACTCAACAGTACAATAACTTCTCGTCTTCTGCCACCGCTTGAGCTGCTCCTTCTTCCTCGTCCTCGTCCTCGATAACCAGAAGATGACGACCCTGAGCTGCTGCTGCTGCTGCTACCACGGCTGCTGCTGCTGCTGCCACGGCCGCTACTGCTGCTGCTGCTGCTGCTGCTGCTGCCACTGCTGCTTCCGCCGCTTCCTCTGCCATTCTGACTACTACTTCCACCTCCACTGCCACGGCTGCTGCTTCCGCTGCTGCCGGATGCACTCCCGCAATAAGACCTGCACGAAGAATTGCGGTGACAACCCAGAGATGTGCAGCTCATTGACAAGCCAAACAAGTCAATTCCTGCTACTTCCAGAGCACCACTTGTGTTGGTACAGCCTTTTGTAACCTTGGCCATCCCATCCATAGCTGACAGCACTGAACTTAGATTCAAGTACATATCAAAGCCGAACACAACATTCGCACTATTGTTGTAGCGAAGTACTCCAAATCGGCTTTGACTCCGACCCACAGCGCCAGTCCCAGAGCTGTCGTTTCTCCAATTGTTACTGCTGCTGCCGCCGCCTCCGCCGCTGTCACTGCTGCCACTGCTGCTTATGTTGCTCAGCTGCTGTCGCCTCCATGCAGACCGCCCATCTTCTCCACGATTTTTTGCCACCGAAAATCGATCCATCATCTTCTTTGTGAAGCTCACCATCTTAGCAAAATTGCCATCACCAACGCTACCTGAAGCATCCAGTATGAATGCTACGTCCAACACACCACCTCTTTCTACACAGCCTCCTGCATACAAAGACAATGCACGAAATACACACACAAACACAGAAACAACATCATGTTATAATATTAACGCTCTTTCTGACTGTTTATCATCTTCTTACAGTCGTGCATAGTTGCTGCATAACTCGTTCCCATGTGTGTTCTTCTCTTTTTTAACATCATAATTATTGGAGAAATTATTGTATCCATAATTATGTCCTTTTCCTTTCTACATTTATTTATGGCTCAACATGCGAGTTTCAAATCATTATTATTAGTATTCTTTCTTTTTTCAGTCCACGTCTACTGTCATACAGAGAGACATAAAAAACAAGGACAACTGGACACAGATTGAGGGGTAGGTGGTCGCAGCCTGATCGATAAGAGTGTCTCATATGATCAACGATGTTCACACGGATCCAGAAATAAGCCATGATCACTGAACAACCATTTAGGACCGTCAGATTAATTTACATGGACCGAGCCAGTCGGGAAAGAACCCTCGCACCGACGGACGCAGCAGTGAGGGAAATAACCCGGTGTATGATGCCAGTGACGATATGACATCATGCAAGCATTTCAAAACACATCAAAGCAAACTTGCTTTTAAAAACAAATTTGGGGTGCACAGAACTGAAGCGTGGGAGCACACAGACACTGGTGAGACTCAAGAACTGACTGAAGAACCAGGAAAAGAAGCAATAATAAAGAAAAGCATTGATGCCATATTTGAAGCAGAAAAACAGAAAAAGAGTGTTGCGCAAGATTTCATTTCTTGTCTATCTCCCCTGCGTCCGGCCGCCGAGAAATAAAACTTCTACTTCTCCCTCGATCTCTCGTTTTATCAAGTTCTCTCTCTCTCTCTCTCTCATTCTCTCTCTGTCTGTCTCTGTCTCTGTGTCAAACTCACCTTCCTTACGAGTTGATGGGCAAGCTACGCTGCCGCACTTGCGCTGTTGCCTGCTCTCTCCCACACACAGACTGCTCTCATTGCTTCCGCATTCTCGACTTCTTCTCTGTATCCCGCTGCCACAGCTGGAACTGCACTGCGACCAGCTACTCCATACATCCCAGCCACGAACTAAACACATCCAACAACGCACAGACGCACATGAAAACACGACACACCAAACACCAACATCCTCCGTGCATACTAGCTGCCTGTTGGCTTCTTCATACAGAACTGAACCGTTATGATCTACAGTACACGCGGCAAGTACAGTACCTTTTCAATTCAACAAAACATATTACATGTATAGCAGTCTGAGTCATGCAAGACTGTTCTCGCTGCCCATGCTCTTGCTCACCTGGGCACACAAATTGCTCCAGTTTCTTCAGCACAGTCTCCTCCAATGCATCAAAACTCTGCACCGATAACACGTGCTTAGGATATGGCAGGCTTGCGATGCTTTCCAACTCTGACCGGTCTATTCCGTTACCGATGCCCACTGCAAACACCTCGATGTTGTTAGCACGCAGCTCAGAAGCGCAGGCCGAAGGATTGCCACCAACATTGGAGTTTCCGTCACTCAACAGTACAATAACTTCTCGTCTTCTGCCACCGCTTGAGCTGCTCCTTCTTCCTCGTCCACGTCCTCGATAACCAGAAGATGACGACCCTGAGCTGCTGCTGCTGCTGCTGCTGCTCCCACGGCTGCTGCTGCTGCTCCCACGGCCGCTGCTGCTGCTGCCACTGCTGCTTCCGCCGCTTCCTCTGCCATTCTGACTACTACTTCCAGCTCCACTGCCACGGCTGCTGCTTCCGCTGCTGCCGGATGCACTCCCGCAATAAGACCTGCACGAAGAATTGCGGTGACAACCCAGAGATGTGCAGCTCATTGACAAGCCAAATAAGTCAATTCCTGCTACTTCTAGAGCACCACTTGTGTTGGTACAGCCTTTTGTCACCTTGGCCATCCCATCCATAGCTGACAGCACTGAACTTAGATTCAAGTACATATCAAAGCCGAACACAACATTCGCACTATTGTTGTAGCGAAGTACTCCAAATCGGCTTTGACTCCGACCCACAGCACCAGTACCAGAGCTGTCGTTTCTCCAATTGTTACTGCTGCTGCTGCTCCTGCCGCCGCCACCGCCGCTGTCACTGCTGAAACTACTGCTTATGTTGCTCAGCTGCTGTCGCCTCCATGCAGACCGCCCGTCTTCTCCACGATTTGTTGCCACCGAAAATCGATCCATCATCTTCTTTGTGAAGCTCACCATCTTAGCAAAATTGCCATCACCAACGCTACCTGAAGCATCCAGTATGAATGCTACGTCCAACACACCACCTCTTTCTACACAGCCTCCTGCATACAAAGACAATGCATGAAATACACACACAAACACAGAAACAACATCATGTTATAATATTAACGCTCTTTCTGACTGTTTATCATCTTCTTACAGTCGTGGATAGTTGCTGCATAACTCATTCTCATGTGTTTTCTTCCCCTTTTTTTAACATCATAATTATTGGAGAAATTATTTTATCCATAATTATGTCCTTTTCCTTTCTACATATATTTATGGCTCAACATGCGAGTTTCAAATCATTATTATTAGTATTCTTTCTTTTTTCAGTCCACGTCTACTGTCATACAGAGAGACATAAAAAACAAGGACAACTGGACACAGATTGAGGGGTAGGTGGTCGCAGCCTGATCGATCAGAGTGTCTCAAATGATCAACGATGTTCACACGGATCCAGAAATAAGCCATGATCACTGAACAACCATTTAGGACCGTCAGATTAATTTACATTGACCGAGCCAGCCGGGAAAGAACCCTCACACCGACGGACGCAGCAGTGAGGGAAATAACCCGGTGTATGATGCCAGTGACGATATGACATCATGCAAGCATTTCAAAGCACATCAAAGCAAACTTGCTTTTAAAAACAAATTTGGGGTACACAGAACTGAAGCGTGGGAGCGCACAGACACTGGTGAGACTCAAGAACTGACTGAGGAACCAGGAAAAGAAGCAACAATAAAGAAAAGCCTTCAATGACGCCATATTTGAAGCAGAAAAACAGAAAAAGAGTGCTGCGCAAGATTTCATTTGTTGTCTATCTCCCCTGCGTCCGGCCGACGAGGAATAAAACTTCTATTTCTCCCTCGACCTCTCGTTTTATCAAGTTCTCACTCTCTCTCTGTCTCTCTCTCTCTCTCTCTGTCTCTCTCTTTCTCTGTCTCTGTGTCAAACTTACCTTCCTTACGAATTGATGGACAAGCTACGCTGCCACACTTGCGCTGTTGCCTGCTCTCTCCCACACACAGACTGCTCTCATTGCTTCCGCATTCTCGACTTCTTCTCTGTATCCCGCCGCCACAGCTGGAACTGCACTGCGACCAGCTACTCCATACATCCCAGCCACGAACTAAACACATCCAACAACGCACAGACGCACATGAAAACACGACACACCAAACACCAACATCCTCCGTGCATACTAGCTGCCTGTTGGCTTCTTCATACAGAACTGAACCGTTATGATCTACAGTACACGCGGCAAGTACAGTACCTTTTCAATTCAACAAAACATATTACATGTATAGCAGTCTGAGTCATGCAAGACTGTTCTCGCTGACCATGCTCTTGCTCACCTGGGCACACAAATTGCTCCAGTTTCTTCAGCACAGTCTCCTCCAATGCATCAAAACTCTGCACCGATAACACGTGCTTAGGATATGGCAGGCTTGCGATGCTTTCCAACTCTGACCGGTCTATTCCGTTACCGATGCCCACTGCAAACACCTCGATGTTGTTAGCACGCAGCTCAGAAGCGCAGGCCGAAGGATTGCCACCAACATTGGAGTTTCCGTCACTCAACAGTACAATAACTTCTCGTCTTCTGCCACCGCTTGAGCTGCTCCTTCTTCCTCGTCCACGTCCTCGATAACCAGAAGATGACGACCCTGAGCTGCTGCTGCTGCTGCTGCTACCACGGCTGCTGCTGCTGCTGCTGCTGCTGCTCCCACGGCCGCTGCTGCTGCTGCTGCCACTGCTGCTTCCGCCGCTTCCTCTGCCATTCTGACTACTACTTCCACCTCCACTGCCACGGCTGCTGCTTCCGCTGCTGCCGGATGCACTCCCGCAATAAGACCTGCACGAAGAATTGCGGTGACAACCCAGAGATGTGCAGCTCATTGACAAGCCAAATAAGTCAATTCCTGCTACTTCTAGAGCACCACTTGTGTTGGTACAGCCTTTTGTCACCTTGGCCATCCCATCCATAGCTGACAGCACTGAACTTAGATTCAAGTACATATCAAAGCCGAACACAACATTCGCACTATTGTTGTAGCGAAGTACTCCAAATCGGCTTTGACTCCGACCCACAGCACCAGTACCAGAGCTGTCGTTTCTCCAATTGTTACTGCTGCTGCTGCTCCTGCCGCCGCCACCGCCGCTGTCACTGCTGAAACTACTGCTTATGTTGCTCAGCTGCTGTCGCCTCCATGCAGACCGCCCGTCTTCTCCACGATTTGTTGCCACCGAAAATCGATCCATCATCTTCTTTGTGAAGCTCACCATCTTAGCAAAATTGCCATCACCAACGCTACCTGAAGCATCCAGTATGAATGCTACGTCCAACACACCACCTCTTTCTACACAGCCTCCTGCATACAAAGACAATGCATGAAATACACACACAAACACAGAAACAACATCATGTTATAATATTAACGCTCTTTCTGACTGTTTATCATCTTCTTACAGTCGTGGATAGTTGCTGCATAACTCATTCTCATGTGTTTTCTTCCCCTTTTTTTAACATCATAATTATTGGAGAAATTATTTTATCCATAATTATGTCCTTTTCCTTTCTACATATATTTATGGCTCAACATGCGAGTTTCAAATCATTATTATTAGTATTCTTTCTTTTTTCAGTCCACGTCTACTGTCATACAGAGAGACATAAAAAACAAGGACAACTGGACACAGATTGAGGGGTAGGTGGTCGCAGCCTGATCGATCAGAGTGTCTCAAATGATCAACGATGTTCACACGGATCCAGAAATAAGCCATGATCACTGAACAACCATTTAGGACCGTCAGATTAATTTACATTGACCGAGCCAGCCGGGAAAGAACCCTCACACCGACGGACGCAGCAGTGAGGGAAATAACCCGGTGTATGATGCCAGTGACGATATGACATCATGCAAGCATTTCAAAGCACATCAAAGCAAACTTGCTTTTAAAAACAAATTTGGGGTACACAGAACTGAAGCGTGGGAGCGCACAGACACTGGTGAGACTCAAGAACTGACTGAGGAACCAGGAAAAGAAGCAACAATAAAGAAAAGCCTTCAATGACGCCATATTTGAAGCAGAAAAACAGAAAAAGAGTGCTGCGCAAGATTTCATTTGTTGTCTATCTCCCCTGCGTCCGGCCGACGAGGAATAAAACTTCTATTTCTCCCTCGACCTCTCGTTTTATCAAGTTCTCACTCTCTCTCTGTCTCTCTCTCTCTCTCTGTCTCTCTCTCTCTCTCTCTGTCTCTCTCTTTCTCTGTCTCTGTGTCAAACTTACCTTCCTTACGAATTGATGGACAAGCTACGCTGCCACACTTGCGCTGTTGCCTGCTCTCTCCCACACACAGACTGCTCTCATTGCTTCCGCATTCTCGACTTCTTCTCTGTATCCCGCCGCCACAGCTGGAACTGCACTGCGACCAGCTACTCCATACATCCCAGCCACGAACTAAACACATCCAACAACGCACAGACGCACATGAAAACACGACACACCAAACACCAACATCCTCCGTGCATACTAGCTGCCTGTTGGCTTCTTCATACAGAACTGAACCGTTATGATCTACAGTACACGCGGCAAGTACAGTACCTTTTCAATTCAACAAAACATATTACATGTATAGCAGTCTGAGTCATGCAAGACTGTTCTCGCTGACCATGCTCTTGCTCACCTGGGCACACAAATTGCTCCAGTTTCTTCAGCACAGTCTCCTCCAATGCATCAAAACTCTGCACCGATAACACGTGCTTAGGATATGGCAGGCTTGCGATGCTTTCCAACTCTGACCGGTCTATTCCGTTACCGATGCCCACTGCAAACACCTCGATGTTGTTAGCACGCAGCTCAGAAGCGCAGGCCGAAGGATTGCCACCAACATTGGAGTTTCCGTCACTCAACAGTACAATAACTTCTCGTCTTCTGCCACCGCTTGAGCTGCTCCTTCTTCCTCGTCCACGTCCTCGATAACCAGAAGATGACGACCCTGAGTTGCTGCTGCTGCTGCTGCTACCACGGCTGCTGCTGCTGCTGCTGCTGCTGCTCCCACGGCCGCTGCTGCTGCTGCTGCCACTGCTGCTTCCGCCGCTTCCTCTGCCATTCTGACTACTACTTCCACCTCCACTGCCACGGCTGCTGCTTCCGCTGCTGCCGGATGCACTCCCGCAATAAGACCTGCACGAAGAATTGCGGTGACAACCCAGAGATGTGCAGCTCATTGACAAGCCAAATAAGTCAATTCCTGCTACTTCTAGAGCACCACTTGTGTTGGTACAGCCTTTTGTCACCTTGACCATCCCATCCATAGCTGACAGCACTGAACTTAGATTCAAGTACATATCAAAGCCGAACACAACATTCGCACTATTGTTGTAGCGAAGTACTCCAAATCGGCTTTGACTCCGACCCACAGCGCCAGTACCAGAGCTGTCGTTTCTCCAACTGTTACTGCTGCTGCTGCTGCTGCCGCCGCCACCGCCGCTGTCACTGCTGCCACTACTGCTTATGTTGCTCAGCTGCTGTCGCCTCCATGCAGACCGCCCGTCTTCTCCACGATTTGTTGCCACCGAAAATAGATCCATCATCTTCTTTGTGAAGCTCACCATCTTAGCAAAATTGCCATCACCAACGCTACCTGAAGCATCCAGTATGAATGCTACGTCCAACACACCACCTCTTTCTACACAGCCTCCTGCATACAAAGACAATGCACGAAATACACACACAAACACAGAAACAACATCATGTTGTACTATTAACGCTCTTTCTGACTGTTTATCATCTTCTTACAGTCGTGCATAGTTGCTGCATAACTCGTTCTCATGTGTGTTCTTCTCTTTTTTAACATCATAATTATTAGTATTCTTTCTTTTTTCAGTCCACATCTACTGTAATACAGAGAGACATAAAAAAAACAAGGACAACTGGACACAGATTGAGGGGTAGGTGGTCGCAGCCTGATCGATCAGAGTGTCTCAAATGATCAACGATGTTCACACGGATCCAGAAATAAGCCATGATCACTGAACAACCATTTAGGACCGTCAGATTAATTTACATGGACCGAGCCATTCGGGAAAGAACCCTCGCACCGACGGACGCAGCAGTGAGGGAAATAACCCGGTGTATGATGCCAGTGACGATATGATATCATGCAAGCATTTCAAAGCACATCAAAGCAAACTTGCTTTTAAAAACAAATTTGGGGTGCACAGAACTGAAGCGTGGGAGCGCACAGACACTGGTGAGACTCAAGAACTGACTGAGGAACCAGGAAAAGAAGCAACAATAAAGAAAAGCCTTCAATGACGCCATATTTGAAGCAGAAAAACAGAAAAAGAGTGTTGCGCAAGATTTCATTTCTTGTCTATCTCCCCTGCGTCCGGCCGACAAGAAATGAAACTTCTACTTCTCCCTCGATCTCTCGTTTTATCAAGTTCTCTCTCTCTCTCTCTCTCTCTCTGTCTCTGTCTCTGTGTCAAACTCACCTTCCTTACGAGTTGATGGACAAGCTACGCTGCCACACTTGCGCTGTTGCCTGCTCTCTCCCACACACAGGCTGCTCTCATTGCTTCCGCATTCTCGACTTCTTCTCTGTATCCCGCCGCCACAGCTGGAACTGCACTGCGACCAGCTACTCCATACATCCCAGCCACGAACTAAACACATCCAACAACGCACAGACGCACATGAAAACACGACACACCAAACACCAACATCCTCCGTGCATACTAGCTGCCTGTTGGCTTCTTCATACAGAACTGAACCGTTATGATCTACAGCACACGCGGCAAGTACAGTACCTTTTCAATTCAACAAAACATATTACATGTATAGCAGTCTGAGTCATGCAAGACTGTTCTCGCTGCCCATGCTCTTGCTCACCTGGGCACACAAATTGCTCCAGTTTCTTCAGCACAGTCTCCTCCAATGCATCAAAACTCTGCACCGATAACACGTGCTTAGGATATGGCAGGCTTGCGATGCTTTCCAACTCTGACCGGTCTATTCCGTTACCGATGCCCACTGCAAACACCTCGATGTTGTTAGCACGCAGCTCAGAAGCGCAGGCCGAAGGATTGCCACCAACATTGGAGTTTCCGTCACTCAACACCACAATAACTTCTCGTCTTCTGCCACCGCTTGAGCTGCTCCTTCTTCCTCGTCCTCGTCCTCGATCACCAGAAGATGACGACCCTGAGCTGCTGCTGCTGCTGCTGCTACCACGGCTGCTGCTGCTGCTGCCACGGCCGTTACTGCTGCTGCTGCTGCTACTGCTGCTTCCGCCGCTTCCTCTGCCATTCTGACTACTACTTCCACCTCCACTGCCACGGCTGCTGCTTCCGCTGCTGCCGGATGCACTCCCGCAATAAGACCTGCACGAAGAATTGCGGTGACAACCCAGAGATGTGCAGCTCATTGACAAGCCAAATAAGTCAATTCCTGCTACTTCTAGAGCGCCACTTGTGTTGGTACAGCCTATTGTCACCTTGGCCATCCCATCCATAGCTGACAGCACTGAACTTAGATTCAAGTACATATCAAAGCCGAACACAACATTCGCACTATTGTTGTAGCGAAGTACTCCAAATCGGCTTTGACTCCGACCCACAGCGCCAGTACCAGAGCTGTCGTTTCTCCAATTGTTACTGCCGCTGCTGCTGCTGCCGCCGCCACCGCCGCTGTCACTGCTGCCACTACTGCTTATGTTGCTCAGCTGCTGTCGCCTCCATGCAGACCGCCCGTCTTCTCCACGATTTGTTGCCACCGAAAATCGATCCATCATCTTCTTTGTGAAGCTCACCATCTTAGCAAAATTGCCATCACCAACGCTACCTGAAGCATCCAGTATGAATGCTACGTCCAACACACCACCTCTTTCTACACAGCCTCCTGCATACAAAGACAATGCACGAATTACACACACAAACACAGAAACAACATCATGTGATATATTAGGCCTTGCTGGTTTTTTTCTATGTTTCTCGTCACCTTATTCGATGAAATCAATGAGGGAGGGCGAAACAAATATAAAAGCCATCCAAAAAAAACCAGTGTACGTGCATTGCATTTGTGTACAGTGAAGCGACACGGCACTGTTCATGTACATTGACATGTACATGAATACATGAGTGTATCCCCTCTGCCATGCTTGTGGTCCAAACACAGCCGGCATCATGATCATTAATATTGTGTGACTTACGGCCCAGCTTATATGACACACATGTACATGTACATGTGTGTGAGCTGAGTACAATCATGCGATAAATAGAACAAATATGTAATTGATGCCAACATAATAGTTACGTGTAACACTAATGTTCTTTTTTTTTCTTTTGGGTTACATTTCCCGGTTTTCTGGGTTTGCATTACATTTGTATTGCATTTTTTTAACCATTTTTTTGTTCCGTTTCTTTATAATTTTTTAAAACTCCGGCTGTGAAATACATGCGCGCGGGTGACGCGAAACATAGATAAAGAACGGTGTGGCCTTAACGCTCTTTCTGACTGTTTATCATCTTCTTACAGTCGTGGATAGTTGCTGCTTAACTCGTTCTCATGTGTTTTCTTCCCCTTTTTTTTAACATCATATCAGTATTCTTTCTTTTTTCAGTCCACATCTACTGTCATACAGAGAGACATAAAAAAACAAGGACAACTGGACACAGATTGAGGGGTAGGTGGTCGCAGCCTGATCGATCAGAGTGTCTCAAATGATCAACGATGTTCACACGGATCCAGAAATAAGCCATGATCACTGAACAACCATTTAGGACCGTCCGACTAATTTACATGGACCGAGCCAGCCGGAAAAGAACCCTCGCACCGACGGACGCAGCAGTGAGGGAAATAACCCGGTGTATGATGCCAGTGACGATATGACATCATGCAAGCATTTCATAGCACATCAAAGCAAACTTGCTTTTAAAAACAAATTTGGGGTGCACAGAACTGAAGCGTGGGAGCGCACAGACACTGGTGAGACTCAAGAACTGACTGAGGAACCAGGAAAAGAAGCAACAATAAAGAAAAGCATTGATGCCATATTTGATGCAGAAAAACAGAAAAAGAGTGTTGCGCAAGAATGTATTTCTTGTCTATCTCCCCTGCGTCCGGCCGACGAGAAATAAAACTTCTATTTCTCCCTCGATATCTCGTTTTATCAAGTTCTCTCTCTCTCTGTCTCTCTCTCTCTCTGTCTCTCTCTCTCTCTCTCTCTCTGTCTCTCTCTCTCTCTCTCCCTCTGTCTCTGTGTCAAACTCACCTTCCTTACGAGTTGATGGACAAGCTACGCTGCCACACTTGCGCTGTTGCCTGCTCTCTCCCACACACAGACTGCTCTCATTGCTTCCGCATTCTCGACTTCTTCTCTGTATCCCGCCGCCACAGCTGGAACTGCACTGCGACCAGCTACTCCATACATCCCAGCCACGAACTAAACACATCCAACAACGCACAGACGCACATGAAAACACGACACACCAAACACCAACATCCTCCGTGCATACTAGCTGCCTGTTGGCTTCTTCATACAGAACTGAACCGTTATGATCTACAGTACACGCGGCAAGTACAGTACCTTTTCAATTCAACAAAACATATTACATGTATAGCAGTCTGAGTCATGCAAGACTGTTCTCGCTGCCCATGCTCTTGCTCACCTGGGCACACAAATTGCTCCAGTTTCTTCAGCACAGTCTCCTCCAATGCATCAAAACTCTGCACCGATAACACGTGCTTAGGATATGGCAGGCTTGCGATGCTTTCCAACTCTGACCGGTCTATTCCGTTACCGATGCCCACTGCAAACACCTCGATGTTGTTAGCACGCAGCTCAGAAGCGCAGGCCGAAGGATTGCCACCAACATTGGAGTTTCCGTCACTTAACACCACAATAATTTCTCGTCTTCTGTCACCGCTTGAGCTGCTCCTTCTTCCTCGTCCTCGTCCTCGATCACCAGAAGATGACGACCCTGAGCTGCTGCTGCTGCTGCTGCTGCTGCTGCTCCCACGGCCGCTGCTGCTGCTGCTGCTGCTGCCACGGCCGCTACTGCTGCTGCTGCTGCCACTGCTGCTTCCGCCGCTTCCTCTGCCATTCTGACTACTACTTCCACCTCCACTGCCACGGTTGCTGCTCCCGCTGCTGCCGGATGCACTCCCGCAATAAGACCTGCACGAAGAATTGCGGTGACAACCCAGAGATGTGCAGCTCATTGACAAGCCAAATAAGTCAATTCCTGCTACTTCTAGAGCACCACTTGTGTTGGTACAGCCTTTTGTCACCTTGGCCATCCCATCCATAGCTGACAGCACTGAACTTAGATTCAAGTACATATCAAAGCCGAACACAACATTCGCACTATTGTTGTAGCGAAGTACTCCAAATCGGCTTTGACTCCGACCCACAGCGCCAGTATCAGAGCTGTTGTTTCTCCAATTGTTACTGCCGCTGCTGCTGCTGCCGCCGCCACTGCTGCCACTACTGCTTATGTTGCTCAGCTGCTGTCGCCTCCATGCAGACCGCCCGTCTTCTCCACGATATGTTGCCACCGAAAATCGATCCATCATCTTCTTTGTGAAGCTCACCATCTTAGCAAAATTGCCGTCACCAACGCTACCTGAAGCATCCAGTATGAATGCTACGTCCAACACACCACCTCTTTCTACACAGCCTCCTGCATACAAAGACAATGCACGAAATACACACACAAACACAGAAACAACATCATGTTGTAATATTAACGCTCTTTCTGACTGTTTATCATCTTCTTACAGTCGTGGATAGTTGCTGCATAACTCGGTCTCATGTGTGTTCTTCTCTTTTTTAACATCGTAATTATTGTAGAAATTACTGTATCCATATGTCCTTTTCCTTTCTACATTTATATATGGCTCAACATCCGAGTTTCAAATCATAATTATTAGTATTCTTTCTTTTTTCAGTCCACGTCTACTTTTGTACAGAGAGACATAAAAAACAAGGACAACTGGACACAGATTGAGGGGTAGGTGGTCGCAGCCTGATCGATCAGAGTGTCTCATATAATCAATGATGTTCACACGGATCCAGAAATAAGCCATGATCACTGAACAACCATTTAGGACCGTCAGATTAATTTACATGGACCGAGCCAGTCGGGAAAGAACCCTCGCACCGACGGACGCAGCAGTGAGGGAAATAACCCGGTGTATGATGCCAGTAACGATATGACATCATGCAAGCATTTCAAAGCACATCAAAGCAAACTTGCTTTTAAAAACAAATTTGGGGTGCACAGAACTGAAGCGTGGGAGCGCACAGACACTGGTGAGACTGAGGAACTGACAGAGGAACCAGGAAAAGAAGCAACAATAAAGAAGAGCATTGATGCCATATTTAAAGCAGAAAAACAGAAAAAGAGTGTTGCGCAAGATTTCATTTCTTGTCTATCTCCCCTGCGTCCGGCCGACGAGAAATAAAACTTCTATTTCTCAATCGATCTCTCGTTTTATCAAGTTGTCTCTCTCTCTATCTCTCTCTCTCTCTGTCTCTCTCTCTCTCTCTCTCTATGTCTCTCTCTCTCTCTGTCTCTGTCTCTGTGTCAAACTCACCTTCCTTACGAGTTGATGGACAAGCTACGCTGCCACACTTGCGCTGTTGCCTGCTCTCTCCCACACACAGACTGCTCTCATTGCTTCGGCATTCTCGACTTCTTCTCTGTATCCCGCCGCCACAGCTGGAACTGCACTGCGACCAGCTACTCCATACATCCCAGCCACGAACTAAACACATCCAACAACGCACAGACGCACATGAAAACACGACACACCAAACACCAACATCCTCCGTGCATACTAGCTGCCTGTTGGCTTCTTCATACAGAACTGAACCGTTATGATCTACAGTACACGCGGCAAGTACAGTACCTTTTCAATTCAACAAAACATATTACGTGTATAGCAGTCTGAGTCATGCAAGACTGTTCTCGCTGCCCATGCTCTTGCTCACCTGGGCACACAAATTGCTCCAGTTTCTTCAGCACAGTCTCCTCCAACGCATCAAAACTCTGCACCGATAAAACGTGCTTAGGATATGGCAGGCTTGCGATGCTTTCCAACTCTGACCGGTCTATTCCGTTACCGATCCCCACTGCAAACACCTCGATGTTGTTAGCACGCAGCTCAGAAGCGCAGGCCGAAGGATTGCCACCAACATTGGAGTTTCCGTCACTCAACACCACAATAACTTCTCGTCTTCTGCCACCGCTTGAGCTGCTCCTTCTTCCTCGTCCTCGTCCTCGATCACCAGAAGATGACGACCCTGAGCTGCTGCTGCTGCTGCTGCTACCACGGCTGCTGCTGCTGCTGCTACCACGGCTGCTGCTGCTGCTGCTGCTGCCACGGCCGCTACTGCTGCTGCTGCTGCCACTGCTGCTTCCGCCGCTTCCTCTGCCATTCTGACTACTACTTCCACCTCCATTGCCACGGCTGCTGCTTCCGCTGCTGCCGGATGCACTCCCGCAATAAGACCTGCACGAAGAATTGCGGTGACAACCCAGAGATGTGCAGCTCATTGACAAGCCAAATAAGTCAATTCCTGCTACTTCTAGAGCACCACTTGTGTTGGTACAGCCTTTTGTCACCTTGGCCATCCCATCCATAGCTGACAGCACTGAACTTAGATTCAAGTACATATCAAAGCCGAACACAACATTCGCACTATTGTTGTAGCGAAGTACTCCAAATCGGCTTTGACTCCGACCCACAGCGCCAGTACCAGAGCTGTCGTTTCTCCAATTGTTACTGCTGCTGCTGCTGCTGCCGCCGCCACCGCCGCTGTCACTGCTGAAACTACTGCTTATGTTGCTCAGCTGCTGTCGCCTCCATGCAGACCGCCCGTCTTCTCCACGATTTGTTGCCACCGAAAATCGATCCATCATCTTCTTTGTGAAGCTCACCATCTTAGCAAAATTGCCATCACCAACGCTACCTGAAGCATCCAGTATGAATGCTACGTCCAAAACACCACCTCTTTCTACACAGCCTCCTGCATACAAAGACAATGCACGAAATACACACACAAACACAGAAACAACATTATGTTGTACTATTAACGCTCTTTCTGACTGTTTATCATCTTCTTACAGTCGTGCATAGTTGCTGCATAACTCGTTCTCATGTGTGTTCTTCTCTTTTTTAACATCATAATTATTAGTATTCTTTCTTTTTTCAGTCCACATCTACTGTAATACAGAGAGACATAAAAAACAAGGACAACTGGACACAGATTGAGGGGTAGGTGGTCACAGCCTGATCGATCAGAGTGTCTCAAATGATCAACGATGTTCACACGGATCCAGAAATAAGCCATGATCACTGAACAACCATTTAGGACCGTCAGATTAATTTACATTGACCGAGCCAGCCGGGAAAGAACCCTCACACCGACGGACGCAGCAGTGAGGGAAATAACCCGGTGTATGATGCCAGTGACGATATGACATCATGCAAGCATTTCAAAGCACATCAAAGCAAACTTGCTTTTAAAAACAAATTTGGGGTGCACAGAACTGAAGCGTGGGAGCGCACAGACACTGGTGAGACTCAAGAACTGACTGAGGAACCAGGAAAAGAAGCAACGATAAAGAAAAGCATTGATGCCATATTTGAAGCAGAAAAACAGAAAAAGAGTGTTACGCAAGATTTCATTTCTTGTCTATCTCCCTTGCGTCCGGCCGACGAGTAATAAAACTTCTACTTCTCCCTCGATCTCTCGTTTTATCAAGTTCTCTCTCTTGCTCTCTCATTCTCTCTCTCTGTCTCTGTGTCAAACTCACCTTCCTTACGAGTTGATGGACAATCTACGCTGCCGCACTTGCGCTGTTGCCTGCTCTCTCCCACACACAGACTGCTCTCATTGCTTCCGCATTCTCGACTTCTTCTCTGTATCCCGCCGCCACAGCTGGAACTGCACTGCGACCAGCTACTCCATACATCCCAGCCACGAACTAAACACATCCAACAACGCACAGACGCACATGAAAACACGACACACCAAACACCAACATCCTCCGTGCATACTAGCTGCCTGTTGGCTTCTTCATACAGAACTGAACCGTTATGATCTACAGTACACGCGGCAAGTACAGTACCTTTTCAATTCAACAAAACATATTACATGTATAGCAGTCTGAGTCATGCAAGACTGTTCTCGCTGCCCATGCTCTTGCTCACCTGGGCACACAAATTGCTCCAGTTTCTTCAGCACAGTCTCCTCCAATGCATCAAAACTCTGCACCGATAACACGTGCTTAGGATATGGCAGGCTTGCGATGCTTTCCAACTCTGACCGGTCTATTCCGTTACCGATGCCCACTGCAAACACCTCGATGTTGTTAGCACGCAGCTCAGAAGCGCAGGCCGAAGGATTGCCACCAACATTGGAGTTTCCGTCACTCAACACCACAATAACTTCTCGTCTTCTGCCACCGCTTGAGCTGCTCCTTCTTCCTCGTCCTCGTCCTCGATCACCAGAAGATGACGACCCTGAGCTGCTGCTGCTGCTGCTGCTGCTGCTACCACGGCTGCTGCTGCTGCTGCTACCACGGCTGCTGCTGCTGCTGCTGCTGCTGCCACGGCCGCTACTGCTGCTGCTGCTGCCACTGCTGCTTCCGCCGCTTCCTCTGCCATTCTGACTACTACTTCCACCTCCATTGCCACGGCTGCTGCTTCCGCTGCTGCCGGATGCACTCCCGCAATAAGACCTGCACGAAGAATTGCGGTGACAACCCAGAGATGTGCAGCTCATTGACAAGCCAAATAAGTCAATTCCTGCTACTTCTAGAGCACCACTTGTGTTGGTACAGCCTTTTGTCACCTTGGCCATCCCATCCATAGCTGACAGCACTGAACTTAGATTCAAGTACATATCAAAGCCGAACACAACATTCGCACTATTGTTGTAGCGAAGTACTCCAAATCGGCTTTGACTCCGACCCACAGCGCCAGTACCAGAGCTGTCGTTTCTCCAATTGTTACTGCTGCTGCTGCTGCTGCCGCCGCCACCGCCGCTGTCACTGCTGAAACTACTGCTTATGTTGCTCAGCTGCTGTCGCCTCCATGCAGACCGCCCGTCTTCTCCACGATTTGTTGCCACCGAAAATCGATCCATCATCTTCTTTGTGAAGCTCACCATCTTAGCAAAATTGCCATCACCAACGCTACCTGAAGCATCCAGTATGAATGCTACGTCCAAAACACCACCTCTTTCTACACAGCCTCCTGCATACAAAGACAATGCACGAAATACACACACAAACACAGAAACAACATTATGTTGTACTATTAACGCTCTTTCTGACTGTTTATCATCTTCTTACAGTCGTGCATAGTTGCTGCATAACTCGTTCTCATGTGTGTTCTTCTCTTTTTTAACATCATAATTATTAGTATTCTTTCTTTTTTCAGTCCACATCTACTGTAATACAGAGAGACATAAAAAACAAGGACAACTGGACACAGATTGAGGGGTAGGTGGTCACAGCCTGATCGATCAGAGTGTCTCAAATGATCAACGATGTTCACACGGATCCAGAAATAAGCCATGATCACTGAACAACCATTTAGGACCGTCAGATTAATTTACATTGACCGAGCCAGCCGGGAAAGAACCCTCACACCGACGGACGCAGCAGTGAGGGAAATAACCCGGTGTATGATGCCAGTGACGATATGACATCATGCAAGCATTTCAAAGCACATCAAAGCAAACTTGCTTTTAAAAACAAATTTGGGGTGCACAGAACTGAAGCGTGGGAGCGCACAGACACTGGTGAGACTCAAGAACTGACTGAGGAACCAGGAAAAGAAGCAACGATAAAGAAAAGCATTGATGCCATATTTGAAGCAGAAAAACAGAAAAAGAGTGTTACGCAAGATTTCATTTCTTGTCTATCTCCCTTGCGTCCGGCCGACGAGTAATAAAACTTCTACTTCTCCCTCGATCTCTCGTTTTATCAAGTTCTCTCTCTTGCTCTCTCATTCTCTCTCTCTGTCTCTGTGTCAAACTCACCTTCCTTACGAGTTGATGGACAATCTACGCTGCCGCACTTGCGCTGTTGCCTGCTCTCTCCCACACACAGACTGCTCTCATTGCTTCCGCATTCTCGACTTCTTCTCTGTATCCCGCCGCCACAGCTGGAACTGCACTGCGACCAGCTACTCCATACATCCCAGCCACGAACTAAACACATCCAACAACGCACACACGCACATGAAAACACGACACACCAAACACCAACATCCTCCGTGCATACTAGCTGCCTGTTGGCTTCTTCATACAGAACTGAACCGTTATGATCTACAGTACACGCGGCAAGTACAGTACCTTTTCAATTCAACAAAACATATTACATGTATAGCAGTCTGAGTCATGCAAGACTGTTCTCGCTGCCCATGCTCTTGCTCACCTGGGCACACAAATTGCTCCAGTTTCTTCAGCACAGTCTCCTCCAATGCATCAAAACTCTGCACTGATAACACGTGCTTAGGATATGGCAGGCTTGCGATGCTTTCCAACTCTGACCGGTCTATTCCGTTACCGATGCCCAATGCAAACACCTCGATGTTGTTAGCACGCAGCTCAGAAGCGCAGGCCGAAGGATTGCCACCAACATTGGAGTTTCCGTCACTCAACAGTACAATAACTTCTCGTCTTCTGCCACCGCTTGAGCTGCTCCTTCTTCCTCGTCCACGTCCTCGATAACCAGAAGATGACGACCCTGAGCTGCTGCTGCTGCTGCTGCTACCACGGCTGCTGCTGCTGCTGCTGCTCCCACGGCCGCTGCTGCTGCTGCTGCCACTGCTGCTTCCGCCGCTTCCTCTGCCATTCTGACTACTACTTCCACCTCCACTGCCACGGCTGCTGCTTCCGCTGCTGCCGGATGCACTCCCGCAATAAGACCTGCACGAAGAATTGCGGTGACAACCCAGAGATGTGCAGCTCATTGACAAGCCAAATAAGTCAATTCCTGCTACTTCTAGAGCACCACTTGTGTTGGTACAGCCTTTTGTCACCTTGGCCATCCCATCCATAGCTGACAGCACTGAACTTAGATTCAAGTACATATCAAAGCCGAACACAACATTCGCACTATTGTTGTAGCGAAGTACTCCAAATCGGCTTTGACTCCGACCCACAGCGCCAGTACCAGAGCTGTCGTTTCTCCAATTGTTACTTCTGCTGCTGCTGCTGCTGCTGCCGCCGCCACCGCCGCTGTCACTGCTGCCACTTCTGCTTATGTTGCTCAGCTGCTGTCGCCTCCATGCAGACCGCCCGTCTTCTCCACGATTTGTTGCTACCGAAAATAGATCCATCATCTTCTTTGTGAAGCTCACCATCTTAGCAAAATTGCCATCACCAACGCTACCTGAAGCATCCAGTATGAATGCTACGTCCAACACACCACCTCTTTCTACACAGCCTCCTGCATACAAAGACAATGCACGAAATACACACACAAACACAGAAACAACATCATGTGATATATTAGGCCTTGCTGGTTTTTTTCTATGTTTCGCGTCACCTTATTCGATGAAATCAATGAGGGAGGGCGAAACAAATATAAAAGCCATCCAAAAAAAACCAGTGTACGTGCATTGCATTTGTGTACAGTGAAGCGACACGGCACTGTTCATGTACATTGACATGTACATGAATACATGAGTGTATCCCCTCTGCCATGCTTGTGGTCCAAACACAGCCGGCATCATGATCATTAATATTGTGTGACTTACGGCCCAGCTTATATGACACACATGTACATGTACATGTGTGTGAGCTGAGTACAATCATGCGATAAATAGAACAAATATGTAATTGATGCAAACATAATAGTTACGTGTAACACTAATGTTCTTTTTTTTTCTTTTGGGTTACATTTCCCGGTTTTCTGGGTTTGCATTACAATTGTATTGCATTTTTTAACCATTTTTTTGTTCCATTTTTTTATAATTTTTTTAAACTCCGGCTCTGAAATACATGCGCGCGGGTGACGCGAAACATAGATAAAGAACGGTGTGGCCTTAACGCTCTTTCTGACTGTTTATCATCTTCTTACAGTCGTGGATAGTTGCTGCATAACTCGTTCTCATGTGTTTTCTTCCCCTTTTTTAACATCATATCAGTATTCTTTCTTTTTTCAGTCCACATCTACTGTCATACAGAGAGACATAAAAAACAAGGACAACTGGACACCGATTAAGGGGTAGGTGGTCGCAGCCTGATCGATCAGAGTGTCTCAAATGATCAACGATGTTCACACGGATCCAGAAATAAGCCATGATCACTGAACAACCATTTAGGACCGTCCGACTAATTTACATGGACCGAGCCAGCCGGGAAAGAACCCTCGCACCGACGGACGCAGCAGTGAGGGAAATAACCCGGTGTATGATGCCAGTGACGATATGACATCATGCAAGCATTTCATAGCACATCAAAGCAAACTTGCTTTTAAAAACAAATTTGGGGTGCACAGAACTGAAGCGTGGGAGCGCACAGACACTGGTGAGACTCAAGAACTGACTGAGGAACCAGGAAAAGAAGCAACGATAAAGAAAAGCATTGATGCCATATTTGAAGCAGAAAAACAGAAAAAGAGTGTTGCGCAAGAATGTATTTCTTGTCTATCTCCCCTGCGTCCGGCCGACGAGAAATAAAACTTCTATTTCTCCCTCGATCTCTCGTTTTATCAAGTTCTCTCTCTCTCTCTCTCATTCTCTCTCTCTCTCTGTCTCTGTCTCTGTGTCCAACTCACCTTCCTTACGAGTTGATGGACAAGCTACGCTGCCACACTTGCGCTGTTGCCTGCTCTCTCCCACACACAGACTGCTCTCATTGCTTCCGCATTCTCGACTTCTTCTCTGTATCCCGCTGCCACAGCTGGAACTGCACTGCGACCAGCTACTCCATACATCCCAGCCACGAACTAAACACATCCAACAACGCACACACGCACATGAAAACACGACACACCAAACACCAACATCCTCCGTGCATACTAGCTGCCTGTTGGCTTCTTCATACAGAACTGAACTGTTAGCATGTACAGTACACGTGGCAAGTACAGTACCTTTTCAATTCAACAAAACATATTACATGTATAGCAGTCTGAGTCATGCAAGACTGTTCTCGCTGCCCATGCTCTTGCTCACCTGGGCACACAAATTGCTCCAGTTTCTTCAGGACAGTCTCCTCCAACGCATCAAAACTCTGCACCGATAAAACGTGCTTAGGATATGGCAGGCTTGCGATGCTTTCCAACTCTGACCGGTCTATTCCGTTACCGATGCCCACTGCAAACACCTCGATGTTGTTAGCACGCAGCTCAGAAGCGCAGGCCGAAGGATTGCCACCAACATTGGAGTTTCCGTCACTCAACACCACAATAACTTCTCGTCTTCTGCTACCGCTTGAGCTGCTCCTTCTTCCTCGTCCTCGTCCTTGATCACCAGAAGATGACGACCCTGAGCTGCTGCTGCTGCTGCTGCTTCCACGGCTGCTGCTGCTGCTACCACGGCTGCTGCTGCTGCTGCCACGGCCGCTACTGCTGCTGCTGCTGCCACTGCTGCTTCCGCCGCTTCCTCTGCCATTCTGACTACTACTTCCACCTCCACTGCCACGGCTGCTGCTTCCGCTGCTGCCGGATGCACTCCCGCAATAAGACCTGCACGAAGAATTGCGGTGACAACCCAGAGATGTGCAGCTCATTGACAAGCCAAATAAGTCAATTCCTGCTACTTCTAGAGCACCACTTGTGTTGGTACAGCCTTTTGTCACCTTGGCCATCCCATCCATAGCTGACAGCACTGAACTTAGATTCAAGTACATATCAAAGCCGAACACAACATTCGCACTATTGTTGTAGCGAAGTACTCCAAATCGGCTTTGACTCCGACCCACAGTGCCAGTACCAGATCTGTCGTTTCTCCAATTGTTACTGCTGCTGCTGCTGCTGCTACTGCTGCTGCCGCCACCGCCGCTGTCACTGCTGCCACTACTGCTTATGTTGCTCAGCTGCTGTCGCCTCCATGCAGACCGCCCGTCTTCTCCACGATTTGTTGCCACTGAAAATCGATCCATCATCTTCTTTGTGAAGCTCACCATCTTAGCAAAATTGCCATCACCAACGCTACCTGAAGCATCCAGTATGAATGCTACGTCCAACACACCACCTCTTTCAACACAGCCTCCTGCATACAAAGACAATGCACGAAATACACCCACAAACACAGAAACAACAACATGTTGTACTATTAACGCTCTTTCTGACTGTTTATCAACTTCTTACAGTCGTGGATAGTTGCTGCATAACTCGTTCTCGTGTGTTTTCTTCTCTTTTTTAACGTCATATTAGTATTCTTTCTTTTTTCAGTCCACATCTACTGTCATACAGAGAGACATAAAAAACAAGGACAACTGGACACAGATTGAGGGGTAGGTGGTCGCAGCCTGATCGATCAGAGTGTCTCAAATGATCAACGATGTTCACACGGATCCAGAAATAAGCCATGATCACTGAACAACCATTTAGGACCGTCAGATTAATTTACATGGACCGAGCCAGTCTGGAAAGAACCCTCGCACCGACGGACGCAGCAGTGAGGGAAATAACCCGGTGTATGATGCCAGTGACGATATGACATCATGCAAGCATTTCAAAGCACATCAAAGCAAACTTGCTTTTAAAAACAAATTTGGGGTGCACAGAACTGAAGCGTGGGAGCTCACAGACACTGGTGAGACTCAAGAACTGACTGAGGAACCAGGAAAAGAAGCAACAATAAAGAAAAGCATTCATGACATATTTGAAGCAGAAAAACAGAAAAAGAGTGTTGCGCAAGATTTCATTTCTTGTCTATCTCCCTTGCGTCCGGCCGACGAGTAATAAAACTTCTATTTCTCCCTTGATCTCTCGTTTTATCAAGTTCTCTCTCTCTCTCTCTCTCTCTCTCTCTCTCTCATTCTCTCTCTCTCTCTCTCTCTCTCTGTCTCTGTCTCTGTGTCAAACTCACCTTCCTTACGAGTTGATGGACAAGCTACGCTGCCACACTTGCGCTGTTGCCTGCTCTCTCCCACACACAGACTGCTCTCATTGCTTCCGCATTCTCGACTTCTTCTCTGTATCCCGCCGCCACAGCTGGAACTGCACTGCGACCAGCTACTCCATGCATCCCAGCCACGAACTAAACACATCCAACAACGCACACACGCACATGAAAACACGACACACCAAACACCAACATCCTCCGTGCATACTAGCTGCCTGTTGGCTTCTTCATACAGAACTGAACCGTTATGATCTACAGTACACGCGGCAAGTACAGTACCTTTTCAATTCAACAAAACATATTACATGTATAGCAGTCTGAGTCATGCAAGACTGTTCTCGCTGACCATGCTCTTGCTCACCTGGGCACACAAATTGCTCCAGTTTCTTCAGCACAGTCTCCTCCAAAGCATCAAAACTCTGCACCGATAACATGTGCTTAGGATATGGCAGGCTTGCGATGCTTTCCAACTCTGACCGGTCTATTCCGTTACCGATGCCCACTGCAAACACCTCGATGTTGTTAGCACGCAGCTCAGAAGCGCAGGCCGAAGGATTGCCACCAACATTGGAGTTTCCGTCACTCAACAGTACAATAACTTCTCGTCTTCTGCCACCGCTTGAGCTGCTCCTTCTTCCTCGTCCACGTCCTCGATAACCAGAAGATGACGACCCTGAGCTGCTGCTGCTGCTGCTACCACGGCTGCTGCTGCTGCTGCTGCTGCTGCTTCCACGGCCGCTGCTGCTGCTGCTGCTGCCACTGCTGCTTCCGCCGCTTCCTCTGCCATTCTGACTACTACTTCCACCTCCACTGCCACGGCTGCTGCTTCCGCTGCTGCCGGATGCACTCCCGCAATAAGACCTGCACGAAGAATTGCGGTGACAACCCAGAGATGTACAGCTCATTGACAAGCCAAATAAGTCAATTCCTGCTACTTCTAGAGCACCACTTGTGTTGGTACAGCCTTTTGTCACCTTGGCCATCCCATCCATAGCTGACAGCACTGAACTTAGATTCAAGTACATATCAAAGCCGAACACAACATTCGCACTATTGTTGTAGCGAAGTACTCCAAATCGGCTTTGACTCCGACCCACAGCGCCAGTACCAGAGCTGTCGTGTCTCCAATTGTTACTGCTGCTGCTACTCCTGCTGCTGCTGCCGCCGCCACCGCCGCTGTCACTGCTGCCACTACTGCTTATGTAGCTCAGCTGCTGTCGCCTCCATGCAGACCGCCCGTCTTCTCCACGATTTGTTGCCACCGAAAATAGATCCATCATCTTCTTTGTGAAGCTCACCATCTTAGCAAAATTGCCATCACCAACGCTACCTGAAGCATCCAGTATGAATGCTACGTCCAACACACCACCTCTTTCAACACAGCCTCCTGCATACAAAGACAATGCACGAAATACACCCACAAACACAGAAACAACAACATGTTGTACTATTAACGCTCTTTCTGACTGTTTATCAACTTCTTACGGTCGTCGATAGTTGCTGCATAACTCAGTCTCGTGTGTTTTCTTCTCTTTTTTAACATCATATTAGTATTCTTTCTTTTTTCAGTCCACATCTACTGTCATACAGAGAGACATAAAAAAACAAGGACAACTGGACACAGATTGAGGGGTAGGTGGTCGCAGCCTGATCGATCAGAGTGTCTCAAATGATCAACGATGTTCACACGGATCCAGAAATAAGCCATGATCACTGAACAACCATTTAGGACCGTCAGATTAATTTACATGGACCGAGCCAGTCGGGAAAGAACCCTCGCACCGACGGACGCAGCAGTGAGGGAAGTAACCCGGTGTATGATGCCAGTGACGATATGATATCATGCAAGCATTTCAAGGCACATCAAAGCAAACTTGCTTTTAAAAACAAATTTGGGGTGCACAGAACTGAAGCGTGGGAGCGCACAGACACTGGTCTGACTCAAGAACTGATTGAGGAACCAGGAAAAGAAGCAACAATAAAGAAAAGCATTCATGACATATTTGAAGCAGAAAAACAGAAAAAGTGTGTTGCGCAAGATTTCATTTCTTGTCTATCTCCCTTGCGTCCGGCCGACGAGTAATAAAACTTCTATTTCTCCCTTGATCTCTCGTTTTATCAAGTTCTCTCTCTCTCTCTCTCTCATTCTCTCTCTCTCTCTCTCTCTCTCTCTCTCTCTCTCTCTCTCTCTCTGTCTCTGTCTCTGTGTCAAACTCACCTTCCTTACGAGTTGATGGACAAGCTACGCTGCCACACTTGCGCTGTTGCCTGCTCTCTCCCACACACAGACTGCTCTCATTGCTTCCGCATTCTCGACTTCTTCTCTGTATCCCGCCGCCACAGCTGGAACTGCACTGCGACCAGCTACTCCATACATCCCAGCCACGAACTAAACACATCCAACAACGCACACACGCACATGAAAACACGACACACCAAACACCAACATCCTCCGTGCATACTAGCTGCCTGTTGGCTTCTTCATACAGAACTGAACCGTTATGATCTACAGTACACGTGGCAAGTACAGTACCTTTTCAATTCAACAAAACATATTACATGTATAGCAGTCTGAGTCATGCAAGACTGCTCTCGCTGCCCATGCTCTTGCTCACCTGGGCACACAAATTGCTCCAGTTTCTTCAGCACAGTCTCCTCCAATGCATCAAAACTCTGCACCGATAACACGTGCTTAGGATATGGCAGGCTTGCGATGCTTTCCAACTCTGACCGGTCTATTCCGTTACCGATGCCCACTGCAAACACCTCGATGTTGTTAGCACGCAGCTCAGAAGCGCAGGCCGAAGGATTGCCACCAACATTGGAGTTTCCGTCACTCAACACCACAATAACTTCTCGTCTTCTGCCACCGCTTGAGCTGCTCCTTCTTCCTCGTCCTCGTCCTCGATCACCAGAAGATGACGACCCTGAGCTGCTGCTGCTGCTACCACGGCTGCTGCTGCTGCTGCCACGGCCGTTACTGCTGCTGCTGCTGCTACTGCTGCTTCCGCCGCTTCCTCTGCCATTCTGACTACTACTTCCACCTCCACTGCCACGGCTGCTGCTTCCGCTGCTGCTGGATGCACTCCCGCAATAAGACCTGCACGAAGAATTGCGGTGACAACCCAGAGATGTGCAGCTCATTGACAAGCCAAATAAGTCAATTCCTGCTACTTCTAGAGCACCACTTGTGTTGGTACAGCCTTTTGTCACCTTGGCCATCCCATCCATAGCTGACAGCACTAAACTTAGATTCAAGTACATATCAAAGCCGAACACAACATTCGCACTATTGTTGTAGCGAAGTACTCCAAATCGGCTTTGACTCCGACCCACAGCGCCAGTACCAGAGCTGTCGTTTCTCCAATTGTTACTTCTGCTGCTGCTGCTGCTGCCGCCGCCACCGCCGCTGTCACTGTTGAAACTACTGCTTATGTTGCTCAGCTGCTGTCGCCTCCATGCAGACCGCCCGTCTTCTCCACGATTTGTTGCCACCGAAAATCGATCCATCATCTTCTTTGTGAAGCTCACCATCTTAGCAAAATTGCCATCACCAACGCTACCTGAAGCATCCAGTATGAATGCTACGTCCAACACACCACCTCTTTCTACACAGCCTCCTGCATACAAAGACAATGCACGAAATACACACACAAACACAGAAACAACATCATGTGATATATTAGGCCTTGCTGGTTTTTTTCTATGTTTCGCGTCACCTTATTCGATGAAATCAATGAGGGAGGGCGAAACAAATATAAAAGCCATCCAAAAAAAACCAGTGTACGTGCATTGCATTTGTGTACAGTGAAGCGACACGGCACTGTTCATGTACATTGACATGTACATGAATACATGAGTGTATCCCCTCTGCCATGCTTGTGGTCCAAACACAGCCGGCATCATGATCATTAATATTGTGTGACTTACGGCCCAGCTTATATGACACACATGTACATGTACATGTGTGTGAGCTGAGTACAATCATGCGATAAATAGAACAAATATGTAATTGATGCCAACATAATAGTTACGTGTAACACTAATGTTCTTTTTTTTTCTTTTGGGTTACATTTCCCGGTTTTCTGGGTTTGCATTACAATTGTATTGATGAGCGTTAGCATGCTAACGCGAGTTAGCAGCCAGCCCAGCGAGCTGGCCCAACCTGCACGCATGCGCGAGTCACGTGGGCACGCGCCCTTCAATATCCTGTACAATGTCTCTTTCATGTCATTGCTGTTTGGACTTTCGAGCGTGCAACTTGCGGAACAGGTGTTCCCGAAACAATTTCCTTTCGTTAGACTTTCAAGCTTGCATTCTCGAATCTCTACGTTTCAATTCAGACTTCAATGACGCCTGTTGGTGCCTGTTGGTGCCTGAAACAAAGTCGTCGTCTACAGTGGAACGTCGACTGTGGTTTTTTAGCTTGCGCCATCATCAGGTTTCCTGAAATGAAGTACCTCCACGCGATCTCAGCGACCCTTGTTTGTGCCTGGCTTGAAACAATGTCGTCGTCACCAACCGGCGTCCAACCTCTCAGGATCGCCTCGCTCTACCTGGCTCCGCCGCCCGCCTACTGCGAACGCAGCGACGGCCGCCACGCAGACCACCACTGCAACAGCAGGCGCGAGCCTGACGATCGTAATTCGTATCCAGAGAGGCGAGTTCGTGGACTTTGATTTTCTGTTGGAAGTAACAACGGGAGTTGTCCACTGCCGTCACCAACGCCACCCAGCTTCTCCTCGCTCTACTTGGATCCGTATCGCCGCTCGCCGCCAGCAGGCCGGACCCTACTGGGAGCCCGGTGCAGTGACGACCGCCATATGCGCATGCAGCACCAACAGCAGGTGAACCTGACTGTCCTATGGGCCCTTCTCGATCGCGTCCAGAGAGGCGAGTTCGTGGACCTCGATTTCCTGCTGCCCGATACAGTTGCAGTCAGTCCAGCTCCGGCGACGTTCCAACTCCGTAGCCCCTCATATGTTGCTCTTCTGGCGCACTAGCATTTATTTGAATCCGAACCCAGAACTGCGCTTCGTAGGCTGATGACGGTAGCACTTGAGTTGAGACCTGGACAGTGTTCATGAATGGTCTGTGTTCCACTGTTCCTCACCGCGTTTCACGAGCGCCTGTGGACGTATTTGGCCACGATCGTCGCGGCCAATCGCCAGTTTTTGCCACCTAGAAACTGGACGTTATCAATACTCAATCTGCGGACAACTGTTTCGTCCTTTGTGGACTCATCAGCGTAGCACAGAGGGAATTAAGCCGAACCTGATAGCAATGGAAAATAAAATAAATCTCCAAAGCCAGGTTATCAATATCAACTTGTGGCAACTGCGCCTCGCGGTGTACTGGAACAGCACGACCCGCCTGCCAGCAGTGCAGCTCAGTGCACTCGCCAGCATTTCCGTGCGCATTTCGTCCTACTCACCAGTACAGATCCGCATCACGTACCGCAACCGTATGCCGCTACTACGAGTACGGCGCTTGCACGCGTCAGCTCAGGCAGTGCTACCTCCAGTGCCGACAGGAGCATCCCAGGGCAAAGTGTAAGGCCTCATCAGTAACTGTGCAAGCACTCAGTTTCTCACTTCTCAAAATTACTGGACTCACATCCTGATCCTATGCTCCGGAGGTATGTTGCACATGGTCGTAATTGTGGGGTTGTGGTAGGTTTCATCGGCAACCACTCAACTAACTGGGATCCATTGAATTTAACACGGTCACATGCTAACCCAGATTATATTTCTGCGCAACGATCCGTTTCTTGCAGCAGGCTTGAAACAGCTGGCCGATCCGTTTCTTGCAGCAAGCTAGAAACAGCTGGCCCGTGTTCTTCACCCCCTTTTTCCCCTCTGTGCTGTTCCGGCGTAGATGCGGTTCCTAGACGAACGGGAAGTTACACACGACACACCCTTTGTAAAGCCTGGAGGGTCGAAGTGTCAACGATTACATTCCAGCAGACCGTGTCTCTCCACAATGTCAAGATGACAATGCTGCAAACATGATTAGACAATTGCTCGCCCTGCTGTATCTTGCTCAGATCAATGTTAAAAGTGCATTCTGCCGAATTCCCGGAGGAGTGGCCCTTGTTGAACCGCTGGCAGCAGGATCAATACTGTTATGAGAGCGTCCTGCCCTTCAGACTGTACTACGCTCCAGGCCAGCTATATGGAACTCTGTCGCATCCGCCAGTGAATGGATTGTGTGCGGGCAGTTCGCACTCCCACGCCTGTTGCATTACGGGGAATACCTCAATTAATGGTACTTCCTCAATGCATGCTCTGGACTTGTGTTACCTCGCCAGCAACTCGCTATTCTGCTCCGAGCGTTTACACACCTCGGTGTTTCTCTGGCCCCAGCAAAAGTGGAGGGTCCAGCTCAAGTCCTGACGTTATTGGCATCTTCCCATTACAGGAAATACCTCGACTAACGTTTCTGTCTCCATGCATGCTCTGGACTTGTGTTAGCTCGCCAGCAACTCGCTACTCGGCGCCGTGCGTTTACATACCTCGGTGTTTCTCTGGCGTCAGCAAAAGTGCTTCCTCGATGTATGCTCTGGACCTGTGTTAGCTCGCCAGCAACTCGCTACTCGGCGCCGTGCGTTTACATACCTCGGTGTTTCTCTGGCGTCAGCAAAAGTGGAGGGTCCAGCCCACGTCCTGACGTTTATCGGCGTCATCCTGGACACCCGCACGCTCACATCAGTCTGCCGAAGGACGAACTTGCCAAGCTTCATGACCTCCTACGGGCCACTCTCAACACAGCTTCAAATACCCAATGTCAACTCGAGTATCTTCTGGGAAAGCTCTCGTTTGCTACAAGAGTGATAGTCCCAGGACGCGCATTGCAGATTGTGGTCACTTGCCAACTGGTACCGGCAGCCGTATTACCTGATCAAGCTCTCCGAAGAGTGCCTCAAATACCTTCGCTGATGGCCTGAGCTCCTGGAATAGGAGAACGGCCGGTCCTTCTTCCTACATCCTAAGTGGACGCCGTCCCCCAACTTGCTGCTATTCACTGATGCAAGTGGTGCACTTGGCTGGTGCGCAAACAATTGCAACCGGGGATAGGGCAATGGACAGTCAATCAAGCAGACCAGCCAATCGCAAAGAGTGGTTTGCAATTGTGGCAGCACCTGCAAAAGCTAGCGGCACCAGCAGCAGATGCCAATCGATCGGCTTTGCAGCAACTGCGAAAATCTTGCTCATCAGTTGTGGCTATGGCCTGGCGTCATACACCGGCCACTCGTTTCGAATCAGCTGCCGGACTCGATATTCAGAGAGGCGGGAAGGTGGAAAGCCATGTCTGCCCGAGTAACATTCAGAGGCCACCAGCAGCCAAAGCATGGGTGGCTGTGGCAATGGCCTCAGCCCATGATATCGAGTTCCTGTTAGTCAATCGTTACCGAGCTTGCACTGCTTACAAATATCACAGGTAGCTGCACTTTGTGATCCGCTCTGGGAGTGCCGATTTATGGAATATATGCTCTCAACTGGTTATGCATCTCTATATATCTAGCATTTGGCGGCTCTATTCAGAGTCATTGGCGGCTCCATGCGGAGGCATTGGCGGCTCCATGCGGAGTCATTCGGCGGCTCCATGCGGAGTAATTCGCAGCTCCATGCGGAGTAATTCGGCGGCTCCATGCGGAGTCATTCGCTGGCTCCATGCGGAGTCAATTGCCGGCTCCATGCGGAGTCATTCGCCGGCTCCATGCAGAGTCATTCGCCGGCTCCATGCGGAGTCATTTGCCGGCTCCATGCGGAGTCATTCGCCTGCTCCATGCGGAGTCATTTGCCGGCTCCATGCGGAGTCATTTGCCGGCTCCATGCGGAGTCATTTGCCGGCTCCATGCGGAGTCATTCGCCTGCTCCAAGCGGAGTCATTTGCTGGCTCAGCTGCGAGCCATTATACCAGTTCCTCGAATCGGCACTCCCAGCTTAATGCAAAACTCGGTTGCTCTGTTGTGAGGTGGGGGGATGCTAAATGAGCGTTAGCATGCTAACGCGAGTTAGCAGCCAGCCCAGCGAGCTGGCCCAACCTGCACGCATGCGCGAGTCACGTGGGCACGCGCCCTTCAATATCCTGTACAATGTCTCTTTCATGTCATTGCTGTTTGGACTTTCGAGCGTGCAACTTGCGGAACAGGTGTTCCCGAAACAATTTCCTTCCCACCCTCCCACCCACTAGCTCAACTCATGTTTCTGGCGCACACATGACGGTATCTGTATAGTCCATGAGAATATATGCTCTCAACTGGTTATGCATCTCTATATATCTAGCATTTGGCGGCTCTATTCAGAGTCATTGGCGGCTCCATGCGGAGGCATTGGCGGCTCCATGCGGAGTCATTCGGCGGCTCCATGCGGAGTAATTCGCAGCTCCATGCGGAGTAATTCGGCGGCTCCATGCGGAGTCATTCGCTGGCTCCATGCGGAGTCAATTGCCGGCTCCATGCGGAGTCATTCGCCGGCTCCATGCAGAGTCATTCGCCGGCTCCATGCGGAGTCATTTGCCGGCTCCATGCGGAGTCATTCGCCTGCTCCATGCGGAGTCATTTGCCGGCTCCATGCGGAGTCATTTGCCGGCTCCATGCGGAGTCATTTGCCGGCTCCATGCGGAGTCATTCGCCTGCTCCAAGCGGAGTCATTTGCTGGCTCAGCTGCGAGCCATTATACCAGTTGCTCGAATCGGCACTCCCAGCTTAATGCAAAACTCGGTTGCTCTGTTGTGAGGTGGGGGGATGCTAACATTTTTTAACCATTTTTTTGTTCCATTTTTTTATAATTTTTTTAAACTCCGGCTCTGAAATACATGCGCGCGGGTGACGCGAAACATAGATAAAGAACGGTGTGGCCTTAACGCTCTTTCTGACTGTTTATCATCTTCTTACAGTCGTGGATAGTTGCTGCATAACTCGTTCTCATGTGTTTTCTTCCCCTTTTTTAACATCATATCAGTATTCTTTCTTTTTTCAGTCCACATCTACTGTCATACAGAGAGACATAAAAAACAAGGACAACTGGACACCGATTGAGGGGTAGGTGGTCGCAGCCTGATCGATCAGAGTGTCTCAAATGATCAACGATGTTCACACGGATCCAGAAATAAGCCATGATCACTGAACAACCATTTAGGACCGTCCGACTAATTTACATGGACCGAGCCAGCCGGGAAAGAACCCTCGCACCGACGGACGCAGCAGTGAGGGAAATAACCCGGTGTATGATGCCAGTGACGATATGACATCATGCAAGCATTTCATAGCACATCAAAGCAAACTTGCTTTTAAAAACAAATTTGGGGTGCACAGAACTGAAGCGTGGGAGCGCACAGACACTGGTGAGACTCAAGAACTGACTGAGGAACCAGGAAAAGAAGCAACGATAAAGAAAAGCATTGATGCCATATTTGAAGCAGAAAAACAGAAAAAGAGTGTTGCGCAAGAATGTATTTCTTGTCTATCTCCCCTGCGTCCGGCCGACGAGAAATAAAACTTCTATTTCTCCCTCGATCTTTGGTTTTATCAAGTTCTCTCTCTCTCTCTCTCATTCTCTCTCTCTCTCTCTGTCTCTGTCTCTGTGTCAAACTCACCTTCCTTACGAGTTGATGGACAAGCTACGCTGCCACACTTGCGCTGTTGCCTGCTCTCTCCCACACACAGACTGCTCTCATTGCTTCCGCATTCTCGACTTCTTCTCTGTATCCCGCCGCCACAGCTGGAACTGCACTGCGACCAGCTACTCCATACATCCCAGCCACGAACTAAACACATCCAACAACGCACACACGCACATGAAAACACGACACACCAAACACCAACATCCTCCGTGCATACTAGCTGCCTGTTGGCTTCTTCATACAGAACTGAACTGTTAGCATGTACAGTACACGCGGCAAGTACAGTACCTTTTCAATTCAACAAAACATATTACATGTATAGCAGTCTGAGTCATGCAAGACTGTTCTCGCTGACCATGCTCTTGCTCACCTGGGCACACAAATTGCTCCAGTTTCTTCAGCACAGTCTCCTCCAATGCATCAAAACTCTGCACCGATAACACGTGCTTAGGATATGGCAGGCTTGCGATGCTTTCCAACTCTGACCGGTCTATTCCGTTACCGATGCCCACTGCAAACACCTCGATGTTGTTAGCACGCAGCTCAGAAGCGCAGGCCGAAGGATTGCCACCAACATTGGAGTTTCCGTCACTCAACACCACAATAACTTCTCGTCTTCTGCCACCGCTTGAGCTGCTCCTTCTTCCTCGTCCTCGTCCTCGATCACCAGAAGATGACGACCCTGAGCTGCTGCTGCTGCTGCTGCTTCCACGGCTGCTGCTGCTGCTGCTACCACGGCTGCTGCTGCTGCTGCTGCTGCCACGGCCGCTACTGCTGCTGCTGCTGCCACTGCTGCTTCCGCCGCTTCCTCTGCCATTCTGACTACTACTTCCACCTCCACTGCCACGGCTGCTGCTTCCGCTGCTGCCGGATGCACTCCCGCAATAAGACCTGCACGAAGAATTGCGGTGACAACCCAGAGATGTGCAGCTCATTGACAAGCCAAATAAGTCAATTCCTGCTACTTCTAGAGCACCACTTGTGTTGGTACAGCCTTTTGTCACCTTGGCCATCCCATCCATAGCTGACAGCACTGAACTTAGATTCAAGTACATATCAAAGCCGAACACAACATTCGCACTATTGTTGTAGCGAAGTACTCCAAATCGGCTTTGACTCCGACCCACAGTGCCAGTACCAGAGCTGTCGTTTCTCCAATTGTTACTGCTGCTGCTGCTGCTGCTGCTACTGCTGCTGCCGCCACCGCCGCTGTCACTGCTGCCACTACTGCTTATGTTGCTCAGCTGCTGTCGCCTCCATGCAGACCGCCCGTCTTCTCCACGATTTGTTGCCACTGAAAATCGATCCATCATCTTCTTTGTGAAGCTCACCATCTTAGCAAAATTGCCATCACCAACGCTACCTGAAGCATCCAGTATGAATGCTACGTCCAACACACCACCTCTTTCAACACAGCCTCCTGCATACAAAGACAATGCACGAAATACACCCGCAAACACAGAAACAACATCATGTTGTACTATTAACGCTCTTTCTGACTGTTTATCAACTTCTTACAGTCGTGGATAGTTGCTGCATAACTCGTTCTCGTGTGTTTTCTTCTCTTTTTTAACGTCATATTAGTATTCTTTCTTTTTTCAGTCCACATCTACTGTCATACAGAGAGACATAAAAAACAAGGACAACTGGACACAGATTGAGGGGTAGGTGGTCACAGCCTGATCGATCAGAGTGTCTCAAATGATCAACGATGTTCACACGGATCCAGAAATAAGCCATGATCACTGAACAACCATTTAGGACCGTCAGATTAATTTACATGGACCGAGCCAGTCGGGAAAGAACCCTCGCACCGACGGACGCAGCAGTGAGGGAAATAACCCGGTGTATGATGCCAGTGACGATATGACATCATGCAAGCATTTCAAAGCACATCAAAGCAAACTTGCTTTTAAAAACAAATTTGGGGTGCACAGAACTGAAGCGTGGGAGCTCACAGACACTGGTGAGACTCAAGAACTGACTGAGGAACCAGGAAAAGAAGCAACAATAAAGAAAAGCATTGATGACATATTTGAAGCAGAAAAACAGAAAAAGAGTGTTACGCAAGATTTCATTTCTTGTCTATCTCCCTTGCGTCCGGCCGACGAGTAATACAACTTCTACTTCTCCCTCGATCTCTCGTTTTATCAAGTTCTCTCTCTTGCTCTCTCATTCTCTCTCTCTGTCTCTGTGTCAAACTCACCTTCCTTACGAGTTGATGGACAATCTACGCTGCCGCACTTGCGCTGTTGCCTGCTCTCTCCCACACACAGACTGCTCTCATTGCTTCCGCATTCTCGACTTCTTCTCTGTATCCCGCCGCCACAGCTGGAACTGCACTGCGACCAGCTACTCCATACATCCCAGCCACGAACTAAACACATCCAACAACGCACACACGCACATGAAAACACGACACACCAAACACCAACATCCTCCGTGCATACTAGCTGCCTGTTGGCTTCTTCATACAGAACTGAACTGTTAGCATGTACAGTACACGCGGCAAGTACAGTACCTTTTCAATTCAACAAAACATATTACATGTATAGCAGTCTGAGTCATGCAAGACTGTTCTCGCTGACCATGCTCTTGCTCACCTGGGCACACAAATTGCTCCAGTTTCTTCAGCACAGTCTCCTCTAATGCATCAAAACTCTGCACCGATAACACGTGCTTAGGATATGGCAGGCTTGCGATGCTTTCCAACTCTGACCGGTCTATTCCGTTACCGATGCCCACTGCAAACACCTCGATGTTGTTAGCACGCAGCTCAGAAGCGCAGGCCGAAGGATTGCCACCAACATTGGAGTTTCCGTCACTCAACAGTACAATAACTTCTCGTCTTCTGCCACCGCTTGAGCTGCTCCTTCTTCCTCGTCCACGTCCTCGATAACCAGAAGATGACGACCCTGAGCTGCTGCTGCTGCTGCTGCTACCACGGCTGCTGCTGCTGCTGCTGCTGCTGCTGCTGCTTCCACGGCCGCTGCTGCTGCTGCTGCTGCCACTGCTGCTTCCGCCGCTTCCTCTGCCATTCTGACTACTACTTCCACCTCCACTGCCACGGCTGCTGCTGCTTCCGCTGCTGCCGGATGCACTCCCGCAATAAGACCTGCACGAAGAATTGCGGTGACAACCCAGAGATGTGCAGCTCATTGACAAGCCAAATAAGTCAATTCCTGCTACTTCTAGAGCACCACTTGTGTTGGTACAGCCTTTTGTCACCTTGGCCATCCCATCCATAGCTGACAGCACTGAACTTAGATTCAAGTACATATCAAAGCCGAACACAACATTCGCACTATTGTTGTAGCGAAGTACTCCAAATCGGCTTTGACTCCGACCCACAGCGCCAGTACCAGAGCTGTCGTGTCTCCAATTGTTACTGCTGCTGCTACTCCTGCTGCTGCTGCCGCCGCCACCGCCGCTGTCACTGCTGCCACTACTGCTTATGTTGCTCAGCTGCTGTCGCCTCCATGCAGACCGCCCGTCTTCTCCACGATTTGTTGCCACCGAAAATAGATCCATCATCTTCTTTGTGAAGCTCACCATCTTAGCAAAATTGCCATCACCAACGCTACCTGAAGCATCCAGTATGAATGCTACGTCCAACACACCACCTCTTTCTACACAGCCTCCTGCATACAAAGACAATGCACGAAATACACACACAAACACAGAAACAACATCATGTTATAATATTAACGCTCTTTCTGACTGTTTATCATCTTCTTACAGTCGTGCATAGTTGCTGCATAACTCGTTCCCATGTGTGTTCTTCTCTTTTTTAACATCATAATTATTGGAGAAATTATTGTATCCATAATTATGTCCTTTTCCTTTCTACATTTATTTATGGCTCAACATGCGAGTTTCAAATCATTATTATTAGTATTCTTTCTTTTTTCAGTCCACGTCTACTGTCATACAGAGAGACATAAAAAACAAGGACAACTGGACACAGATTGAGGGGTAGGTGGTCGCAGCCTGATCGATAAGAGTGTCTCATATGATCAACGATGTTCACACGGATCCAGAAATAAGCCATGATCACTGAACAACCATTTAGGACCGTCAGATTAATTTACATGGACCGAGCCAGTCGGGAAAGAACCCTCGCACCGACGGACGCAGCAGTGAGGGAAATAACCCGGTGTATGATGCCAGTGACGATATGACATCATGCAAGCATTTCAAAACACATCAAAGCAAACTTGCTTTTAAAAACAAATTTGGGGTGCACAGAACTGAAGCGTGGGAGCGCACAGACACTGGTGAGACTCAAGAACTGACTGAAGAACCAGGAAAAGAAGCAATAATAAAGAAAAGCATTGATGCCATATTTGAAGCAGAAAAACAGAAAAAGAGTGTTGCGCAAGATTTCATTTCTTGTCTATCTCCCCTGCGTCCGGCCGCCGAGAAATAAAACTTCTACTTCTCCCTCGATCTCTTGTTTTATCAAGTTCTCTCTCTTGCTCTCTCATTCTCTCTCTGTCTGTCTCTGTCTCTGTGTCAAACTCACCTTCCTTACGAGTTGATGGGCAAGCTACGCTGCCGCACTTGCGCTGTTGCCTGCTCTCTCCCACACACAGACTGCTCTCATTGCTTCCGCATTCTCGACTTCTTCTCTGTATCCCGCTGCCACAGCTGGAACTGCACTGCGACCAGCTACTCCATACATCCCAGCCACGAACTAAACACATCCAACAACGCACACACGCACATGAAAACACGACACACCAAACACCAACATCCTCCGTGCATACTAGCTGCCTGTTGGCTTCTTCATACAGAACTGAACCGTTATGATCTACAGTACACGCGGCAAGTACAGTACCTTTTCAATTCAACAAAACATATTACATGTATAGCAGTCTGAGTCATGCAAGACTGTTCTCGCTGACCATGCTCTTGCTCACCTGGGCACACAAATTGCTCCAGTTTCTTCAGCACAGTCTCCTCCAATGCATCAAAACTCTGCACCGATAACACGTGCTTAGGATATGGCAGGCTTGCGATGCTTTCCAACTCTGACCGGTCTATTCCGTTACCGATGCCCACTGCAAACACCTCGATGTTGTTAGCACGCAGCTCAGAAGCGCAGGCCGAAGGATTGCCACCAACATTGGAGTTTCCGTCACTCAACACCACACAAACTTCTCGTCTTCTGCCACCGCTTGAGCTGCTCCTTCTTCCTCGTCCTCGTCCTCGATAACCAGAAGATGACGACCCTGAGCTGCTGCTGCTGCTGCTGCTGCTACCACGGCTGCTGCTGCTGCTCCCACGGCCGCTGCTGCTGCTGCTGCTGCCACTGCTGCTTCCGCCGCTTCCTCTGCCATTCTGACTACTACTTCCACCTCCACTGCCACGGCTGCTGCTTCCGCTGCTGCCGGATGCGCTCCCGCAATAAGACCTGCACGAAGAATTGCGGTGACAACCCAGAGATGTGCAGCTCATTGACAAGCCAAATAAGTCAATTCCTGCTACTTCTAGAGCACCACTTGTGTTGGTACAGCCTTTTGTCACCTTTGCCATCCCATCCATAGCTGACAGCACTGAACTTAGATTGAAGTACATATCAAAGCCGAACACAACATTCGCACTATTGTTGTAGCGAAGTACTCCAAATCGGCTTTGACTCCGACCCACAGCGCCAGTACCAGAGCTGTCGTTTCTCCAATTGTTACTGCCGCTGCTGCTGCTGCCGCCGCCACCGCCGCTGTCACTGCTGCCACTACTGCTTATGTTGCTCAGCTGCTGTCGCCTCCATGCAGACCGCCCGTCTTCTCCACGATTTGTAGCCACCGAAAATCGATCCATCATCTTCTTTGTGAAGCTCACCATCTTAGCAAAATTGCCATCACCAACGCTACCTGAAGCATCCAGTATGAATGCTACGTCCAACACACCACCTCTTTCTACACAGCCTCCTGCATACAAAGTAAATGCACGAAATACACACACAAACACAAAAACAACATCATGTTGTACTATTAACGCTCTTTCTGACTATTTATCATCTTCTTACAGTCGTGGATAGTTGCTGCATAACTCGTTCTCATGTGTGTTCTTCTCTTTTTTTAACATCATAATTATTGTAGAAATTATTGTATCCATATGTCCTTTGCCTTTCTACATTTATTTATGGCTCAACATGCGAGTTTCAAATCATAATTATTAGTATTCTTTCTTTTTTCAGTCCACGTCTACTGTCATACAGAGAGACATAAAAAACAAGGACAACTGGACACAGATTGAGGGGTAGGTGGTCGCAGGCTGATCGATCAGAGTGTCTCAAATGATCAACGATGTTCACACGGATCCAGAAATAAGCCATGATCACTGAACAACCATTTAGGACCGTCAGATTAATTTACATTGACCGAGCCAGCCGGGAAAGAACCCTCACACCGACGGACGCAGCAGTGAGGGAAATAACCCGGTGTATGATGCCAGTGACGATATGACATCATGCAAGCATTTCAAAGCACATCAAAGCAAACTTGCTTTTAAAAACAAATTTGGTGTGCACAGAACTGAAGCGTGGGAGCGCACAGACACTGGTGAGACTCAAGAACTGACTGAGGAACCAGGAAAAGAAGCAACGATAAAGAAAAGCATTGATGCCATATTTGAAGCAGAAAAACAGAAAAAGAGTGTTGCGCAAGATTTCATTTCTTGTCTATCTCCCCTGCGTCCGGCCGACGAGAAATAAAACTTCTATTTCTCCCTCGATCTCTCGTTTTATCAAGTTCTCTCTCTCTCTCTCTCTCATTCTCTCTCTCATTCTCTCTCTCTCTCTCTCTGTCTCTGTCTCTGTGTCAAACTCACCTTCCTTACGAGTTGATGGACAAGCTACGCTGCCACACTTGCGCTGTTGCCTGCTCTCTCCCACACACAGACTGCTCTCATTGCTTCCGCATTCTCGACTTCTTCTCTGTATCCCGCCGCCACAGCTGGAACTGCACTGCGACCAGCTACTCCATACATCCCAGCCACGAACTAAACACATCCAACAACGCACACACGCACATGAAAACACGACACACCAAACACCAACATCCTCCGTGCATACTAGCTGCCTGTTGGCTTCTTCATACAGAACTGAACTGTTAGCATGTACAGTACACGTGGCAAGTACAGTACCTTTTCAATTCAACAAAACATATTACATGTATAGCAGTCTGAGTCATGCAAGACTGTTCTCGCTGACCATGCTCTTGCTCACCTGGGCACACAAATTGCTCCAGTTTCTTCAGCACAGTCTCCTCCAATGCATCAAAACTCTGCACCGATAACACGTGCTTAGGATATGGCAGGCTTGCGATACTTTCCAACTCTGACCGGTCTATTCCGTTACCGATGCCCACTGCAAACACCTCGATGTTCTTAGCACGCAGCTCAGAAGCGCAGGCCGAAGGATTGCCACCAACATTGGAGTTTCCGTCACTCAACACCACAATAACTTCTCGTCTTCTGCCACCGCTTGAGCTGCTCCTTCTTCCTCGTCCTCGTCCTCGATCACCAGAAGATGACGACCCTGAGCTGCTGCTGCTGCTGCTGCTTCCATGGCTGCTGCTGCTGCTGCTACCACGGCTGCTGCTGCTGCTGCTGCCACGGCCGCTACTGCTGCTGCTGCTGCCACTGCTGCTTCCGCCGCTTCCTCTGCCATTCTGACTACTACTTCCACCTCCACTGCCACGGCTGCTGCTGCTTCCGCTGCTGCCGGATGCACTCCCGCAATAAGACCTGCACGAAGAATTGCGGTGACAACCCAGAGATGTGCAGCTCATTGACAAGCCAAATAAGTCAATTCCTGCTACTTCTAGAGCACCACTTGTGTTGGTACAGCCTTTTGTCACCTTGGCCATCCCATCCATAGCTGACAGCACTGAACTTAGATTCAAGTACATATCAAAGCCGAACACAACATTCGCACTATTGTTGTAGCGAAGTACTCCAAATCGGCTTTGACTCCGACCCACAGTGCCAGTACCAGAGCTGTCGTTTCTCCAATTGTTACTGCTGCTGCTGCTGCTGCTACTGCTGCTGCCGCCACCGCCGCTGTCACTGCTGCCACTACTGCTTATGTTGCTCAGCTGCTGTCGCCTCCATGCAGACCGCCCGTCTTCTCCACGATTTGTTGCCACCGAAAATCGATCCATCATCTTCTTTGTGAAGCTCACCATCTTAGCAAAATTGCCATCACCAACGCTACCTGAAGCATCCAGTATGAATGCTACGTCCAACACACCACCTCTTTCTACACAGCCTCCTGCATACAAAGACAATGCACGAAATACACACACAAACACAGAAACAACATCATGTTGTACTATTAACGCTCTTTCTGACTGTTTATCATCTTCTTACAGTCGTGGATAGTTGCTGCATAACTCAGTCTCGTGTGTTTTCTTCTCTTTTTTAACATCATATTAGTTTTCTTTCTTTTTTCAGTCCACATCTACTGTCCTACAGAGAGACAAATAAAACAAGGACAACTGGACACAGATTGAGGGGTAGGTGGTCGCAGGCTGATCGATCAGAGTGTCTCAAATGATCAACGATGTTCACACGGATCCAGAAATAAGCCATGATCACTGAACAACCATTTAGGACCGTCAGATTAATTTACATTGACCGAGCCAGCCGGGAAAGAACCCTCACACCGACGGACGCAGCAGTGAGGGAAATAACCCGGTGTATGATGCCAGTGACGATATGACATCATGCAAGCATTTCAAAGCACAGCAAAGCAAACTTGCTTTTAAAAACAAATTTGGGGTGCACAGAACTGAAGCGTGGGAGCGCACAGACACTGGTGAGACTCAAGAACTGACTGAGGAACCAGGAAAAGAAGCAACGATAAAGAAAAGTATTGATGCCATATTTGAAGCAGAAAAACAGAAAAAGAGTGTTGCGCAAGAATGTATTTCTTGTCTATCTCCCCTGCGTCCGGCCGACGAGAAATAAAACTTCTATTTCTCCCTCGATCTCTCGTTTTATCAAGTTCTCTCTCTCTCTGTCTCTCTCTCTCTCATTCTCTCTCTCATTCTCTCTCTCTCTCTCTCTGTCTCTGTCTCTGTGTCAAACTCACCTTCCTTACGAGTTGATGGACAAGCTACGCTGCCACACTTGCGCTGTTGCCTGCTCTCTCCCACACACAGACTGCTCTCATTGCTTCCGCATTCTCGACTTCTTCTCTGTATCCCGCCGCCACAGCTGGAACTGCACTGCGACCAGCTACTCCATACATCCCAGCCACGAACTAAACACATCCAACAACGCACACACGCACATGAAAACACGACACACCAAACACCAACATCCTCCGTGCATACTAGCTGCCTGTTGGCTTCTTCATACAGAACTGAACCGTTATGATCTACAGTACACGTGGCAAGTACAGTACCTTTTCAATTCAACAAAACATATTACATGTATAGCAGTCTGAGTCATGCAAGACTGTTCTCGCTGACCATGCTCTTGCTCACCTGGGCACACAAATTGCTCCAGTTTCTTCAGCACAGTCTCCTCCAATGCATCAAAACTCTGCACCGATAACACGTGCTTAGGATATGGCAGGCTTGCGATGCTTTCCAACTCTGACCGGTCTATTCCGTTACCGATGCCCACTGCAAACACCTCGATGTTCTTAGCACGCAGCTCAGAAGCGCAGGCCGAAGGATTGCCACCAACATTGGAGTTTCCGTCACTCAACAGCACAATAACTTCTCGTCTTCTGACACCGCTTGAGCTGCTCCTTCTTCCTCGTCCTCGTCCTCGATCACCAGAAGATGACGACCCTGAGCTGCTGCTGCTGCTGCCGCTACCACGGCTGCTGCTGCTGCTGCTGCTGCTGCTGCCACGGCCGCTACTGCTGCTGCTGCTGCCACTGCTGCTGCTGCTGCCACTGCTGCTTCCGCTGCTTCCTCTGCCATTCTGACTACTACTTCCACCTCCACTGCCACGGCTGCTGCTGCTTCCGCTGCTGCCGGATGCACTCCCGCAATAAGACCTGCACGAAGAATTGCGGTGACAACCCAGAGATGTGCAGCTCATTGACAAGCCAAATAAGTCAATTCCTGCTACTTCTAGAGCACCACTTGTGTTGGTACAGCCTTTTGTCACCTTGGCCATCCCATCCATAGCTGACAGCACTGAACTTAGATTCAAGTACATATCAAAGCCGAACACAACGTTCGCACTATTGTTGTAGCGAAGTACTCCAAATCGGCTTTGACTCCGACCCACAGCGCCAGTACCAGAGCTGTCGTTTCTCCAATTGTTACTGCTGCTGCTCCTGCTGCTGCTGCTGCTGCTGCCGCCACCGCTGTCACTGCTGCCACTACTGCTCATGTTGCTCAGCTGCTGTCGCCTCCATGCAGACCGCCCGTCTTCTCCACGATTTGTTGCCACCGAAAATCGATCCATCATCTTCTTTGTGAAGCTCACCATCTTAGCAAAATTGCCATCACCAACGCTACCTGAAGCATCCAGTATGAATGCTACGTCCAACACACCACCTCCTTCTACACAGCCTCCTGCACACAAAGACAATGCACGAAATACACACACAAACACAGAAACAACATCATGTTATACTATTAACGCGGCTCTTTCTGACTGTTCATCATCTTATTACAGTCGTGGATAGTTGCTGCATAACTCGTTCTCATGTGTTTTCTTCTCTTTTTTAACATCATAATTATTAGTATTCTTTCTTTTTTCAGTCCACATCTACTGTCATACAGAGAGACATAAAAAAAAACAAGGAAAACTGGACACAGATTGAGGGGTAGGTGGTCGCAGCCTGATCGATCATAGGGACTCAAATGATCTACGATGTTCAAACGGATCCAGAAATAAGCCATGATCACTGAACAACCATTTAGGACCGTCAGATTAATTTACATGGACCGAGCCAGCCGGGAAAGAACCCTCGCACCGACGGACGCAGCAGCGAGGGAAATAACCCGGTGTATGATTCCAGTGACGATATGACATCATGCAAGCATTTCAAAGCACATCGAAGCAAACTTGCTTTTGAAAACAAATTTGGGGGCACAGAACTGAAGCGTGGGAGCGCACAGACACTGCTGAGACTCAAGAACTGACTGAGGAACCAGGAAAAGAAGGAACAATAAAGAAAAGCATTGATGCCATATTTGAAGCATAAAAACAGAAAAAAGAGTGTTGCGCAAGATTGCATTTCTTGTCTATCTCCCCTGCGTCCGGCCGACGAGAAATAAAACTTCCATTTCTCTCTTGATCTCTCATTTTATCAAGTTCTCTCTCTCATTCTCTCTCTCTCTGTCTCTGTCTCTGTCTCTGTGTCAAACTCACCTTCCTTACGAGTTGATGGACAAGCTACGCTGCCACACTTGCGCTGTTGCCTGCTCTCCCCCACACACAGACTGCTCTCATTGCTTCCGCATTCTCGACTTCTTCTCTGTATCCCGCCGCCACAGCTGGAACTGCACTGCGACCAGCTACTCCATGCATCCCAGCCACGAACTAAACACATCCAACAACGCACACACGCACATGAAAACACGACTCACCAAACACCAACATCCTCCGTGCATACTAGCTGCCTGTTGGCTTCTTCATACAGAACTGAACTGTTAGCATGTACAGTACACGCGGCAAGTACAGTACCTTTTCAATTCAACAAAACATATTACATGTATAGCAGTCTGAGTCATGCAAGACTGTTCTCGCTGACCATGCTCTTGCTCACCTGGGCACACAAATTGCTCCAGTTTCTTCAGCACAGTCTCCTCCAATGCATCAAAACTCTGCACCGATAACACGTGCTTAGGATATGGCAGGCTTGCGATGCTTTCCAACTCTGACCGGTCTATTCCGTTACCGATGCCCACTGCAAACACCTCGATGTTCTTAGCACGCAGCTCAGAAGCGCAGGCCGAAGGATTGCCACCAACATTGGAGTTTCCGTCACTCAACAGCACAATAACTTCTCGTCTTCTGACACCGCTTGAGCTGCTCCTTCTTCCTCGTCCTCGTCCTCGATCACCAGAAGATGACGACCCTGAGCTGCTGCTGCTGCTGCCGCTACCACGGCTGCTGCTGCTGCTGCTGCTGCTGCCACGGCCGCTACTGCTGCTGCTGCCACTGCTGCTGCTGCTGCCACTGCTGCTTCCGCTGCTTCCTCTGCCATTCTGACTACTACTTCCACCTCCACTGCCACGGCTGCTGCTGCTGCTTCCGCTGCTGCCGGATGCACTCCCGCAATAAGACCTGCACGAAGAATTGCGGTGACAACCCAGAGATGTGCAGCTCATTGACAAGCCAAATAAGTCAATTCCTGCTACTTCTAGAGCACCACTTGTGTTGGTACAGCCTTTTGTCACCTTGGCCATCCCATCCATAGCTGACAGCACTGAACTTAGATTCAAGTACATATCAAAGCCGAACACAACATTCGCACTATTGTTGTAGCGAAGTACTCCAAATCGGCTTTGACTCCGACCCACAGCGCCAGTACCAGAGCTGTCGTTTCTCCAATTGTTACTGCTGCTGCTCCTGCTGCTGCTGCTGCCGCCGCCGCTGTCACTGCTGCCACTACTGCTCATGTTGCTCAGCTGCTGTCGCCTCCATGCAGACCGCCCGTCTTCTCCACGATTTGTTGCCACCGAAAATCGATCCATCATCTTCTTTGTGAAGCTCACCATCTTAGCAAGATTGCCATCACCAACGCTACCTGAAGCATCCAGTATGAATGCTACGTCCAACACACCACCTCTTTCTACACAGCCTCCTGCACACAAAGACAATGCACGAAATACACACACAAACACAGAAACAACATCATGTTATACTATTAACCCGACTGCTGCATGGACGATAAGTGCTGCGAATAGTGATCATGCGCCCTGGCCTGGGTAGCTCGCTTGGCTAATTGAAAGTCTGCCGACCTGGGCCACATTATGTTGCTAAGGCATGCACAACCCCAGTCACAGCGCGCAAGTTGGTTGAGTTTGGCCGTCAGGAGGCCAGCGCAAGGTATCCGGGGCGCGGGTCTGATTCCAGCGAGGGGCAATGTGGTACCCCGCAGCGCAAGGGTAGCGTGATACCCTAAGCCAGCGTGCGTGCTGCATGAGTAGCGTGATACTCGCTGAGCGCTTTTGCTGTTGCCTAGCAACGCGTTTCTGTCTTTCCTGGGCCCCCAACGCATGTTGGGTGGCCCTGCGCATGACTGCACGTTGTCATAGCAACCTTGGAAACCTCAAGCCGGTTACCAACAAGCTAGGAATCAGACCAAGCCGCCGAATGCCCCCGCCGGCCCCCGGCGCTTCATTGCAATTGAATTAATATTTGTCCAGAATAGTGAGCTAGGACAGATCAAGAGGCGTGGGTGGGAGGGAGAAATTGCAAAACAGTTGGATGCACGCAGCAGCACAGCTAGCAAGAGAAAGAGCCGTGGATGGGTTTGTTCCTGTTTTTGATGGCTGTGGCCATCCGTTGGCCCAGCGGTCTCGTGTGAGTACGGTGTTTGTTCGTGCTGCCAGCTCGCGCCCGGCATTTGTTTGCGCTGGCAGCTCGGGCCCGGTGCGCGAGTGAAACCGAACCGTGACAAAGGCTTTCGCTCTTTAGTGCTATTGACTGGCTTTTCATACGATGCCTATTGATGTCTAGAGACATGCTGTCTAGCCTTCCCCTAGTACGCATTCACGGGGCTTTGTTGAAGTTCGTGCCGTGAACTGCCAAAGGGAACTGTTTGAATGGTGCTGGGGCGAGTGCGACATTACGGCGTCCCTGCAGCCGGCCTAATCGCGTTTGTCGCCACAACCGATTTTATCCCGACTGCTGCATGGACGATAAGTGCTGCGAATAGTGATCATGCGCCCTGGCCTGGGTAGCTCGCTTGGCTAATTGAAAGTCTGCCGACCTGGGCCACATTATGTTGCTAAGGCATGCACAACCCCAGTCACAGCGCGCAAGTTGGTTGAGTTTGGCCGTCAGGAGGCCAGCGCAAGGTATCCGGGGCGCGGGTCTGATTCCAGCGAGGGGCAATGTGGTACCCCGCAGCGCAAGGGTAGCGTGATACCCTAAGCCAGCGTGCGTGCTGCATGAGTAGCGTGATACTCGCTGAGCGCTTTTGCTGTTGCCTAGCAACGCGTTTCTGTCTTTCCTGGGCCCCCAACGCATGTTGGGTGGCCCTGCGCATGACTGCACGTTGTCATAGCAACCTTGGAAACCTCAAGCCGGTTACCAACAAGCTAGGAATCAGACCAAGCCGCCGAATGCCCCCAAATTCCGCGTTGGTCAGCCGAATGACCTTAGTGTGGTATTCAAGCGCTTCAGCTACATGTACGTAGTTCAAATGCGTGCCCTTCGCATGTTTGTTTTCCCTTAGTGACACCGAGAAGGGTTTGAATCGCATGTAGTCGGAGCGTGCGTGCACACATGGGGTGTCCCACACCGCCATGGCATGGGGTGTCCCACACCGCCATGGCATGGGGTGTCCCACACCGCCATGGCATGGGGTGTCCCACACCGCCATGGTCTGGGGTGTCCCACACCGCCATAGCATGGGGTGTCCCACACCGCTAGGTGGGAGCTATAGCACAGCAACAGAGTGGTGCAGATAACTTATCATAAGTATCAGAGGCGTGCGTGCACAGTCAGTGCTAGAACGTGAGTGCATACGTCCGCGAATGGGCGTACCAGCGTGTGCGCAGCGTGTGTACCTGCATGCATGCTTGTGCGGTGTCAGACTGTGGGTGCGTGTACGCGTGCATGCATGTGTGTGTGCATGCGTGGGTGTGTGTGCGTGCGTGTGTATGTGTCTGCGGGTGCGTGTATGTGGGTGTGGCTGTGCGCGCTTGCGCGCCTGCGGACGGCGAACAGTTACTTTCCACAGCGTACATAGTTCTTGTAGCAGGCACTTCGCCATCTGCCGAGTTTCATGATCTCGGATTCGGTGAAGCCGCTCATTGCTCCTGTGGTTGCGGCTCCGGCTCTGAGGCCGTGCAGTGAATACTGGATAGGTGGGTACCCTGCGCTGCTCAGGAGCTGACGGATTAGACGGGTGAGTCTTGGTGCAGTTAGGAACTTGCCACAGCTGTCAACGAACAGTGGTCTATTGGGCAGGTTGGGGCGTCTTGATAGATAGGTATGCATGGCTTTGACCGGGCAAACCGTTGAGTTGGTGGTTGTGAGCCGGACGGAGTGACCATTGCCGAGTTGGTCGGTCTTGGACTTCTTGATTGTGACCTGTATTGCCTGCGGCGTGATGGAGAGGTCTTCTGTTCGGAGGCCACCGTCTGACATGGTCGTGGCGGTTGTGGAAGTGTACTCACTTGCCCGGAGACACGCAAAGAAGCCCAGGCAAATAGCTGCCCATACCATGGCTCGGTCGGTCGCGTTGAGGTTAGACCGTATCAGGGCCCTGCGCATAGCTGCCATGTGGGGCAGGAGGATTGGCTTACTGGCGTTTTTAGTTCGGTTGGCCTGTGCACGTGCCACTCCTTGAACTGCGAGGTCCACTCTTCGCGACGAGAGATCTTTGCCGTTTTCTTTGGCAATTGCCCGGATCGCCGACACATACAGGCGGACGGTTGACGCGGCATGTTGACGCGCCAGGTAGGCTACAAACGCCAGCATGATGGTGTCTGTAATCACCTTGGTGCCGACTAGTTGGCAGAATTGGTGCAGTCGTTTCCAGGCTGTCGCGTATGTGGCACGTGTGGACGCTGACAGGCCTAGCCACTGGTAGGCCTGACCCTCCAACATCAGAGGGAGTAGGTGCTCTCGGGCACCGGAGATGGCGTGTCTTCTGCTGTGGGTGCCAGTCGGCGAAATCGGGCCATCTGAAACCGAGACAGAGAGTCAGCAATCGCATTGTCAGTGCCGGGGATGTGGGAGACTATGACGTGAAAGTTGTGTCGGGCAGCAATGGCAAACAAAGTGCGTACCAGCGCCATTAAGTCGGGGCACTTTGTGCGTGAGCGGAGCCAGATGTCGCATACGCTACGGTTGTCGCAGTGGAAGCGGATGCGCTTCAGATGCAGCTGCGGTGCCCATGTGGATGCTGCGGCCACGATGGCAAAGAGCTCCATCCACGCGATGGATCTCTGGGATTGGTGCCTCTGCCACCGGTGTTGGAGCCACCGGCCGGCGAAGAAAGCACCATAGCCGATGGCTCTAGATGCGTCCGTGTAGAGGTCCATATCGGCGGCGGCTGACCACGTGGGTTCTAGGAAGAAGGCGACGCCATTCCAGGCAGGGAGGAAGTCAAGCCACCACTGGATGTCTGCTTTGGCGTCTTCTGTGATTCTGATGTAATCGTGTGGATGCGGGACCGTCGTGCTGAGATCAATGAGGCGGCGCAGAAACATGCGGCCCGCAGGGACCGCCTTGCAGGCAAAGCTGAGGTGACCTATCAGGGACAACAATTCAGGCTTGCGGGCGGTAGGGCGGGTATGTTGCCAAGCCTTGAGGGCAATGAGAAGGTCTTCTAACTTGTCGGATGGGAGGCGGATTTCGAAGCGCTCTGTGTCCAGCATGACACCGAGGAATGTCAGGGTTGTACTAGGGCCTTCCACCTTTTTTGGATTGACCGGGAAGCCTAAGTCGTGGCAGGCTACCAGGGCACGGTCGAGCTGGTGCTGTGCGCCGATAGAGTCCGTCGCTCCACCAAGGTAGTCGTCTAAGTAGTGGATGACTGGGGCTACGTCGAAGTTGTGCGACATGACCCACTGGAGGGCGTCTGCGACTTTGTTAAACAGCGACGGTGATGAGCGAAGGCCGAAGGGTAGGCATTTGTCCACGTAATATTGCCCGCGCCAGAACAGGCATAATAGTTCCCAGTCCTCTTTCCGTACTGGACAAATGCGAAATGCGTCTTGGAGGTCGACCTTCCACAGATGGCAGCCACGGCCTAGGGACCGTGCGAGATTTACGCCGTCGTCGACCGAACAGTACTGTACAGAGAATTTGTCGACAGGGATACCATCGTTCACTGAGTGGCCCTGTGGTGCTGACAGATGCATAATCAAGCGCCATTTTTGCACCGACCGTGACTTCTTGGGAACCACACCCAAACCGGAGACCTGTGTAAGTGTGAAGGGGGGCTCTTGGTAGGGACCGGCCATGCGACCTGCGGCAATTTCACGACCGATGGCAGCATCGACAATGTCAGGGTGCTCAATCGCTGATTTGAGATTACGAGAGACTCGGAAGGTACGGGGACCAGCAAACCCAATATCGAACCCGTAAGACAAAGAATGTATTACGAATGAGGCAAAAGCCGGATCAGGATGCTGACACAAAGCGTCCTGCAGGTAAGAAACGTTAATGGGGGTTACAGGCGTGTGCAAATGGATTGGCTCGTGAGCGAGGGTGCGTGTAGGAGAGATGTGAGCAGCTGGGCAGAGTGTGTGAGTGCTATTGGCCTGGGTGAGTGTAGAGTTACCGGTGAGTGACTGGAGTGACCGAGTCTCCAAGCTGGGCAACTGCGAGCTATTGGTCGCGGCTGGCGGCGGCTGGCTTTCCTGGGCATGACTTGGCGGGGTGGCTGCCAAAGCATGTGCTGCACTGGTGGCCGTAGCGACAGGCTGCGCGTTGGCAGCGGCCTTGGTTGTAGTCGCGGCAGACAGCTGGGGCGTTTGGGTGAGCGGTAGCCCCTGACCGCTGTGCCGGAAAGGGGCGTTTGGCTGCTGGCCCGTCAGACAGTGAAGCTAGGCTACGGGCGCGGGGGCAGCGAACTGTTAAATGACCTTGCCGGTTGCAGTGACGGCAGGGAGGCAGGATGGAGTTTGTAAGAAACGTTAATGGGGGTTACAGGCGTGTGCAAATGGATTGGCTCGTGAGCGAGGGTGCGTGTAGGAGAGATGTGAGCAGCTGGGCAGAGTGTGTGAGTGCTATTGGCCTGGGTGAGTGTAGAGTTACCGGTGAGTGACTGGAGTGACCGAGTCTCCAAGCTGGGCAACTGCGAGCTATTGGTCGCGGCTGGCGGCGGCTGGCTTTCCTGGGCATGACTTGGCGGGGTGGCTGCCAAAGCATGTGCTGCACTGGTGGCCGTAGCGACAGGCTGCGCGTTGGCAGCGGCCTTGGTTGTAGTCGCGGCAGACAGCTGGGGCGTTTGGGTGAGCGGTAGCCCCTGACCGCTGTGCCGGAAAGGGGCGTTTGGCTGCTGGCCCGTCAGACAGTGAAGCTAGGCTACGGGCGCGGGGGCAGCGAACTGTTAAATGACCTTGCCGGTTGCAGTGACGGCAGGGAGGCAGGATGGAGTTTGTAAACCACTCCGACCAGAGTTCCGGATCTGACGTGGCAAGGCTAGATTTGCTGCGTGCAGCTCTTGCACGGAACGACATGTCGAAGCCAGACCACGCACCGAATGTATAGCGTGCGGCCGCTTTCACGATTGTGCTTTGGTACTTGAATAATTCCGGACCTCTGCCGGGGTCGTGGTGGAGGGCTACTTGGGCGAAGGCTGAGAACGCCTCCAACCACGATGTCAAGTCTACAACTTTCTTTAGACGGGATGACGACGACATGGCAGATGGCACAAGGGTGATGTGGTCCCCCGTCCCCTGCAGGGTGAACCCACTGTCCGGACCCATGCTCGTATCAAAAGCCAGCTCTCCCAGTACCCTACCAAAATCAACGTACTCACGTTTGATAATCTTGTCCGTGAGATGGTCGCTGAGGGCAGGTAATGGGATGGATGGTGGACGCTCTGGGGCGAGCAAATCGCCGTCCAGGAAGAGACTCTCCTGGTCTGGTCTTAGTGCTGAAGCCAGTGAAGGCTGGACATATTCAGGCTCAGAGTCAGGCACCTCAACATCACCAGAGACTGGACCAGCCCGCTGTGCTGCTGTTGCTGCTGCTACAGTTGGCTGTGCATGTGGAGGTACCACCGGTAGACCCATCGAAGTTGTCAATGACGTCATGCAGGACGCCACTGCATCTTGCACGACCCGAGAGATCTCGGCAGATTGCTGCGACGTGAACGCGGGCGACGAGTCAGGCTGGGTCGCGGCCGCGGGGCTTTGAGTGGCCGGGACTGCAGGACTAGCCCGCCGACGCGTGGTCTTTTTTGCGACCTGGATCGTAGACTTAGCTTTGTTTCTTGCCTGGGCCGACAAATGCTCATGCAGACGGCTCACCTGGGCTCTAAAATTGCCTGAGCGAGAAAGCCCCAGTTCTCGCAGTCGAGTTTCAACTCCGTCGACTTTGAGTTGGCGGAGATCAGAAAGTGATGGCACGGAGCTCATGGTGACGGCTCAGGATCTCCTGCGACTGCGGAACTTTAGAAATTTCAAATCTCGCCGAGTAATTGCAACAAGGAAGAAAGAAATTGCAAAACAGTTGGATGCACGCAGCAGCACAGCTAGCAAGAGAAAGAGCCGTGGATGGGTTTGTTCCTGTTTTTGATGGCTGTGGCCATCCGTTGGCCCAGCGGTCTCGTGTGAGTACGGTGTTTGTTCGTGCTGCCAGCTCGCGCCCGGCATTTGTTTGCGCTGGCAGCTCGGGCCCGGTGCGCGAGTGAAACCGAACCGTGACAAAGGCTTTCGCTCTTTAGTGCTATTGACTGGCTTTTCATACGATGCCTATTGATGTCTAGAGACATGCTGTCTAGCCTTCCCCTAGTACGCATTCACGGGGCTTTGTTGAAGTTCGTGCCGTGAACTGCCAAAGGGAACTGTTTGAATGGTGCTGGGGCGAGTGCGACATTACGGCGTCCCTGCAGCCGGCCTAATCGCGTTTGTCGCCACAACCGATTTTAACGCGGCTCTTTCTGACTGTTTATCATCTTCTTACAGTCGTGGATAGTTGCTGCATAACTCGTTCTCATGTGTTTTCTTCTCTTTTTTAACATCATAATTATTAGTATTCTTTCTTTTATCAGTCCACATCTACTGTCATACAGAGAGACATAAAAAAAAACAAGGACAACTGGACACAGATTGAGGGGAAGGTGGTCGCAGCCTGATCGATCAGAGTGTCTCAAATGATGTACGATGTTCAAACTGATCCAGAAATAAGCTATGATCAAAAACCATTTAGGACCGTCAGATTAATTTACATGGACCGAGCCAGCCGGGAAAGAACCCTCGCACCGACGGTCGCAGCAGCGAGGGAAATAACCCGGTGTATGATTCCAGTGACGATATGACATCATGCAAGCATTTCAAAGCACATCGAAGCAAACTTGCTTTTGAAAACAAATTTGGGGCACAGAACTTAAGCGTGGGAGCGCACAGACACTGCTGAGACTCAAGAACTGACTGAGGAACCAGGGAAAGAAGGAACAATAAAGAAAAGCATTGATGCCATATTTGAAGCATAAAAACAGAAAAAAGAGTGTTGCGCAAGATTGCATTTCTTGTCTATCTCCCCTGCGTCCGGCCAACGAGAAATAAAACTTCCATTTCTCTCTCGATCTCTCGTTTTATCAAGTTCTTTCTCTCTCTCATTCTCTCTCTCTCTCTTTCTTTCTCTGTCTCTGTCTCTGTGTTAAACTCACCTTCCTTACGAGTTGATGGACAAGCTACGCTGCCACACTTGCGCTGTTGCCTGCTCTCTCCCACACACAGACTGCTCTCATTGCTTCCGCATTCTCGACTTCTTCTCTGTATCCCGCCGCCACAGCTGGAACTGCACTGCGACCAGCTACTCCATACATCCCAGCCACGAACTAAACACATCCAACAACGCACACACGCACATGAAAACACGACACACCAAACACCAACATCCTCCGTGCATACTAGCTGCCTGTTGGCTTCTTCATACAGAACTGAACCGTTATGATCTACAGTACACGCGGCAAGTACAGTACCTTTTCAATTCAACAAAACATATTACATGTATAGCAGTCTGAGTCATGCAAGACTGTTCTCGCTGACCATGCTCTTGCTCACCTGGGCACACAAATTGCTCCAGTTTCTTCAGCACAGTCTCCTCCAATGCATCAAAACTCTGCACCGATAACACGTGCTTAGGATATGGCAGGCTTGCGATGCTTTCCAACTCTGACCGGTCTATTCCGTTACCGATGCCCACTGCAAACACCTCGATGTTCTTAGCACGCAGCTCAGAAGCGCAGGCCGAAGGATTGCCACCAACATTGGAGTTTCCGTCACTCAACAGCACAATAACTTCTCGTCTTCTGACACCGCTTGAGCTGCTCCTTCTTCCTCGTCCTCGTCCTCGATCACCAGAAGATGACGACCCTGAGCTGCTGCTGCTGCTGCCGCTACCACGGCTGCTGCTGCTGCTGCTGCTGCTGCCACGGCCGCTACTGCTGCTGCTGCTGCCACTGCTGCTGCTGCTGCCACTGCTGCTTCCGCTGCTTCCTCTGCCATTCTGACTACTACTTCCACCTCCACTGCCACGGCTGCTGCTGCTTCCGCTGCTGCCGGATGCACTCCCGCAATAAGACCTGCACGAAGAATTGCGGTGACAACCCAGAGATGTGCAGCTCATTGACAAGCCAAATAAGTCAATTCCTGCTACTTCTAGAGCACCACTTGTGTTGGTACAGCCTTTTGTCACCTTGGCCATCCCATCCATAGCTGACAGCACTGAACTTAGATTCAAGTACATATCAAAGCCGAACACAACATTCGCACTATTGTTGTAGCGAAGTACTCCAAATCGGCTTTGACTCCGACCCACAGCGCCAGTACCAGAGCTGTCGTTTCTCCAATTGTTACTGCTGCTGCTCCTGCTGCTGCTGCTGCTGCCGCCGCCGCTGTCACTGCTGCCACTGCTGCTCATGTTGTTCAGCTGCTGTCGCCTCCATGCAGACCGCCCGTCTTCTCCACGATTTGTTGCCACCGAAAATCGATCCATCATCTTCTTTGTGAAGCTCACCATCTTAGCAAAATTGCCATCACCAACGCTACCTGAAGCATCCAGTATGAATGCTACGTCCAACACACCACCTCTTTCTACACAGCCTCCTGCACACAAAGACAATGCACGAAATACACACACAAACACAGAAACAACATCATGTTATACTATTAACGCGGCTCTTTCTGACTGTTTATCATCTTCTTACAGTCGTGGATAGTTGCTGCAGAACTCGTTCTCATGTGTTTTCTTCTCTTTTTTAACATCATAATTATTAGTATTCTTTCTTTTTTCAGTCCACATCTACTGTCATACAGAGAGACAACAACAAAAAAACAAGGACAACTGGACACAGATTGAGGGGAAGGTGGTCGCAGCCTGATCGATCAGAGTGTCTCAAATGATCTACGATGTTCAAACGGATCCAGAAATAAGCCACGATCAAAAACCATTTAGGACCGTCAGATTAATTTACATGGACCGAGCCAGCCGGGAAAGAACCCTCGCACCGACGGTCGCAGCAGCGAGGGAAATAACCCGGTGTATGATTCCAGTGACGATATGACATCATGCAAGCATTTCAAAGCACATCGAAGCAAACTTGCTTTTGAAAACAAATTTGGGGGCACAGAACTGAAGCGTGGGAGCGCACAGACACTGCTGGGACTCAAGAACTGACTGAGGAACCAGGAAAAGAAGGAACAATAAAGAAAAGCATTGATGCCATATTTGAAGCATAAAAACAGAAAAAAGAGTGGTGCGCAAGATTGCATTTCTTGTCTATCTCCCCTGCGTCCGGCCAACGAGAAATAAAACTTCCATTTCAATCTCGATCTCTCGTTTTATCAAGTTCTTTCTCTCTCTCATTCTCTCTCATTCTCTCTCTCTCTCTCTCTCTCTCTCTTTCTCTGTCTCTGTCTCTGTGTCAAACTCACCTTCCTTACGAGTTGATGGACAAGCTACGCTGCCACACTTGCGCTGTTGCCTGCTCTCTCCCACACACAGACTGCTCTCATTGCTTCCGCATTCTCGACTTCTTCTCTGTATCCCGCCGCCACAGCTGGAACTGCACTGCGACCAGCTACTCCATACATCCCAGCCACGAACTAAACACATCCAACAACGCACACACGCACATGAAAACACGACACACCAAACACCAACATCCTCCGTGCATACTAGCTGCCTGTTGGCTTCTTCATACAGAACTGAACCGTTATGATCTACAGTACACGCGGCAAGTACAGTACCTTTTCAATTCAACAAAACATATTACATGTATAGCAGTCTGAGTCATGCAAGACTGTTCTCGCTGCCCATGCTCTTGCTCACCTGGGCACACAAATTGCTCCAGTTTCTTCAGCACAGTCTCCTCCAATGCATCAAAACTCTGCACCGATAACACGTGCTTAGGATATGGCAGGCTTGCGATGCTTTCCAACTCTGACCGGTCTATTCCGTTACCGATGCCCACTGCAAACACCTCGATGTTCTTAGCACGCAGCTCAGAAGCGCAGGCCGAAGGATTGCCACCAACATTGGAGTTTCCGTCACTCAACAGCACAATAACTTCTCGTCTTCTGACACCGCTTGAGCTGCTCCTTTTTCCTCGTCCTCGGTCACCAGAAGATGACGACCCTGAGCTGCTGCTGCTGCCGCTACCACGGCTGCTGCTGCTGCTGCTGCTGCCACGGCCGCTACTGCTGCTGCTGCCGCTGCTGCTGCTGCTGCCACTGCTGCTTCCGCTGCTTCCTCTGCCATTCTGACTACTACTTCCACCTCCACTGCCACGGCTGCTGCTGCTTGCGCTGCTGCCGGATGCACTCCCGCAATAAGACCTGCACGAAGAATTGCGGTGACAACCCAGAGATGTGCAGCTCATTGACAAGCCAAATAAGTCAATTCCTGCTACTTCTAGAGCACCACTTGTGTTGGTACAGCCTTTTGTCACCTTGGCCATCCCATCCATAGCTGACAGCACTGAACTTAGATTCAAGTACATATCAAAGCCGAACACAACATTCGCACTATTGTTGTAGCGAAGTACTCCAAATCGGCTTTGACTCCGACCCACAGCGCCAGTACCAGAGCTGTCGTTTCTCCAATTGTTACTGCTGCTGCTCCTGCTGCTGCTGCTGCTGCGGCCACCGCTGTCACTGCTGCCACTACTGCTCATGTTGCTCAGCTGCTGTCGCCTCCATGCAGACCGCCCGTCTTCTCCACGATTTGTTGCCACCGAAAATCGATCCATCATCTTCTTTGTGAAGCTCACCATCTTAGCAAAATTGCCATCACCAACGCTACCTGAAGCATCCAGTATGAATGCTACGTCCAACACACCACCTCTTTCTACACAGCCTCCTGCACACAAAGACAATGCACGAAATACACACACAAACACAGAAACAACATCATGTTATACTATAAACGTGGCTCTTTCTGACTGTTTATCATCTTCTTACAGTCGTGGATAGTTGCTGCAGAACTCGTTCTCATGTGTTTTCTTCTCTTTTTTCACATCATAATTATTAGTATTCTTTCTTTTTTCAGTCCACATCTACTGTCATACAGAGAGACATAAAAAAAACCAAGGACAACTGGACACAGATTGAGGGGAAGGTGGTCGCAGCCTGATTGATCAGAGTGTCTCAAATGATCTACGATGTTCAAACTGATCCAGAAATAAGCCATGATCAAAAACCATTTAGGACCGTCAGATTAATTTACATGGACCGAGCCAGCCGGGAAAGAACCCTCGCACCGACGGTCGCAGCAGCGAGGGAAATAACCCGGTGTATGATTCCAGTGACGATATGACATCATGCAAGCATTTCAAAGCACATCGAAGCAAACTTGCTTTTGAAAACAAATTTGGGGGCACAGAACTGAAGCGTGGGAGCGCACAGACACTGCTCAGACTCAAGAACTGACTGAGGAACCAGGAAAAGAAGGAACAATAAAGAAAAGCATTGATGCCATATTTGAAGCATAAAAACAGAAAAAAGAGTGTTGCGCAAGATTGCATTTCTTGTCTATCTCCCCTCCGTCCGGCCAACGAGAAATAAAACTTCCATTTCAATCTCGATCTCTCGTTTTATCAAGTTCTTTCTCTCTCTCATTCTCTCTCTCTCTCTCTCTCTCTCTCTCTCTCTCTCTCTCTCTCTCTCTTTCTCTGTCTCTGTCTCTGTGTCAAACTCACCTTCCTTACGAGTTGATGGACAAGCTACGCTGCCACACTTGCGCTGTTGCCTGCTCTCTCCCACACACAGACTGCTCTCATTGCTTCCGCATTCTCGACTTCTTCTCTGTATCCCGCCGCCACAGCTGGAACTGCACTGCGTCCAGCTACTCCATACATCCCAGCCACGAACTAAACACATCCAACAACGCACACACGCACATGAAAACACGACACACCAAACACCAACATCCTCCGTGCATACTAGCTGCCTGTTGGCTTCTTCATACAGAACTGAACTGTTAGCATGTACAGTACACGCGGCAAGTACAGTACCTTTTCAATTCAACAAAACATATTACATGTATAGCAGTCTGAGTCATGCAAGACTGTTCTCGCTGCCCATGCTCTTGCTCACCTGGGCACACAAATTGCTCCAGTTTCTTCAGCACAGTCTCCTCCAATGCATCAAAACTCTGCACCGATAACACGTGCTTAGGATATGGCAGGCTTGCGATGCTTTCCAACTCTGACCGGTCTATTCCGTTACCGATGCCCACTGCAAACACCTCGATGTTCTTAGCACGCAGCTCAGAAGCGCAGGCCGAAGGATTGCCACCAACATTGGAGTTTCCGTCACTCAACAGCACAATAACTTCTCGTCTTCTGACACCGCTTGAGCTGCTCCTTCTTCCTCGTCCTCGTCCTCGATCACCAGAAGATGACGACCCTGAGCTGCTGCTGCTGCTGCCGCTACCACGGCTGCTGCTGCTGCTGCTGCTGCTGCTGCCACGGCCGCTACTGCTGCTGCTGCCACTGCTGCTGCTGCTGCTGCCACTGCTGCTTCCGCTGCTTCCTCTGCCATTCTGACTACTACTTCCACCTCCACTGCCACGGCTGCTGCTGCTTGCGCTGCTGCCGGATGCACTCCCGCAATAAGACCTGCACGAAGAATTGCGGTGACAACCCAGAGATGTGCAGCTCATTGACAAGCCAAATAAGTCAATTCCTGCTACTTCTAGAGCACCACTTGTGTTGGTACAGCCTTTTGTCACCTTGGCCATCCCATCCATAGCTGACAGCACTGAACTTAGATTCAAGTACATATCAAAGCCGAACACAACATTCGCACTATTGTTGTAGCGAAGTACTCCAAATCGGCTTTGACTCCGACCCACAACGCCAGTACCAGAGCTGTCGTTTCTCCAATTGTTACTGCTGCTGCTCCTGCTGCTGCTGCTGCTGCTGCTGCTCCTGCTGCTGCTGCCGCCGCCGCTGTCACTGCTGCCACTACTGCTCATGTTGCTCAGCTGCTGTCGCCTCCATGCAGACCGCCTGTCTTCTCCACGATTTGTTGCCACCGAAAATCGATCCATCATCTTCTTTGTGAAGCTCACCATCTTAGCAAAATTGCCATCACCAACGCTACCTGAAGCATCCAGTATGAATGCTACGTCCAACACACCACCTCTTTCTACACAGCCTGCTGCACACAAAGACAATGCACGAAATACACACACAAACACAGAAACAACATCATGTTATACTATTAACGCGGCTCTTTCTGACTGTTTATCATCTTCTTACAGTCGTGGATAGTTGCTGCATAACTCGTTCTCATGTGTTTTCTTCTCTTTTTTAACATCATAATTATTATTATTCTTTCTTTTTTCAGTCCACATCTACTGTCATACAGAGAGACATAAAAAAAAAAGGACAACTGGACACAGATTGAGGGGAAGGTGGTCGCAGCCTGATCGATCAGAGTGTCTCAAATGATCTACGATGTTCAAACTGATCCAGAAATAAGCCATGATCAAAAACCATTTAGGACCGTCAGATTAATTTACATGGACCGAGCCAGCCGGGAAAGAACCCTCGCACCGACTGTTCAGGAGGACACTGCTAGTTTCTGTTGTGCATTGTCATCCAGTATGTATTCTAATAATAGCACAGCCACAGTATTCCAGGTAGCTTCTAAATGTAGGTGTTTGGACACGGACGGAGAGTTTGTTAGTAGTTTCCTGCCATATTGAATACTTCTGCAATATTGGCCGTTTTTACCTTTGTGCATTGACGTGCCTCAGACGGCGACCACCCGGTGATTTGTCTGAGCGGTTATCTGCGGTTATTCTTTGTTAACCATGCAGCGGAATTGTTCACTGTATTGTTTATTCCAATTGTTTCCTTTCGTCTGTGTTTGGCTCCTGATATGCTGGCTGTGTGCTTTCAACCTACCATAAGAATCGCTGCGCTCCCATTATTCCATCAGATGATGATGCAATGAAGCATTCAGATTCTTGCAGTTGTTGCTAGAGTCGGTGTTACGTTTATTTCTTGTACTTGTGTGAAAAGATCGAAGAACACCACCTATCGAAAGGCGTGTGTTGTATGAGTGTCTACAGGGACATTATTAGCAGTTCGAAACTGAATAGAAGGGGCGTTCTCCATCACTCCGAGGCCTTGTTGTTGTGGATTGCCGATAGCGGATTCGGCGGATCTCGTGATCCTCCATAACATGGTCGCATGGTAGCAGAGGATGGTTTTCCAGTAGTGTCAAAGTGAGTAGACAGTTGTAGTGAGTTTCGATATCGAAGATGGAGGACGTTGACACAAGAGTCGAGAGTAGCGCGGAAGACGCGGTAGGAGAGTCGCAACAGCGCGGCGGTACGCCTCAGCAATCGGATTCTGTGGCGAGAGATGAGAGCATCGTAGTGTTGCGCAAACGGAAGGCGCAAGCAAAGGGACACTTCACAAATGCAAGGAGGGCGCTGTTAGTAGGCGCACACAATGGGCAGATTGAGGACGTAGAAGCGGAACAGTCGCGTCTACAAGGCTGCATGGAGGAGGTCGCGGCAGTCATCGACGAATTATTGAACATCACCAGCGATGTCAAGGAGAAGCTACTGCTGATAGCAGAACTAGAAACGCTACAAGCCGAGTACAGTGCCGCAGTTGAGGATCTGCCTGTGCCTTCGTACGGGACCGGAGGCGATCAGGAAGTCACTCAGGCGCAACGAGGAAGTGATGCAGTATCCAGCCAGCGAGGATTTACTGAGAGTGGTAGATCTACTCGTAGTCGTAGAGGTCACACACGGACCTGGCCCTGGGACTCGGCCAGTGCAACCAGTCCTAGATACGCGCCGGAATCTAGTACTGGCGGAGGACTCGCGATGAGCGCTCTAGGTGATTGGCAGCAGAGCACTGAACCTGAGGAGGCCAGCTTTCTCAGCGGTATCGGAGGCTTCGGAGCCTTTGGCGGAGTGCGAGGAAGACAGATGCCCGTGGCCTCGTGGCCTGGGTACAGATATCGGGAGAGACCACTAGCTGCGTTACAGGAAGAAGATCCATGGATGCGTCAGTCATTCGCAGCGCACTCGGACTCCCCCGACTCGGAGACTCGAGACACGCGCGCCGAGTCACTTGAACAACACCAGGGTTTCGCCAGCTACAGCCAAGGAGCAACGAACATCGCGAACCAAACATCACTGCTAGCTTCGAAGGCTAGCGAAGCAGCTGCATCAGCAGCGTCAGTGCCCTCAACGGTGAGTGCTGCAAACATAGTCAATAGTTCGACAACCACGGTACTCGCTTCCGGAAGATCGCCATCGATCACAGCCACTAGCATCAGTGCTAGAGCGCCTACACTGACCACAGACAGCGCGCCAGCGTCAGTTCCGAACCTTCCAAGTACTAGTAGTCGAACGAGCGTACCCGCGGCTGCGTCTTGGACAGGCCACAGCCTACGTGCACCGGTGACAGCAGTCAGTGCCAGTACTAGTACTAGTCAACCCTATGCAGGTAACGCTCCAGTCCTACAGCCTGCAGCGTCTAGTTCGCAGTTTGGAGGCCATCAGCACTTTCAGGCTGCCATGCCCAGGGCAAGACCACCGCCACCAGCGTTTGCTCCACCGCCTGGACATGAGCCATGGACGCAGATGAAGAGAGTATCGATAGAAACTTTCACAGGCGACAAGAGGAAGTATGAAGAGTGGAAGGGGTCCTTCATTGCCTGTGTCGATTCGTCACCGGCTACTCCAGAGTACAAGTTCCTCCAGATGAAGCAGTTTCTGGGCGGGGACGCGTTGCAAGCCGTCGCCAATCTAGGCTACACGCAGAGAGGCTATGATACAGCCAAGGCACGGCTAGAGAAGAAGTTCGGCGGCAAGCGCCGTCAAGTCGCAATGTATGTGGAGGAGCTGGCTCGGTTTACCGGCATCTCCGGAGACGACCCCAGGGAGCTTGAACGCTTTGCAGATTTACTGGAAGTCGCCGCAGTGAATCTGGAAGATGCTGGTCATTTCGCTGAGCTTCAGGCTGGGACATTCTACATGAACCTGCTACGGAAGCTGTCTGAGAAACTCGTCGCCCAATATCAGCGGTGGCTATTTGAGCAACGGAAGCAAGAGTCGGTTCTCGCTCTGCTAGAGTGGGCTACCCAAGAGGCGGAGTTCCTCGTTACGGCAACGGAGACAGTACGAGGGATGACGCGGTCCCAGCAACCCAGATGGAGCAAGCCGACCACGAATGCCAGCGGCAACAGTGAAAAGGCCAGGACCTATGCCAGTTTCAGCACCAGCTCAACCCCGCAGAAACCGCAGAAGTCGCCGAAGTGCCCCACTTGCGAAGGAGAGCATGGTATCTGGCGGTGCATGGCATTCCTGGAGATGGACAACGTACAGAGATGGACTGAGGCCCGGCGAGCAAATCTCTGCTATCGCTGCTTGGCATTTGGACACCGAGGTGGTGAATGCAAGCGTGGTTGGACATGTGGAGTAAACGGCTGCCAGGATAATCATCATCGTCTCCTCCACGCTACGAAGGGTGGTGCGCAGAAAGGCACGCCGTCTAGTGGCCAAGCCAAGGTTACACCCAGTAATGCCGAGAGTAAGAACCGGACAGGCGAATTAGATGGTTCTTGTCACGCAGTGCAGGCTGTTACCGAGGGGGAGCTAACAGCTGGAGCGACAATGGCAGCTCACTCGTATAGCAAGGTGGCACTACGGATTGTGCCAGTGATGCTACGCAACGGCCCACAGGAAGTCACGGTGAATGCCTTACTGGACGATGCTAGTACAACCAGCTACATCAACGCAGCCGTGGCTGGCCAGCTCGGCATCAGTGGAACTTTGCGACGGTCGACAGTCAGTACATTGAATGGGAAGGAGGAGACCTTCATGACAGCACCGGTCAGCTTTACCATCGCTAGTATGGATAACTCGTATCAGCAATCGGTGACAGCGTTCACCACAACGAACGTAACCGGAGACCTACAACCTGTGGACTGGTCGCACGAGGCTGAGAAGTATGGTCACCTCCGGGATATTCCCTTCCCGGCACTGAGCAAGCCCAACGTCATCGAACTGTTGATTGGAAGCGACAATGCAGAGCTAATGATGTCCCGTCGAGACATTAGTGGCGCTCCCGGACAACCGATAGCACGTCAAACACCGCTGGGATGGACATGCGTCGGCAAAGTACATGCAGCGGACACAGACTCGCACCAAGAGGCCTTCCACGGCCAGTCTTTCCTGTGTTACGGCGGCCCATCTGTGACATCACTTGAGGCAACGCTACAGCGTTTCTGGGAGGTAGAGCGCTACGGCATGAGTGATGGACTCCAGGAGTCTGGCATACGATCAGCCGAGGATGAGAGCGCGCTCAAGACAGTGCAGCGGGCTATACAGATGGTGGATGGACGATACCAGGTTTGCATACCATGGAACAGCAGGAAAGTTGAGCTCACGAATAACATTGTGATGGCCAGGAAACGACTGACAAGCACAGAACGCCGCCTGCAAAAAGATAGCACAGTTACAGCGGCCTACCGAGATGTGCTGAAGAGCTACGAGGACAAAGGCTACATCCGGGAGCTTGGTGCAGCAGAAACGGAACAAGATCAGTGCTGGTATCTGCCACACTTCACAATCGTAAGGCCACAGAAGACCACAACAAAAGTTCGCATAGTATTCGACGCAGCAGCTAACTACCGTGGACTGAGTCTGAATGATGCAATCAACCCGGGGCCAAGGCTGCAACGAGACCTCTGTGACGTCCTGACAAGGTTTAGAAGAAAACCAGTTGCAATCGGATGCGACATCTCTGAGATGTACCTGCACGTGGCATTAGCAGCGGAAGACAAGCTGTATCATCGCTTTCTGTGGCGGGACAGGCCAGACGCTGATGTGCAGCACTACGAGTTCAAACGCCTCGTCTTCGGGATCAATGCATCGCCGTTCCTAGCTCAATATGTGGCGCAGCAAACGGCGCGAGAGCATGCAGTTACGCACCCTCTGGCAGCGGGTGCAATCCTGGCATCGACGTACATGGAAGACACCATGGATTGAAGTTTACCCGGGTCCAGACGGGCATGTGCGAGTTGTGAAGCTGCAGCTGCACACAGCCAGCTGCAGGCCGGTAATCAGCAATACAAATGGCCTATCTCCCGTGTGCCCACTGGAATGCTGAAGTCATCTAGTGAGGTACCGCTACAGTCAGTAGCCGATACACTGAATGTATCATACCAAGAGGAACACTGTGCAAGCTGTGTGCCTTGCTGAAAACATGAAATAGCTATTCATACTCTTTCGTTGCAGCATGCGGTGCTGCTGCACATTATTCTCGGTGCACATTTGTTACGCTGTATATGCATTTTTGGCATAGCAAATCAGTAGTTGCCACATGCTACTCTGGGAGCATATGGCGAGGGGGAGGATGTTCAGGAGGACACTGCTAGTTTCTGTTGTGCATTGTCATCCAGTATGTATTCTAATAATAGCACAGCCACAGTATTCCAGGTAGCTTCTAAATGTAGGTGTTTGGACACGGACGGAGAGTTTGTTAGTAGTTTCCTGCCATATTGAATACTTCTGCAATATTGGCCGTTTTTACCTTTGTGCATTGACGTGCCTCAGACGGCGACCACCCGGTGATTTGTCTGAGCGGTTATCTGCGGTTATTCTTTGTTAACCATGCAGCGGAATTGTTCACTGTATTGTTTATTCCAATTGTTTCCTTTCGTCTGTGTTTGGCTCCTGATATGCTGGCTGTGTGCTTTCAACCTACCATAAGAATCGCTGCGCTCCCATTATTCCATCAGATGATGATGCAATGAAGCATTCAGATTCTTGCAGTTGTTGCTAGAGTCGGTGTTACGTTTATTTCTTGTACTTGTGTGAAAAGATCGAAGAACACCACCTATCGAAAGGCGTGTGTTGTATGAGTGTCTACAGGGACATTATTAGCAGTTCGAAACTGAATAGAAGGGGCGTTCTCCATCACTCCGAGGCCTTGTTGTTGTGGATTGCCGATAGCGGATTCGGCGGATCTCGTGATCCTCCATAACACCGACGGTCGCAGCAGCGAGGGAAATAACCCGGTGTATGATTCCAGTGCCGATATGACATCATGCAAGCATTTCAAAGCACATCGAAGCAAACTTGCTTTTGAAAACAAATTTGGGGGCACAGAACTGAAGCGTGGGAGCGCACAGACACTGCTGAGACTCAAGAACTGACTGAGGAACCAGGAAAAGAAGGAACAATAAAGAAAAGCATTGATGCCATATTTGAAGCATAAAAACAGAAAAAAGAGTGTTGCGCAAGATTGCATTTCTTGTCTATCTCCCCTACGTCCGGCCAACGAGAAATAAACCTTCTATTTCTCTCTCGATCTCTCGTTTTATCAAGTTCTTTCTCTCTCTCATTCTCTCTCTCTCTCTCTCTCTCTCTCTCTCTCTGTCTCTCTCTCTGTCTCTGTCTCTGTCTCTGTCTCTGTGTCAAACTCACCTTCCTTACGAGTTGATGGACAAGCTACGCTGCCACACTTGCGCTGTTGCCTGCTCTCCCCCACACACAGACTGCTCTCATTGCTTCCGCATTCTCGACTTCTTCTCTGTATCCCGCCGCCACAGCTGGAACTGCACTGCGACCAGCTACTCCATACATCCCAGCCACGAACTAAACACATCCAACAACGCACACACGCACATGAAAACACGACACACCAAACACCAACATCCTCCGTGCATACTAGCTGCCTGTTGGCTTCTTCATACAGAACTGAACCGTTATGATCTACAGTACACGCGGCAAGTACAGTACCTTTTCAATTCAACAAAACATATTACATGTATAGCAGTCTGAGTCATGCAAGACTGTTCTCGCTGACCATGCTCTTGCTCACCTGGGCACACAAATTGCTCCAGTTTCTTCAGCACAGTCTCCTCCAATGCATCAAAACTCTGCACCGATAACACGTGCTTAGGATATGGCAGGCTTGCGATGCTTTCCAACTCTGACCGGTCTATTCCGTTACCGATGCCCACTGCAAACACCTCGATGTTCTTAGCACGCAGCTCAGAAGCGCAGGCCGAAGGATTGCCACCAACATTGGAGTTTCCGTCACTCAACAGCACAATAACTTCTCGTCTTCTGACACCGCTTGAGCTGCTCCTTTTTCCTCGTCCTCGGTCACCAGAAGATGACGACCCTGAGCTGCTGCTGCTGCCGCTACCACGGCTGCTGCTGCTGCTGCTGCCACGGCCGCTACTGCTGCTGCTGCCGCTGCTGCTGCTGCTGCCACTGCTGCTTCCGCTGCTTCCTCTGCCATTCTGACTACTACTTCCACCTCCACTGCCACGGCTGCTGCTGCTTCCGCTGCTGCCGGATGCACTCCCGCAATAAGACCTGCACGAAGAATTGCGGTGACAACCCAGAGATGTGCAGCTCATTGACAAGCCAAATAAGTCAATTCCTGCTACTTCTAGAGCACCACTTGTGTTGGTACAGCCTTTTGTCACCTTGGCCATCCCATCCATAGCTGACAGCACTGAACTTAGATTCAAGTACATATCAAAGCCGAACACAACATTCGCACTATTGTTGTAGCGAAGTACTCCAAATCGGCTTTGACTCCGACCCACAGCGCCAGTACCAGAGCTGTCGTTTCTCCAATTGTTACTGCTGCTGCTCCTGCTGCTGCTGCTGCTGCCGCCGCCGCTGTCACTGCTGCCACTACTGCTCATGTTGTTCAGCTGCTGTCGCCTCCATGCAGACCGCCCATCTTCTCCACGATTTGTTGCCACCGAAAATCGATCCATCATCTTCTTTGTGAAGCTCACCATCTTAGCAAAATTGCCATCACCAACGCTACCTGAAGCATCCAGTATGAATGCTACGTCCAACACACCACCTCTTTCTACACAGCCTCCTGCACACAAAGACAATGCACGAAATACACACACAAACACAGAAACAACATCATGTTATACTATTAACGCGGCTCTTTCTGACTGTTTATCATCTTCTTACAGTCGTGGATAGTTGCTGCAGAACTCGTTCTCATGTGTTTTCTTCTCTTTTTTAACATCATAATTATTAGTATTCTTTCTTTTTTCAGTCCACATCTACTGTCATACAGAGAGACAACAACAACAAAAAAACAAGGACAACTGGACACAGATTGAGGGGAAGGTGGTCGCAGCCTGATCGATCAGAGTGTCTCAAATGATCTACGATGTTCAAATGGATCCAGAAATAAGCCACGATCAAAAACCATTTAGGACCGTCAGATTAATTTACATGGACCGAGCCAGCCGGGAAAGAACCCTCGCACCGACGGTCGCAGCAGCGATGGAAATAACCCGGTGTATGAGTCCAGTGACGATATGACATCATGCAAGCATTTCAAAGCACATCGAAGCAAACTTGCTTTTGAAAACAAATTTGGGGGCACAGATCCGGAGCGTGGGAGCGCACAGACACTGCTGAGACTCAAGAACTGACTGAGGAACCAGGAAAAGAAGCAACAATAAAGAAAAGCATTGATGCCATATTTGAAGCATAAAAACAGAAAAAAGAGTGGTGCGCAAGATTGCATTTCTTGTCTATCTCCCCTGCGTCCGGCCAACGAGAAATAAAACTTCCATTTCTCTCTCGATCTCTCGTTTTATCAAGTTCTTTCTCTCTCTCATACTCTCTCTCTCTCTCTCTCTCTCTCTCTCTCTCTCTCTCTGTCTCTGTCTCTGTCTCTGTCTCTGTCTCTGTGTCAAACTCACCTTCCTTACGAGTTGATGGACAAGCTACGCTGCCACACTTGCGCTGTTGCCTGCTCTCTCCCACACACAGACTGCTCTCATTGCTTCCGCATTCTCGACTTCTTCTCTGTATCCCACCGCCACAGCTGGAACTGCACTGCGACCAGCTACTCCATACATCCCAGCCACGAACTAAACACATCCAACAACGCACACACGCACATGAAAACACGACACACCAAACACCAACATCCTCCGTGCATACTAGCTGCCTGTTGGCTTCTTCATACAGAACTGAACTGTTAGCATGTACAGTACACGCGGCAAGTACAGTACCTTTTCAATTCAACAAAACATATTACATGTATAGCAGTCTGAGTCATGCGAGACTGTTCTCGCTGACCATGCTCTTGCTCACCTGGGCACACAAATTGCTCCAGTTTCTTCAGCACAGTCTCCTCCAATGCATCAAAACTCTGCACCGATAACACGTGCTTAGGATATGGCAGGCTTGCGATGCTTTCCAACTCTGACCGGTCTATTCCGTTACCGATGCCCACTGCAAACACCTCGATGTTCTTAGCACGCAGCTCAGAAGCGCAGGCCGAAGGATTGCCACCAACATTGGAGTTTCCGTCACTCAACAGCACAATAACTTCTCGTCTTCTGACACCGCTTGAGCTGCTCCTTTTTCCTCGTCCTCGGTCACCAGAAGATGACGACCCTGAGCTGCTGCTGCTGCCGCTACCACGGCTGCTGCTGCTGCTGCTGCCACGGCCGCTACTGCTGCTGCTGCCGCTGCTGCTGCTGCTGCCACTGCTGCTTCCGCTGCTTCCTCTGCCATTCTGACTACTACTTCCACCTCCACTGCCACGGCTGCTGCTGCTTCCGCTGCTGCCGGATGCACTCCCGCAATAAGACCTGCACGAAGAATTGCGGTGACAACCCAGAGATGTGCAGCTCATTGACAAGCCAAATAAGTCAATTCCTGCTACTTCTAGAGCACCACTTGTGTTGGTACAGCCTTTTGTCACCTTGGCCATCCCATCCATAGCTGACAGCACTGAACTTAGATTCAAGTACATATCAAAGCCGAACACAACATTCGCACTATTGTTGTAGCGAAGTACTCCAAATCGGCTTTGACTCCGACCCACAGCGCCAGTACCAGAGCTGTCGTTTCTCCAATTGTTACTGCTGCTGCTGCTGCCGCCGCCGCCGCTGTCACTGCTGCCACTACTGCTCATGTTGCTCAGCTGCTGTCGCCTCCATGCAGACCGCCCGTCTTCTCCACGATTTGTTGCCACCGAAAATCGATCCATCATCTTCTTTGTGAAGCTCACCATCTTAGCAAAATTGCCATCACCAACGCTACCTGAAGCATCCAGTATGAATGCTACGTCCAACACACCACCTCTTTCTACACAGCCTCCTGCACACAAAGACAATGCACGAAAAACACACACAAACACAGAAACAACATCATGTTATACTATTAACGCGGCTCTTTCTGACTGTTTATCATCTTCTTACAGTCGTGGATAGTTGCTGCAGAACTCGTTCTCATGTGTTTTCTTCTCTTTTTTAACATCATAATTATTAGTATTCTTTCTTTTTTCAGTCCACATCTACTGTCATACAGAGAGACAACAACAAAAAAACAAGGACAACTGGACACAGATTGAGGGGAAGGTGGTCGCAGCCTGATCGATCAGAGTGTCTCAAATGATCTACGATGTTCAAACGGATCCAGAAATAAGCCATGATCAAAAACCATTTAGGACCGTCAGATTAATTTACATGGACCGAGCCAGCCGGGAAAGAACCCTTGCACCGACGGTCGCAGCAGCGAGGGAAATAACCCGGTGTATGATTCCAGTGACGATATGACATCATGCAAGCATTTCAAAGCACATCGAAACAAACTTGCTTTTGAAAACAAATTTGGGGGCACAGAACTGAAGCATGGGAGCGCACAGACACTGCTGTGACTCAAGAACTGACTGAGGAACCAGGAAAAGAAGCAAAAATAAAGAAAAGCATTGATGCCATATTTGAAGCATAAAAACAGAAAAAAGAGTGTTGCGCAAGATTGCATTTCTTGTCTATCTCCCCTGCGTCCGGCCAACGAGAAATAAAACTTCCATTTCTCTCTCGATCTCTCGTTTTATCAAGTTCTTTCTCTCTCTCATTCTCTCTCTCTCTCTCCCTTTCTCTGTCTCTGTCTCTGTCTCTGTCTCTGTGTCAAACTCACCTTCCTTACGAGTTGATGGACAAGCTACGCTGCCACACTTGCGCTGTTGCCTGCTCTCTCCCACACACAGACTGCTCTCATTGCTTCCGCATTCTCGACTTCTTCTCTGTATCCCGCCGCCACAGCTGGAACTGCACTGCGACCAGCTACTCCATACATCCCAGCCACGAACTAAACACATCCAACAACGCACACACGCACATGAAAACACGACACACCAAACACCAACATCCTCCGTGCATACTAGCTGCCTGTTGGCTTCTTCATACAGAACTGAACTGTTAGCATGTACAGTACACGTGGCAAGTACAGTACCTTTTCAATTCAACAAAATATATTACATGTATAGCAGTCTGAGTCATGCAAGACTGTTCTCGCTGACCATGCTCTTGCTCACCTGGGCACACAAATTGCTCCAGTTTCTTCAGCACAGTCTCCTCCAATGCATCAAAACTCTGCACCGATAACACGTGCTTAGGATATGGCAGGCTTGCGATGCTTTCCAACTCTGACCGGTCTATTCCGTTACCGATGCCCACTGCAAACACCTCGATGTTCTTAGCACGCAGCTCAGAAGCGCAGGCCGAAGGATTGCCACCAACATTGGAGTTTCCGTCACTCAACAGCACAATAACTTCTCGTCTTCTGACACCGCTTGAGCTGCTCCTTCTTCCTCGTCCTCGTCCTCGATCACCAGAAGATGACGACACTGAGCTGCTGCTGCTGCTGCCGCTACCACGGCTGCTGCTGCTGCTGCTGCTGCTGCCACGGCCGCTACTGCTGCTGCTGCTGCCACTGCTGCTGCTGCTGCCACTGCTGCTTCCGCTGCTTCCTCTGCCATTCTGACTACTACTTCCACCTCCACTGCCACGGCTGCTGCTGCTTCCGCTGCTGCCGGATGCACTCCCGCAATAAGACCTGCACGAAGAATTGCGGTGACAACCCAGAGATGTGCAGCTCATTGACAAGCCAAATAAGTCAATTCCTGCTACTTCTAGAGCACCACTTGTGTTGGTACAGCCTTTTGTCACCTTGGCCATCCCATCCATAGCTGACAGCACTGAACTTAGATTCAAGTACATATCAAAGCCGAACACAACATTCGCACTATTGTTGTAGCGAAGTACTCCAAATCGGCTTTGACTCCGACCCACAGCGCCAGTACCAGAGCTGTCGTTTCTCCAATTGTTACTGCTGCTGCTCCTGCTGCTGCTGCTGCTGCCGCCACCGCTGTCACTGCTGCCACTACTGCTCATGTTGCTCAGCTGCTGTCGCCTCCATGCAGACCGCCCGTCTTCTCCACGATTTGTTGCCACCGAAAATCGATCCATCATCTTCTTTGTGAAGCTCACCATCTTAGCAAAATTGCCATCACCAACGCTACCTGAAGCATCCAGTATGAATGCTACGTCCAACACACCACCTCTTTCTACACAGCCTCCTGCACACAAAGACAATGCACGAAATACACACACAAACACAGAAACAACATCATGTTATACTATTAACGCGGCTCTTTCTGACTGTTCATCATCTTATTACAGTCGTGGATAGTTGCTGCATAACTCGTTCTCATGTGTTTTCTTCTCTTTTTTAACATCATAATTATTAGTATTCTTTCTTTTTTCAGTCCACATCTACTGTCATACAGAGAGACATAAAAAAAACAAGGAAAACTGGACACAGATTGAGGGGTAGGTGGTCGCAGCCTGATCGATCATAGGGACTCAAATGATCTACGATGTTCAAACGGATCCAGAAATAAGCCACGATCAAAAACCATTTAGGACCGTCAGATTAATTTACATGGACCGAGCCAGCCGGGAAAGAACCCTCGCACCGACGGTCGCAGCAGCGAGGGAAATAACCCGGTGTATGATTCCAGTGACGATATGACATCATGCAAGCATTTCAAAGCACATCGAAGCAAACTTGCTTTTTAAAACAAATTTGGGGGCACAGATCCGGAGCGTGGGAGCGCACAGACACTGCTGAGACTCAAGAACTGACTGAGGAACCAGGAAAAGAAGGAACAATAAAGAAAAGCATTGATGCCATATTTGAAGCATAAAAACAGAAAAAAGAGTGTTGCGCAAGATTGCATTTCTTGTCTATCTCCCCTGCGTCCGGCCGACGAGAAATAAAACTTCCATTTCTCTCTTGATCTCTCATTTTATCAAGTTCTCTCTCTCATTCTCTCTCTCTCTGTCTCTGTCTCTGTCTCTGTGTCAAACTCACCTTCCTTACGAGTTGATGGACAAGCTACGCTGCCACACTTGCGCTGTTGCCTGCTCTCTCCCACACACAGACTGCTCTCATTGCTTCCGCATTCTCGACTTCTTCTCTGTATCCCGCCGCCACAGCTGGAACTGCACTGCGACCAGCTACTCCATACATCCCAGCCACGAACTAAACACATCCAACAACGCACACACGCACATGAAAACACGACACACCAAACACCAACATCCTCCGTGCATACTAGCTGCCTGTTGGCTTCTTCATACAGAACTGAACCGTTATGATCTACAGTACACGCGGCAAGTACAGTACCTTTTCAATTCAACAAAACATATTACATGTATAGCAGTCTGAGTCATGCAAGACTGTTCTCGCTGACCATGCTCTTGCTCACCTGGGCACACAAATTGCTCCAGTTTCTTCAGCACAGTCTCCTCCAATGCATCAAAACTCTGCACCGATAACACGTGCTTAGGATATGGCAGGCTTGCGATGCTTTCCAACTCTGACCGGTCTATTCCGTTACCGATGCCCACTGCAAACACCTCGATGTTCTTAGCACGCAGCTCAGAAGCGCAGGCCGAAGGATTGCCACCAACATTGGAGTTTCCGTCACTCAACAGCACAATAACTTCTCGTCTTCTGACACCGCTTGAGCTGCTCCTTCTTCCTCGTCCTCGTCCTCGATCACCAGAAGATGACGACCCTGAGCTGCTGCTGCTGCTGCCGCTACCACGGCTGCTGCTGCTGCTGCTGCCACGGCCGCTACTGCTGCTGCTGCTGCCACTGCTGCTGCTGCTGCCACTGCTGCTTCCGCTGCTTCCTCTGCCATTCTGACTACTACTTCCACCTCCACTGCCACGGCTGCTGCTGCTTCCGCTGCTGCCGGATGCACTCCCGCAATAAGACCTGCACGAAGAATTGCGGTGACAACCCAGAGATGTGCAGCTCATTGACAAGCCAAATAAGTCAATTCCTGCTACTTCTAGAGCACCACTTGTGTTGGTACAGCCTTTTGTCACCTTGGCCATCCCATCCATAGCTGACAGCACTGAACTTAGATTCAAGTACATATCAAAGCCGAACACAACATTCGCACTATTGTTGTAGCGAAGTACTCCAAATCGGCTTTGACTCCGACCCACAGCGCCAGTACCAGAGCTGTCGTTTCTCCAATTGTTACTGCTGCTGCTGCTGCCGCCGCCGCCGCTGTCACTGCTGCCACTACTGCTCATGTTGCTCAGCTGCTGTCGCCTCCATGCAGACCGCCCGTCTTCTCCACGATTTGTTGCCACCGAAAATCGATCCATCATCTTCTTTGTGAAGCTCACCATCTTAGCAAAATTGCCATCACCAACGCTACCTGAAGCATCCAGTATGAATGCTACGTCCAACACACCACCTCTTTCTACACAGCCTCCTGCACACAAAGACAATGCACGAAATACACACACAAACACAGAAACAACATCATGTTATACTATTAACGCGGCTCTTTCTGACTGTTTATCATCTTCTTACAGTCGTGGATAGTTGCTGCAGAACTCGTTCTCATGTGTTTTCTTCTCTTTTTTAACATCATAATTATTAGTATTTCAGGTATTTCACCTGATGAGAAGGCTTGAAAGTATACTTGTGAAGACAAAAACTTTCAAGATGTTTGTAATGAGCCTGAAGTGTGTCCTTTTTATGAGTATTATCGCATTTTTGTCTCAGAGGAAACTGTTTACATAATTATTAGTATTCTTTCTTTTTTCAGTCCACATCTACTGTCATACAGAGAGACATAAAAAAAACAAGGACAACTGAACACAGATTGAGGGGAAGGTGGTCGCAGCCTGATCGATCAGAGTGTCTCAAATGATCTACGATGTTCACACGGATCCAGAAATAAGCCATGATCAAAAACCATTTAGGACCGTCAGATTAATTTACATGGACCGAGCCTGCCGGGAAAGAACCCTCGCACCGACGGTCGCAGCAGCGAGGGAAATAACCCGGTGTATGATTCCAGTGACGATATGACATCATGCAAGCATTTCAAAGCACATCTAAGCAAACTTGCTTTTGAAAACAAATTTGGGGGCACAGAACTGAAGCGTGGGAGCGCACAGACACTGCTGAGACTCACGAACTGACTGAGGAACCAGGAAAAGAAGCAAAAATAAAGAAAAGCATTGATGCCATATTTGAAGCAGAAAAAAAGAAAAAAGAGTGTTGCGCAAGATTTCATTTCTTGTCTATCTCCCCTGCGTCCGGCCAACGAGAAATAATACTTCCATTTCTCTCTCGATCTCTCGTTTTATCAAGTTCTTTCTCTCTCTCATTCTCTCTCTCTCTCTCTCCCTTTCTCTGTCTCTGTCTCTGTCTCTGTCTCTGTGTCAAACTCACCTTCCTTACGAGTTGATGGACAAGCGACGCTGCCACACTTGCGCTGTTGCCTGCTCTCTCCCACACACAGACTGCTCTCATTGCTTCCGCATTCTCGATTTCTTCTCTGTATCCCGCCGCCACAGCTGGAACTGCACTGCGACCAGCTACTCCATACATCCCAGCCACGAACTAAACACATCCAACAACGCACACACGCACATGAAAACACGACACACCAAACACCAACATCCTCCGTGCATACTAGCTGCCTGTTGGCTTCTTCATACAGAACTGAACTGTTAGCATGTACAGTACACGCGGCAAGTACAGTACCTTTTCAATTCAACAAAACATATTACATGTATAGCAGTCTGAGTCATGCAAGACTGTTCTCGCTGACCATGCTCTTGCTCACCTGGGCACACAAATTGCTCCAGTTTCTTCAGCACAGTCTCCTCCAATGCATCAAAACTCTGCACCGATAACACGTGCTTAGGATATGGCAGGCTTGCGATGCTTTCCAACTCTGACCGGTCTATTCCGTTACCGATGCCCACTGCAAACACCTCGATGTTCTTAGCACGCAGCTCAGAAGCGCAGGCCGAAGGATTGCCACCAACATTGGAGTTTCCGTCACTCAACAGCACAATAACGTCTCGTCTTCTGACACCGCTTGAGCTGCTCCTTCTTCCTCGTCCTCGTCCTCGATCACCAGAAGATGACGACCGTGAGCTGCTGCTGCTGCTGCCGCTACCACGGCTGCTGCTGCTGCTGCCACGGCCGCTACTGCTGCTGCTGCCGCTGCTGCTGCTGCCGCTGCTGCTGCTGCCACTGCTGCTTCCGCTGCTTCCTCTGCCATTCTGACTACTACTTCCACCTCCACTGCCACGGCTGCTGCTGCTTCCGCTGCTGCCGGATGCACTCCCGCAATAAGACCTGCACGAAGAATTGCGGTGACAACCCAGAGATGTGCAGCTCATTGACAAGCCAAATAAGTCAATTCCTGCTACTTCTAGAGCACCACTTGTGTTGGTACAGCCTTTTGTCACCTTGGCCATCCCATCCATAGCTGACAGCACTGAACTTAGATTCAAGTACATATCAAAGCCGAACACAACATTCGCACTATTGTTGTAGCGAAGTACTCCAAATCGGCTTTGACTCCGACCCACAGCGCCAGTACCAGAGCTGTCGTTTCTCCAATTGTTACTGCTGCTGCTCCTGCTGCTGCTGCTGCTGCCGCCACCGCTGTCACTGCTGCCACTACTGCTCATGTTGCTCAGCTGCTGTCGCCTCCATGCAGACCGCCCGTCTTCTCCACGATTTGTTGCCACCGAAAATCGATCCATCATCTTCTTTGTGAAGCTCACCATCTTAGCAAAATTGCCATCACCAACGCTACCTGAAGCATCCAGTATGAATGCTACGTCCAACACACCACCTCTTTCTACACAGCCTCCTGCACACAAAGACAATGCACGAAATACACACACAAGCACAGAAACAACATCATGTTATACTATTAACGCGGCTCTTTCTGACTGTTTATCATCTTCTTACAGTCGTGGATAGTTGCTGCATAACTCGTTCTCATGTGTTTTCTTCTCTTTTTTAACATCATAATTATTAGTTTAAACAATCGACGAGGAGACAATAGTCGTAAAATGGCAATAAATAAGATAAATTGTGCACTCATAACAACAGCAAAAATGAAGAAAGTCAAGTTCCATAACGTTTTCTTGTGACTGTCATCAGTGGAACGCCGTCACATAAAAATGTAATAACTAAAACACACACTTATATACACAATCTGCGGACAGAACTGTTTCGTCCTTTGTGGACACTTATATACATGTAGCTAATATGGTTTCAGGTAGAAATACAGCAGCTAACAAGTACAAAAAGCGAAGTTTGCACCTTTGCAATGTGTGAATATAGTGTATGTGAGAAAGGTAGTGGCAGATGAATGTGATACTGTGTGAATGAATGTAATGGTGCGTGTGTATTACTTGAAGAGTGTGAGTGATACAACGTTTTCTTTCTGTTTACATAGCACAGGGTCACGAGTACGAATATACACAGCTTCCAACACCTGCAATTGCTTGAAGAAACGTGCGCAACGAATAACACTAAACCAGGAATCGTCAAACACCTTACGACATTCTGGACTGGACACCAAATGCTTGTACACTGCAGACTTCCTCTTGTCAACATCAAACTCCTCCTCATCACTACTCTCATCCTCCACCTCCATTCCAATGCCGCCGTCCATCCCATCGCACTCGTATTCGTCGTCATCAGTCTCCATCTCCTCGCGACACCGCTTCTCTCTCCTTGATTCGTTCTGTGCCGTGCCTGTGCTTCCTCCTGCGTCTCCTTGCCTTGTGTTCTCCACTTGTCTCAGTCGTGCCTCTGCTAGTCTCTTGCTTCTCCTCGGTTCTGCTCTGTTTTCAAGTTGTTCCCCTTCCGCTCTTACCGTTGTAGCAACATGGTTTGTCGAGGAGCGACCGTCCGGCGGCCTCCCTTGCCGTGGTCCGGTTTCCGAGGGGGGAACCAGATTAGTCTGCTCGTTCTCCATGGAAGTAGTCAGTGTTTCTGTTTCCGAATTGTGAGCCGTGTTAGGTGTAGAAATAGGCAGCGGATGTTTTCGTGGTCTCCCACGCTTCGGCCTGCTTAACCTGGCAGCCTGGGACAACAATGATAATGGGACGTGCTGCTTGATGCGTTCGGACAAGTGTTGAAGCGTCCTGCCAACATACCGACTACCACATTGTCGGCATTCAAATTGATAAATGAGATGGCTCAAATGGTGGGTTGGCAGGACGTCCTTCAACACTGTGAACGAACGCACCGTTGTAAAGACAGTAACTACATTCACTGCATAGTATGTCTTTTGCACGATCGATTTCACTGCACGACTGACTTTTGTTGATTCAGAGCCTTTCCAAGGCAGGCATAAGAACACCCGACACGGTGTTGGCCCGATTTTGTGTTCCTTCCGCGGCTCTTTGCTCGTGAGCAGTTTTGCTAAGAGTGATGATGGATATCCATTTTTCAGGAAAACTGAGCGCAGGAAATCGAGTTCAGGTTGTAATTTACTGTCAGAGCAAATGCGTCTTGCCCTATCCACCAAGTTCCGGACTAAATTGATCTTGTACTGGGCCGAGCAATGTGAGTCATACATTATATATTGTCCTGTAAACGTAGGCTTACGATAAACCGATGTGACAACACCATCACACGTCCTTTCGACTAAGACATCCAAAAACGACAATTTTCTGGATTCTTCGTGTTCACACGTGAAGCGCAGCGCAGGATGGACATCATTCAATTCAGTTAGAAAGGCTTCACTGTCACGTCTTGATTCGAAATAGGTAAATGAGTCGTCCACAAATCGAACGTACAACTGAGGCCACTTTACTTTATCCATTCTCGACTCGCAATATCCAACGAAGACGTTGGCTAGTGCCGGACCCAGCGGCGACCCCATTGCCACCCCGTCCGTTTGCTTGTACATCACGTCACCGAACGAAAACTCGACACCACTCGTAACCATCAACATCAAACGTCGAAACGCTGACTCAGGTAACCAAGGGACATCGACGTCATCATCATTATGGTAGAGTGTCTGCGCACAGATATCGATCGTCTCGTCTAGTGGAACATTTGCAAACAGGCTTACAACGTCGAAAGAACACATATGGGCTGTGGGTGGAATCGGATTTTCACGAAGGATTTCCACAAACTGGAAAGTGTCCTTGACATTATGCTTACAATAGTAATCTACTACCGGCTGTATCATGCCGCACAGCCACTTTGATATGGCGTACTGGGGCGAGCCTATCATGGAGAGTATGGGTCGGAGCGGGCAGGATGGTTTGTGTATCTTCGGCAAGCCGTACATCCTAGGGCGCACCGAACCGATTGGCTTCATTCGAAAAAACTCCGATTCTGATATGTCTTTCGCATGTCGGAGGTTCTTAAGATATGTCACTAGTTCTTTCTCCCTAACCAATGTTCTATCATGTGTTGAGACCGAACCGAGTTTCACAAATTTCGACCCGTCCTCTAGTATTGTAGCCATTTTAGTATTGTAGTCAACTCGTGTCATAATAACGGTTGCACAACCTTTATCCGGTCGGGTGATGATGATACTATTGTTCTTTTTTAGCTCTGCACGAGCTTTCATGTGTTCGCGGGAGAGAGAAAATGTCCGTCGTTCTGCGGCCTGCTCGGCATGTTCTTCCGCCGCAGCACGGAGTGTGGCTGCGCACACCATTTTCTTTGATTCAGAAACTGGTGCAAAATCACGCAGTTTGCGATAAAATAATTCAAAATCGCAAAGTACTTGCTCCTTCATGTTCGATGTTGGTGGTATGCCGAAATCTATGCCTCTAGATAGTAGCTCTTGTTGGACAGTGGTAAGTGGAATGTTCGCCAGGTTAATTATCGTGTTGGTATCAATTGTTATGGCACCAAAGCGCTTCTTTCGAAGCCACTCGAACCGAGGAGAAGCAAGAGACTAGCAGAGGCACGACTGAGACAAGTGGAGAACACAAGGCAAGGAGACGCAGGAGGAAGCACAGGCACGGCACAGAACGAATCAAGGAGAGGGAAGCGGTGTCGCGAGGAGATGGAGACTGATGACGACGAATACGAGTGCGATGGGATGGACGGCGGCATTGGAATGGAGGTGGAGGATGAGAGTAGTGATGAGGAGGAGTTTGATGTTGACAAGAGGAAGTCTGCAGTGTACAAGCATTTGGTGTCCAGTCCAGAATGTCGTAAGGTGTTTGACGATTCCTGGTTTAGTGTTATTCGTTGCGCACGTTTCTTCAAGCAATTGCAGGTGTTGGAAGCTGTGTATATTCGTACTCGTGACCCTGTGCTATGTAAACAGAAAGAAAACGTTGTATCACTCACACTCTTCAAGTAATACACACGCACCATTACATTCATTCACACAGTATCACATTCATCTGCCACTACCTTTCTCACATACACTATATTCACACATTGCAAAGGTGCAAACTTCGCTTTTTGTACTTGTTAGCTGCTGTATTTCTACCTGAAACCATATTAGCTACATGTATATAAGTGTGTGTTTTAGTTATTACATTTTTATGTGACGGCGTTCCACTGATGACAGTCACAAGAAAACGTTATGGAACTTGACTTTCTTCATTTTTGCTGTTGTTATGAGTGCACAATTTACCTTATTTATTGCCATTTTATAATTATTAGTATTCTTTCTTTTTTCAGTCCACATCTACTGTCATACAGAGAGACATGAAAAAAAACAAGGACAACTGGACACAGATTGAAGGGAAGGTGGTCACAGCCTGATCGATCAGAGTGTCTCAAATGATCTACGATGTTCAAACGGATCCAGAAATAAGCCATGATCAAAAAATATTTAGGACCGTCAGATTAATTTACATGGACCGAGCCAGCCGGGAAAGAACCCTCGCACCGACGGTCGCAGCAGTGAGGGAAATAACCCGGTGTATGATTCCAGTGACGATATGACATCATGCAAGCATTTCAAAGCACATCGAAGCAAACTTGCTTTTGAAAACAAATTTGGGGGCACAGAACTGAAGCGTGGGAGCGCACAGACACTGCTGAGACTCAAGAACTGACTGAGGAACCAGGAAAAGAAGGAACAATAAAGAAAAGCATTGATGCCATATTTGAAGCATAAAAACAGAAAAAGGAGTGTTGCGCAAGATTGCATTTCTTGTCTATCTCCCCTGCGTCCGGCCAACGAGAAATAAAACTTCCATTTCTCTCTCGATCTCTCGTTTTATCAAGTTCTTTCTCTCTCTCATTCTCTCTCTCTCTTTCTCTTTCTCTGTCTCTGTCTCTGTCTCTGTGTCAAACTCACCTTCCTTACGGGTTGATGGACAAGCTACGCTGCCACACTTGCGCTGTTGCCTGCTCTCTCCCACACACAGACTGCTCTCATTGCTTCCGCATTCTCGACTTCTTCTCTGTATCCCGCCGCCACAGCTGGAACTGCACTGCGACCAGCTACTCCATACATCCCAGCCACGAACTAAACACATCCAACAACGCACACACGCACATGAAAACACGACACACCAAACACCAACATCCTCCGTGCATACTAGCTGCCTGTTGGCTTCTTCATACAGAACTGAACCGTTATGATCTACAGTACACGCGGCAAGTACAGTACCTTTTCAATTCAACAAAACATATTACATGTATAGCAGTCTGAGTCATGCAAGACTGTTCTCGCTGACCATGCTCTTGCTCACCTGGGCACACAAATTGCTCCAGTTTCTTCAGCACAGTCTCCTCCAATGCATCAAAACTCTGCACTGATAACACGTGCTTAGGATATGGCAGGCTTGCGATGCTTTCCAACTCTGACCGGTCTATTCCGTTACCAATGCCCACTGCAAACACCTCGATGTTCTTAGCACGCAGCTCAGAAGCGCAGGCCGAAGGATTGCCACCAACATTGGAGTTTCCGTCACTCAACAGCACAATAACTTCTCGTCTTCTGACACCGCTTGAGCTGCTCCTTCTTCCTCGTCCTCGTCCTCGATCACCAGAAGATGACGACCCTGAGCTGCTGCTGCTGCTGCTGCTGCCGCTACCACGGCTGCTGCTGCTGCTGCTGCCACGGCCGCTACTGCTGCTGCTGCCACTGCTGCTGCTGCTGCCACTGCTGCTTCCGCTGCTTCCTCTGCCATTCTGACTACTACTTCCGCCTCCACTGCCACGGCTGCTGCTTCCGCTGCTGCCGGATGCACTTCCGCAATAAGACCTGCACGAAGAATTGCGGTGACAACCCAGAGATGTGCAGCTCATTGACAAGCCAAATAAGTCAATTCCTGCTACTTCTAGAGCACCACTTGTGTTGGTACAGCCTTTTGTCACCTTGGCCATCCCATCCATAGCTGACAGCACTGAACTTAGATTCAAGTACATATCAAAGCCGAACACAACATTCGCACTATTGTTGTAGCGAAGTACTCCAAATCGGCTTTGACTCCGACCCACAGCGCCAGTACCAGAGCTGGCGTCTCTCCAATTGTTACTGCTGCTGCTCCTGCTGCTGCTGCTGCCGCCGCCGCTGTCACTGCTGCCACTACTGCTTATGTTGCTCAGCTGCTGTCGCCTCCATGCAGACCGCCCGTCTTCTCCACGATTTGTTGCCACCGAAAATCGATCCATCATCTTCTTTGTGAAGCTCACCATCTTAGCAAAATTGCCATCACCAACGCTACCTGAAGCATCCAGTATGAATGCTACGTCCAACACACCACCTCTTTCTACACAGCCTCCTGCACACAAAGACAATGCACGAAATACACACACAAACACAGAAACAACAACATGTTATACTATTAACGCGGCTCTTTCTGACTGTTTATCATCTTCTTACAGTCGTGCATAGTTGCTGCATAGCTCCTTCTCATGTGTTTTCTTCTCTTTTTTAACATCATAATTATTATTATTCTTTCTTTTTTCAGTCCACATCTACTGTCATACAGAGAGACATAAAAAACAAGGAAAACTGGACACAGATTGAGGGGTAGGTGGTCGCAGCCTGATCGATCATAGTGACTCAAATGATCTACGATGTTCAAACGGATCCAGAAATAAGCCATGATCAAAAACCATTTAGGACCGTCAGATTAATTTACATGGACCGAGCCAGCCGGGAAAGAACCCTCGCACCGACGGATGCAGCAGCGAGGGAAATAACCCGGTGTATGATTCCAGTGACGATATGACATCATTCAAGCATTTCAAAGCACATCGAAGCAAACTTGCTTTTGAAAACAAATTTGGGGGCACAGATCCGGAGCGTGGGAGCGCACAGACACTGCTGAGACTCAAGAACTGACTGAGGAACCAGGAAAAGAAGCAACAATAAAGAAAAGCATTGATGCCATATTTGAAGCATAAAAACAGAAAAAAGAGTGTTGCGCAAGATTGCTTTTCTTGTCTATCTCCCCTGCGTCCGGCCAACGAGAAATAAAACTTCCATTTCTCTCTCGATCTCTCGTTTTATCAAGTTCTCTCTCTCTCATTCTCTCTTTCTCTCTCTTTCTCTTTCTCTGTCTCTGTGTCAAACTCACCTTCCTTACGAGTTGATGGACAAGCTACGCTGCCACACTTGCGCTGCTGCCTGCTCTCTCCCACACACAGACTGCTCTCATTGCTTCCGCATTCTCGACTTCTTCTCTGTATCCCGCCGCCACAGCTGGAACTGCACTGCGACCAGCTACTCCATACATCCCAGCCACGAACTAAACACATCCAACAACGCACACACGCACATGAAAACACGACACACCAAACACCAACATCCTCCGTGCATACTAGCTGCCTGTTGGCTTCTTCATACAGAACTGAACTGTTAGCATGTACAGTACACGCGGCAAGTACAGTACATTTTCAATTCAACAAAACATATTACATGTATAGCAGTCTGAGTCATGCAAGACTGTTCTCGCTGACCATGCTCTTGCTCACCTGGGCACACAAATTGCTCCAGTTTCTTCAGCACAGTCTCCTCCAATGCATCAAAACTCTGCACCGATAACACGTGCTTAGGATATGGCAGGCTTGCGATGCTTTCCAACTCTGACCGGTCTATTCCGTTACCGATGCCCACTGCAAACACCTCGATGTTCTTAGCACGCAGCTCAGAAGCGCAGGCCGAAGGATTGCCACCAACATTGGAGTTTCCGTCACTCAACAGCACAATAACTTCTCGTCTTCTGACACCGCTTGAGCTGCTCCTTCTTCCTCGTCCTCGTCCTCGATCACCAGAAGATGACGACCCTGAGCTGCTGCTGCTGCTGCTGCTGCCGCTACCACGGCTGCTGCTGCTGCTGCTGCCACGGCCGCTACTGCTGCTGCTGCCGCTGCTGCTGCTGCTGCTGCTGCTGCCACTGCTGCTTCCGCTGCTTCCTCTGCCATTCTGACTACTACTTCCACCTCCACTGCCACGGCTGCTGCTGCTGGCGCTGCTGCCGGATGCACTCCCGCAATAAGACCTGCACGAAGAATTGCGGTGACAACCCAGAGATGTGCAGCTCATTGACAAGCCAAATAAGTCAATTCCTGCTACTTCTAGAGCACCACTTGTGTTGGTACAGCCTTTTGTCACCTTGGCCATCCCATCCATAGCTGACAGCACTGAACTTAGATTCAAGTACATATCAAAGCCGAACACAACATTCGCACTATTGTTGTAGCGAAGTACTCCAAACCGGCTTTGACTCTGACCCACAGCGCCAGTACCAGAGCTGTCGTTTCTCCAATTGTTACTGCTGCTGCTCCTGCTGCTGCTGCCACCGCCGCCGCTGTCACTGCTGCCACTACTGCTTATGTTGCTCAGCTGCTGTCGCCTCCATGCAGACCGCCCGTCTTCTCCACGATTTGTTGCCACCGAAAATCGATCCATCATCTTCTTTGTGAAGCTCACCATCTTAGCAAAATTGCCATCACCAACGCTACCTGAAGCATCCAGTATGAATGCTACGTCTAACACACCACCTCTTTCTACACAGCCTCCTGCATACAGAGACAATGCACGAAATACACACACAAACACAGAAACAACGTCATGTTATATTATTAACGCAGCTCTTTCTGACTGTTTATCATGTTCTTACAATCGTGGATAGTTGCTGCATAACTCGTTCTCATGTGTTTTCTTCTCTTTTTAACACCATATTAGTAATTTGGATGTTGAGGCATAAATAAATGTAGAAAGGAAAAGGACTGTTGCGGTGCGACTTGGTCCCGCAACTAACCATCGTCAGGCAGACCACAAAAACCCAGAAACTGCTTTAATCGACATTACCACTCGTTTCAACAAGAACACCAAAGAACACACCGAACAACGATCGCGATATCGCCAAATCGCTGTCCTGAGCAAAACGTGCAGCGTGCGTGCATTTGGCTTGCGCTGCATGCATGCACACAACGACGTGGCATAGAGAGAAAATGCAGCGTACAGAAAATGCATGAATCATCGTAGCCATAGAGATACTAAATATGGCGACTGCGCGGAGTGCAGGTACTAGGTGCAACGAAAAAGAAAGGCAATAATTTGAATGCAGAACAAACAGAAACTCGCAATCTGCTGAAGTGAAAGAATAAAGAATTGTTGATTACGGAAGTGAAAACAGTGTCTGTCAAGGGGTGCTTGCACCCAGCGACAGGGTGACAGCACACCCTGTCAGCGAGAGTAAGTTTCGCCAAGTAGATCGTAGTGGAGTTGCCGCGGATGGCGATAATGCAACGGATCAAGTACTAGTAAGTACATTGCAACCAATTAGTGTGTCAACAATTCTACTTATATAATAAATTAGCACAATTCACAAGATATTCCGCTCGTGAACATGTCGTGGTACGAACACCCATAGCAATTACTGTATCATAAAATGTGTCTCGATGTAGACGTAACAGATATGCACTCGTGATGTAATTCTAACAGACGAACAAATAAATATTACACTCGCGAAATACATAGCAGTAATACGCACCGCACCAATATTGCAAGCGATCTAGCATGTCTTGACAATACTGCCCTTGCAGCATGTGACAGTTCTGTACACAATTCGTAACTACAATACACTAATAGTATCAACGTGCAACATGTGACAACATGTGACAATTCGAAAGGATAATGTTCAAGAGTGCAGTCTCCTGTCCATTCTCCCCACCTTGATGAACCGCGGGGGCTTCAACACAACGGACATAGCTTAGCAATAGGCCGCACAAGGCTCTTACCGGTTGCTAGACGCAGCTTCACCACTCGTACATGGTTATCCTTACCGGGATAGACTTCCATTACTCGTGCTAACGGCCATTGCCCACGTGGTGTTTCGTTAGATGCCACTACAACCACGTCGTTGACCTTCAGGTCTGGCAGCTCTTGTCTCCATTTCTTGGCCGGGTTGAGAAGAGGCACCCACTCTCTCATCCAGCGAGTCCACACTTAACCAATCAGATGCTGCACAGCGCGCCAGCGCCTGCGCGGGCTGAAGCTACTTTCGCTGCAAGCTGGTGCGAACTGACCACCGACTTGGCCGATGAGGAAGTGGTTTGGCGTCAATGGAATGTCGTCCGACGGGTGAGCTGACTGATACGTTAGGGGATGCGAGTTGAGCATGCTTTCAGCTGAGGCAAAGCACGTTGCTAGCTCTTCATCAGTGATATCTGCTCGCGTGAATATGGCGTAGGCTGCTCTCTTGGCGCTCTTGGCCATGGACTCATGAATTCCTCCGAAGTGAGGTGCTGCTGGTGGGTTAAAGTGCCAAGTCACTCCAATAGCAGACAATTTGTTGGCTACTCGCTGCTGGTTGACTTCGCCGACCAACTGTTGCAGTTCATTGACTGCGCCGACGAAGTTGGTGCCGTTATCCGAGATGATATCTGTAGGCGTTCCACGACGACTGACAAACCGACTCAAGCAGTTGAGAAATCCATCGGTGGTGAGGTCGTTCACCAGCTCGAGATGAACTGCTCGCGTAGCGGTGCAAGTAAAGACAGCCATGTACCGCTTACACTGGGCTCGTCCTCGACCCTGCTTCGTGAAGAATGGTCCGCAGAAATCAACCGCGATTGTAGCGAACGCACTCAATGACGGCTTCGTACGGTGACTCGGTAGAGGAGCCATGACCTGCTGCAAGGTCTTTGCCTTCTGCCGTCGACACGCTTGACACTGCTGCTCATACTCACGAATAGCTTCTCTGGCCGAAACTATCCAAAACCGTTGGCTGAGCGCTGCCAAGGTCTGATTGGTTCCACCGACGTGAAACAGGCGGACGTGTGCTCGTTTCACTATCAAAGTGGTTACTCTGCTCGAGCGGGGCAGAATGATCAGGCACCTGGCATCATCCAAAATATGCTCTGCATAGCGCAACCGACCACCACACCTCAGAACACCATCTTCGTCGAGCTGCAGCTGTAAGCTGCTCAGCACACTCTTAGGAGAGATAAGCTTTCCCCGCTGTAGAGCACTGATTTCCTCTGGGAAGGCTGACTGCTGGCACTGATGTATGATGACATACTCGGCGCTGCGGATCTAATCTACGGACAGGGGACCTGACACTTGCTCAGTGTTCAGGCGTCTTGCGTTGCTGGAGAAGTGATTGATCCAGGCAATGACCCGGGCCAGCTTGAGGAGGCTGCTGTAGCGCTCTGGATCTAATGCGGGTAAGGCGGCGATCGCCAGATAACTGAAATGAGCTATCTCAACTGCAGGCTTCTTCAGCTCTGCCGCCGCTGTTGCTGACAATGCCTTTCCTGGGAACGGTGTGTGTAACCCGGACATGTCTGGACCACACCACCAGAACTGGGAATCTGCGAGCTGACTTGCAGACATACCATGCGTCAACAGGTCGGCTGGGTTGCGGCTAGTAGCTACATGCTTCCACTGGTCAGGATCACTCGCTGTCTGAATCGTGCCGACTCTGTGGGCAACGAACGGCTTGTACTTTCGGCTCTGTCCACGAATCCAGTAGAGGACATCAGCACTGTCAGACCAGAACGTGACAGTACTCATCGTGAGATCAAGCGGAGGTAGAAGAGACTTCACTAGCTGCAAACCCAGAACTGCGGCCATCAATTCCACCCTAGGAATACTGTGGACAGCAAGCGGGGCGACTTTCATCTTCGACGCGACGAGACGCATTGAGTCGCTGCCATCGTTGAACTGCTGCCGGATGTAGACGACTGCGCCGAACGCCTTTTCGGAGGCATCCACAAACACTTCCAAGCTGCTAGTTGCTGTTGTCGCTGCTGATTGTCGCAGGCACCTCGGAATTTGAACTCTTTTCAAATCCGGTAGCTCGGCGCACCACACTTCAGCTGCACTGACGAGATCATCTGGCAAGTCTGCATCCCAATCGAAGCCTTCGATCCACATGGATTGGAACAGGACTTTGGCTCGGACGATGTACGGGGCTAGAAAGCCGAGCGGATCAAATATGGTTGCCAGAATACGCAGAAATTGCCACTTCGTCAGACGTGCAAAATCTGGCACCTTGTACTGAAATGTAAACATGTCGATCTCGACCTGCCAGAGGACGCCGAGCGTCTTGATGTCCGGCAGCTGTTCGTCCGTGAGCTCGAGTTGACTTGCCCGATCCGCTTGTGGGATCTCAGCCAGAACCTCCGCCGAGTTAGAGAGCCACTTCCGCGCGTGCATATTCGCTTGGCCCCAGAGAGCCGACAAATCCGCGTATAAGGACTTGGCTGCTGGAACATCAGGTGCTGACGTCATGCTATCATCCATGTATGTGGAGTCCAGCACGACACTAGCGGCTTGCGGCATCTCTGAGCTGAGCGATCTGGCATGCTGCTGCGACACGCACTGCGCTAGGAATGGCGAAGCATTGACTCCGAACACCACGCTGCAGAATTCGTACACTTCTGGTGGCTTACTTGGGTCTGTGCGCCACAGAAATCGATGGTAGCGCCGGTCGTCTGGATTTAGGCTGATACGGAGGTACATCTGGGCAATATCGCAGACCAGTGCTATCGGCTCACGACGGAAACCAACCAGTACATTCACCAGGTCTTGCTGTAATTTGGGGCCGGGCAAGATGAAGTCGTTCAATGACTTGCCGTTCGACTTCGCTGCGGCGTCGAACACGATGCGTACTTTTGTTGTAGTCTTGTCCGGCTTGACTATCGGGAAGTGGGGCAAGTACCATGCGTTTCCGTCGTTGACGTCTGCGGCGTCAACCCGGCGCACATAGCCCTGGCTGATGTGTTCCGCTACCGTAGCGGCGTAGACTTCTCCGACTGTTGCGTCTCGCCTCAGCCGCTGCTCTGTGTTGGCCAAACGCTTCAGAGCAGTGTGGTAGCTAGCATTAGCTCCAGGCGGGTGATCCTTCCATGGAATGCCAACACTGTATTGGCTTCCAATATGCTTCATCGACTTTGCGACCGTCTCCTGTGCATGTCGCTCATCTGGGGTTAGAAGTGCCGCTCCATCTGCCGCGGGCTGACTGTCCACTTCCCAGAACTTCCTCACCAGCTGAGTGAGGTCGGCGTCTGACTGAGTCATCAGACAATGGTGCACGCTGGCCGATACCCGGGAGTCTCCTGCCGTTTGACTGATAGGACCCACACATGTCCAGCCGAGTGGTGTTCTCCGGGCACTTGGCTCACCTGGACCACCGATGACTTCTTCTAGCGATACATGCAGGCTGCTGTTGTCAATACCAATCAGAAGGTCAACTGTCGACCAATCACTGAGCTTCGGGAACCAAGTTGACATTCTCCAAGTGTGGCCAGCTCTTCTTGACAATCTCCCAGTCTACTTATGTTAGCGACCGAGATACTGCTGGTACAGTGTTAGCACAGATGTCCACGCTTGTCTTCTTGGTCAAGTCAGACAGTGTGACGGTGACTGGCATACTCTGAAACGTTTCTTGGTGCCCATTCAGAGTAGACATCGTAATCTTCTTCGTCTCTCCGCGGAGACCAAGTGCACCTGCGGCACTTGCGCTGATCAGCGTCTGCGTCGCGCCGTCGTCCAGGAACGCGTTGACCCGCATGGTCCGCTCGTTGTTGCTCAACAACACTGGCACAGTGCGCAGTGACCCTGGTGCTGCGCTGACGTTACTCGCTGACATAACGTTGCCGACGTTGTGCCTTGAAGGTCGCTCCCCTTCAGTGCTGCGATCCGGTTCGCTGTGTACTTTGTCAAACTTCGGTTTACGATGCAGCAACCAATTGTGTGTATCGCTGCACTTATCCACACCGCATTGTCTGGTTCTGGGACACTGCGCTCCACAGTGACCTGACCCAAGGCATCGATAGCATAGCCTTTTCTCTTTTGCCAGGTCCTATCGTTCATCCACGGTCTTTGCCTTGAAAGACGGACATTTCCAGACGGGGTGCTGCTCGCTGCAAGCGGCACAGCTCTCGCTCTTCTTTTCTGCTAGGAAGACTCTTCCGGACGACTCTGCGTTTCTCGGTTTCCGGTCATTGAAACCACCACGTCGCTGTCTGCTGCTGGCAGTACTGGCGATGCCGTCAATGGTTTCCGATGCAGTAGCCATTATTTCGGCTTCTCGATTCACCCAATCTAGAAGAGTCGTCACAGATTCATTGGCATTGGTCTCCTGCACCCAGCGATGATACTGGACGAGGTTTTCCGTTGCAAGCTTCTTCTGCATACGTGTATACAAAGTACCCGTGCCGAGTTCACTGGTCATGCCGGCATCCGTCATTTTTACCACCGCCACCTCTAGCAAATCTGCAAACTTCTCAAAGTCTGCTGCCCTGATTTTTACTGCAGGGAAGTCCTCTAGTTCTTGCATATGGACGGCCACCATCCTCCGCTGTCCGCCGTACCTCTTCTCAAGCCGTCTGCGTGCCGCACTATATGCTGATGGCGTGAAACCCAGGGTTTGTACGACCGCCAGAGCTTCGCCAGACAGGTACTGCCTAAGTTGCAGCATCTTCATTTCTGTTGAAGTTGCCTGCTGATCAATGGATACATCAAAAGCCGCCTTCCAAACCTCGTATTCCCGTTTGTCGCCGGCAAATGTGGCAATAGAAACTTTCTTCATGTGCCACGTGGTGATGTCTGTCTGTGGCTGACTTGTTCGCAGATACTGTGGCTGTTGCACGTTCTGCGGCTGATATTGTGGCATGTACGTCGATGGCAGCTGTTGCTGCTGCGGTAGGTACTGTTGCGACGTGTACGTGTATGACGGCTGAGACTGCTGCTGTTGCGGAGTGTACGTGTATGCGGCCTGGGACTGCTGCTGCGGTGCATACTGTGACTGCTGCTGCGGTGCCGGATTCGGTGCAGTGTACCCCGGATTCGGTGCAGTGTACGCCGGATTTGGTGCAGTGTACGCCAGATTCGGTGCAGTGTACGCCGGATTCGGTGCAGTGTACGCCGGATTCGGTGCAGTGTACGCCGGATTCAGTGCCGTGTACGTTGGATTCGGTGCAGTGTACGTCGGATTCGGTGCTGTGTACGCCGGATTCGGTGCAGTGTACGCCGGATTCGGTGCAGTGTACGCCGGATTCGGTGCCGTGTACGCCGGATTCGGTGCCGTGTACTGCTGGCTCAATGCCAATGGCGCACCTATATGCCGGGTGAAGTCCCTAGTGGTCGCTGATGTACTTGGTGTACTCTGTATGGCTGCTGTGCCAGTATTGGCAGTGGCCATAGTCACCAAACCCGTTGCCATGGGTACCCGTTGTGAACCCGTGCTGCTCGGTGCCACAGTTCTGGCTGCTAATGGCTCTTGTTTCATTCTGGCTTGGCTAAGCTCAGATGCCTTCGGCTCTGGCGACGCCGTTTCCATAGTAACCGCCGACAGCAATGACGTGACCCTTCCCTGGGTTGACGTTGTGGGCTTGTCAGAAATACATGTACGCTTTACAGGTGCATTGCTTTTTACTTTACTCTGGTAGACACCTGCACTCTCACTTACATCCACACTTGGTACCTCCTCTTCTTCTTCATCTTCTTCGTCGCACAGTTTCTCCTTCAGCAACGACCTTACTTCTCTGATTTTTGCCGCACGTTCTCTGGTTGCGGGGCTGTGGCTGATGCTGGTGGCTTTGCTGGGCCTTTCTGTTCTCAGCTGCTCCAGCACATCCCCTGCTCTCGATACCGCTTCGGCATATTGCTGTTCCAACAGCTGGACTTCCTCGTACCAGTCTGAGGCATCACCTTCCACACAACAGGCGATGGTGGATGTGGCAAGAGCACTGAGGTCATCCAGTGCCCCTAGTATGTTCTTCTTATCTGCTTCATCCTTGTTTATCTCTACCAGCAGCGCTCTTCTGCTGTTGGTGAACTGGGCCTTTGCCAGTGTCCTTTCCTTCTTTGTGATTTCTGGCATTCTTGCTTCAGTTACTGAGTCTCTTAGTCTTACTACTAGTACTACTGCCTACACGTGACTACTATACTACAGCTTCGATAACCATCCTCTGCTACCAAATGTTGCGGTGCGACTTGGTCCCGCAACTAACCATCGTCAGGCAGACCACAAAAACCCAGAAACTGCTTTAATCGACATTACCACTCGTTTCAACAAGAACACCAAAGAACACACCGAACAACGATCGCGATATCGCCAAATCGCTGTCCTGAGCAAAACGTGCAGCGTGCGTGCATTTGGCTTGCGCTGCATGCATGCACACAACGACGTGGCATAGAGAGAAAATGCAGCGTACAGAAAATGCATGAATCATCGTAGCCATAGAGATACTAAATATGGCGACTGCGCGGAGTGCAGGTACTAGGTGCAACGAAAAAGAAAGGCAATAATTTGAATGCAGAACAAACAGAAACTCGCAATCTGCTGAAGTGAAAGAATAAAGAATTGTTGATTACGGAGGTGAAAACAGTGTCTTTCAAGGGGTGCTTGCACCCAGCGACAGGGTGACAGCACACCCTGTCAGCGAGAGTAAGTTTCGCCAAGTAGATCGTAGCGGAGTTGCCGCGGATGGCGATAATGCAACGGATCAAGTACTAGTAAGTACATTGCAACCAATTAGTGTGTCAACAATTCTACTTAGGCCAAACTAAAGAAGGTGTGTGGTTCGACTAACATGGACATTTTTTTTACGGGCGGGCGGGCGGATTTTTTTTTTAAATATATATTTTTAGTACATGTAAATACACTTTTTTTTTTTTTTTCTCCTGGTAAACAGTAAACGTAAAAATTTAATGTGTGGCACCTATGAAGTCAGGGGATGGCCCACGCCTGGTAGAAAACAAAACAATGAGGAGTTAAATACAAAGAAAACGAGCTGAAAATACAAAAGTAAATGAAACACCATTACCAAAGAAACTGTACTGTATCATGTACACCGTTTATGGCACCAGGGCACATTCAGCAGCCGCCAGCACAGCCGAACCAGACAGATGTCGAGGCGGGTTCCGACGGTGACCACGTAGACTGGCAATCATTGCCCGAACAAGGCAAAAGGAGATCTTCGCCCGTACAAAAGCCATCATAACCGGGAAAGGCTCACGGCGCTTTTCACACAGCTTGCTGGCAATCCTGGCGAAGAGGGCCGAAGCAGCTTTCCCTGGCCGCCAGTGGTTGCAAAAACCACGGGAACAAACGAGGAATGCTCCACCTCCAGGACTCGCCGCTCATACTTACGCCTCTTCTCCTGCTCGTGCTTTCTGTAGACAGACGGGAGAGTAAGGTTTCGGTTGGAGGGGACAAAAGGGTTAAACACCCGAACATCAAATATTGTCCTCTCTAACCTACTCCCATACACTCCACGTGCTGCCACATCAAGACGAGCATGAGCCTCCGTGTTGGCCGACCGGAGAGGGAATGTTTCACCAGAGAGGGGTTCCAACTCTGGCTCCACGCTGACATCATGCGCAACCTCACGCAACAGATTAGCGGTTAGATCCCGGAGCTCGTTGTGGCGCATCCCAGTGAATCCTCCGATGGCACATGATAGGGCATGGGTGGTGTCGAAGGGCTTTCCACAGGTGCAGTGAGACGGCAACCGGGGAGGGGTCCAGCCGTAGCGCAGACATAGGGCATCCCGGAAGCCAGCCTTGTGGATGGTAAACTGGAACCGGCGAGATGGCCGACTAGTGAGCCAACTGGAGGCACCTTTCTCTGCGGCTAGATCCAGAGTCCGTCTGTGGTCGTCACTCAGGGTATCCCTGAGGGAGGAGAGGGCCATTGCCTGATCTTGGCGATTAGCTGTGCGTTGGGCCGCCTTGGCTGCCTTGGTGGCAGCAACAACTTCCTCGATGGATTCCTCCTGTCGAAGGAGCTGCTCGACTAGAGGTCTGGTGAAATACACTGTACTGCCTTTAGACACCCAGTACATCGGCATTATTACGCAGTGTTATGCCATACATGTTGTATAAAGGGACCACTGGCTAATACTTTGAAACATTGTGTAGCTCTGGAACGAGAAGAGAATAACTTCAAGCGGTGACTCTGACTGTCCAAATCATCAAGCAAATGAAGAACGATGCGAGTTGAAAGTAAGTTCGGGAACTACTTCGAAGTACAAATTGTACAATGTACCGGTACATGTATTGCTAGTTTGGTGTCGGCGTGCACGAATACATGGGCTTTTTCCATCGACGCTTCCTGTGCTTGCACACATGGAGCAGCAACTTACCGGTACAGGTGAAATATCGTTCCCAATACACGAGGAAAGTGCAATCTCGTCTGTCCTTCATCCCAAAACAGAAGGCCGTCCTTAATCTGGAACGAGGCAATCACTCTCAACCGGACAGTCACTTCAAAATAAGTCTCGCCAGTCTGCCGGTGGTCGTATCGAGTAGACTCTACTACCAGCACAAGGACAAGGTAGCAGTCGTAGAATCTACCACTCACTGCACTGCACTGCAGTACAACTACAAGTCAAGTCCAAAAGGAGCCGCCTGCGTCCGCAGACTCACGCTGCACAGCACGTAGACGTGGACGTGTTCAGTCCACGTAGTCTACGTCAGTCACACGACAGCCCGCCGAAAAAAAGTTACGGTCGGGCTGAAAAATGAACGGTCGGTCGGGTGAGTCGAACCACAGACCTTCTTCAGTGTGGCCTTATATAATAAATTAGCACAATTCATAAAATATTCCGCTCGTGAACATGTCGTGGTACGAACACGCATAGCAATTACTGTATCAATTACTGTATCATAAAATGTGTCTCGATGTAGACGTAACAGATATGCACTCATGATGTAATTCTAACAGACGAACAAATAAATATTACACTCGCGAAATACATAGCAGTAATACGCACCGCACCAATATTGCAAGCGACCTAGCATGTCTTGACAATACTGCCCTTGCAGCATGTGACAGTTCTGTACACTATTCGTAACTACAATTCACTAATAGTATCAACGTGCAACATGTGACAACATGTGACAATTCGAAAGGATAATGTTCAAGAGTGCAGTCTCCTGTCCAAGGACATATGGATACGAGTTAAGAGTAACTCTCCATCACTGTAACTGGATACTATATACAGTCAGAAAGTGCAATAACTACGCACAAAACTGACAAGAGTACTGAGACATTCGACATCCTGACACCTAGCTTAAAAACATTTCCGTAGCGATAACCGACAGCCTGTCATACAGAGAGACATAAAAACAAGGACAACTGGACACAGATTGAGGGGAAGGTGGTCGCAGCCTGATCGATCAGAGTGTCTCAAATGATCTACGATGTTCACACGGATCCAGTAATAAACCATGATCAACAACCATTTAGGACCGTCAGATTAATTTACATGGACCGAGCCAGCCGGGAAAAAACCCTCGCACCGACAGACGCAGCAGTGAGGGAAATAACCCGGTGTATGATGCCAGTGACGAATTGACATCACGCAAGCATTTCAAAGCACATCAAAGCAAACTTGCTTTTAAAAACAAGTTTGGGGTGCACAGAGCTGAAGCGTGGGAGCGCACAGACACTGGTCAGACTCAAAACCAGACTGAGGAACCAGGGAAAGAAGCATCAATAAAGAAAAGCATTGATGCCATATTTGAAGCAGAAAACCAGAAAAAGAATGTTGCGCAAGATCGCATTTCTTGTCTATCTCCCCTGCGTCCGGCCGACGAGAAAAAAACTTCTATTTCTCTCACGATCTCTCGTTTTATCAAGTTCTCTCTCTCATTTCTCTCTCTCTCTCTCTCTCTCTCTCTGTCTCTGCCTCTGTCTCTGTGTCAAACTCACCTTCCTTACGAGTTGATGGACAAGCTACGCTGCCACACTTGCGCTGTTGCCTGCTCTCTCCCACACACAGACTGCTCTCATTGCTTCCGCATTCTCGACTTCTTCTCTGTATCCCGCCGCCACAGCTGGAACTACACTGCGACCAGCTACTCCATACATCCCAGCCACGAACTAAACACATCCAACAACGCACACACGCACATGAAAACACGACACACCAAACACCAACATCCTCCGTGCATACTAGCTGCCTGTTGGCTTCTTCATACAGAACTGAACTGTTAGCATGTACAGTACACGCGGCAAGTACAGTACCTTTTCAATTCAACAAAACATATTACATGTATAGCAGTCTGAGTCATGCAAGACTGTTCTCGCTGCCCATGCTCTTGCTCACCTGGGCACACAAATTGCTCCAGTTTCTTCAGCACAGTCTCCTCCAATGCATCAAAACTCTGCACTGATAACACGTGCTTAGGATATGGCAGGCTTGCGATGCTTTCCAACTCTGACCGGTCTATTCCGTTACCGATGCCCACTGCAAACATCTCGATGTTCTTAGCACGCAGCTCAGAAGCGCAGGCCGAAGGATTGCCACCAACATTGGAGTTTCCGTCACTCAACAGCACAATAACTTCTCGTCTTCTGCCACCGCTTGAGCTGCTCCTTCTTCCTCGTCCTCGATCACCAGAAGATGACGACCCTGAGCTGCTGCTGCTGCTGCCGCTACCACGGCTGCTGCTGCTGCTGCCACGGCCGCTACTGCTGCTGCTGCCGCTGCTGCTGCTGCTGCCGCTGCTGCCACTGCTGCCACTGCTGCCACTGCTGCTTCCGCTGCTTCCTCTGCCATTCTGACTACTACTTCCACCTCCACTGCCACGGCTGCTGCTGCTTCCGCTGCTGCCGGATGCACTCCCGCAATAAGACCTGCACGAAGAATTGCGGTGACAACCCAGAGATGTGCAGCTCATTGACAAGCCAAATAAGTCAATCCCTGCTACTTCTAGAGCACCACTTGTGTTGGTACAGCCTTTTGTCACCTTGGCCATCCCATCCATAGCTGACAGCACTGAACTTAGATTCAAGTACATATCAAAGCCGAACACAACATTCGCACTATTGTTGTAGCGAAGTACTCCAAACCGGCTTTGACTCTGACCCAC